GCGCAGGAGGGAGGTGCACAGGGAGCAGGGGACGAGGGAGGACGGGTGCAGCAGCACCAGTGGCAGAGTGCTGCGCGTATGCCTGGAGATGAGCATGGGCATGAGGATGGTCTAATTGGTGGGCATTGCGAGTCAGGTTTTAGTGGGAGAGCAGAAGCTCCGGCAGGATTGTTTGAGGCAGATGGTGATGAGGAGGACGAGGATGAGGAGGACGAGGAGGATGAGGATGGGGTGGTGGTGGGAGCACTCCCTCCGCGTGGCTTGCATGTGCCAGCAGAGCAAGCAGGGGCCGTGGATCGAGGAGCCGTGGAAAGAGATAGGTCTGGCAGAAGGCACGAAGGGGGGAGTGCACTAGACGCAACTGTTCCTGCTGATGTAAGTCACTCCATTCACTGGCAGATTCAGCCCAGCACGTGAACCCATGTCTGTATGTTTTATTTCTGTTTCCTTAACAGCTGTTTGTCTTCCACTGCGTCTTCCGTCCTTCACGTGTGTTCCATTCCCTCTCCCTTCCTACCCATTCACCTTGGGGTGTGCCCGGCTGCGTACCATGCCATGCCATGTCATGCCTGCCATGCCACAGTGGACTGCTGCGAAGCTGAGTGCGCCTCTCCTGCGGCTGGTGGAAGTGTTGCTGCACCTCGACGACCACGGCTGGATCAGGTGAGACTCCCATGGCATGGCATTGCTGGATCAGGTTGCCATGGTGGGGCGTCACACAGAACGAGGTAAGTGTGACGAAAGTCCAGTGAGACAGTGGTATCAGTGTTACTTGACTTCTCCTTGTTTTTCACTGCCTTATGAATCACCGACTCCATCTCTCCCTCCTCCACCGACCCTGGTCCTCGACAGGCGGCAGGTGGTGTGGGTGGCGCGGCAGGTGTTGGAGCTGAGCATGGGGGATGCCATTGATGACTTCCTGCTCTCACAGATCCAGAAGCTCCGCACAGAATCCACCGTTGCCACAGTCATTCGCTCCCTGCACCAGGTCTGGGCCTGTCCACTCTGCACCCTCATCTTCCCTCCCACACCTTCCTCTCCTGCCAACCCCACCTCTCATACCCCCTCCTACTCCTAAATGACACCATCACCCCCCTCTTTCCCCCTGAACCCTCAACACCCAACCCACTTTTGTTCATTGTTCCATATCCGTTTGTTCACCCCCTTACATTTCATCTCTGTATTCTTGATCTGTTTCTCCCTCAAAAACCCTTCTTGATTCTCATCAGAAGTTGTGGCCGGATGGTATATTCTACTCGCGCCATCCGAATTACCGAGCCTCAGTGGCAGCTTCGAGCTCCCGCACAGGCTCCTCTGCGCCTGCTGTCACTCGTCCCGACCCTCTTGGGCTCAACGTACCTCCAGAGTCCTTCCAGCAGCGACTGGAGGCTGCTGACAAGGCTGCTCGAGTTCATCAGCTTCTGCTTGGTAACTCTTCATGGCAAGATAGAGCTGGTTTTTGGTTTGACATTGGTACATAAGCACTAATTGTTTCCTCTCTTCTGGTTTCTTTTACGCAGAAATGGCGCCTGCTTCAATTGTTCCACTGATTGGTTTGCGGCACTATCAGCGATCAGTTTCAGACCTGTTCAGCTTTGTGCAGGTGGGCTATGGCTGTGTAGCAGTGCCCGTCACCGTTTCTCGCAAAAGAACTTCTTTCCCTTTTTCCTTGGGCATTCCTGTTGCATGATTTCAATTCCACTCACTGTTTGTTTGTTGGGCAATTGCAGTCGCAGGTGTGTGTAAAGCAGCTGGCGCATGCACTCTTGGAAGTGGTCATACTAGCATTGTTTCCAGAGCTGCATGTTGTGGTTGCTGAGATTCGCCATGGCCTTATTTAACCCACAAGCATTCCAGATATCCCAGCCGGCCATACATTATAACTTCATGTGTACATAAACTACTACAGTATTGAGCCTCATCCTGTGAAATCCAGTGCTGTGCTAGATGTAATATGCTTATTCTTCTGCACCAAAAGCATGTGTGTGGAGGGTCCTACCCTGTGCCATTTGCCATCTGTCTTGGTTGCTCTCAGGGGAGCTTGGGTTGCGTTGAAGGAATGTTCTCTTATCCTCGTGCTTGCAATCATAGCTATCTGCCCAGTGGTGCCTGCGTTTTGAACCAATGTATGAGGTTTTCTTGGAGTCCTGCGCAAAGAAATTTTCAGAACGGCCACAGCCTTTCCTTCTGCTTTGTGATGTGCCAAAATCAGAACCCCCAGAGCGATCCCTGAATGAGAGCCTGTGTCTTGGTTGGGTGTCAGGCTTTCTCCTGTCATCTGTGTTGACGTTCTCATACCTGCAGCATTGACAACGATAACCAGTCAGACCAGTCAGCGGTTCATGTTTTCTTTTCAAGGAGATGCTTCTTTCTGCAACCAGGACTGACCTGCGTTTTTGTAACGTGTCATCGAGCGAGGCCTTGGATGTCAGGACCTTGCTAATCTCCTTAGCTCTCTGCATTGCCAAAGCAGCCGCCGCTGAGGGGGGACATGCGCCCGAAGGCTTTCGGGTGGCATTCTGTTGCATAGCAAGCGCTTCTTGAAACTGCAGCATTGGCTTTGCGACGATCTCTTGCAACGCTGCGGTGGCTCTCCCTTCATGTCCGGGGAGGAAATTGGAAATTGCGTTGGCAGATGCTGTCAGAGCTGTCTGTATCCTTTCTTGAGCGGTTTTCGCCAGCTCAACCTTCAACTTCACATCTGCAATCTCCATGTTGTTCATGTCCAAGGCGACCTTCGCTTCTCCCGGGGTCGAAAAACGAATATGAGCGACGGACCTGTCGTCGTTGAGATAGTCACATCTGGTGACAGTTCCGCAGAAGGAGAATAGTTGAAGAAGCTGTTCACGAGTAATCGCACGGGTCAGGCTCGTGACGTGTAGCGTGAGATTCAGCTCGCGTTCGTCCATGCCACCTGAAAAAATGCGTGAGGTTGCATTAGGATTTATACATGCCAAAGATTCGAATATCAAAGCTTTTCTACTATCCCCTTACGGAAGTGGCTAAGCTCAACCTCGCAGGCACGAGCTTCATAAGTTGCTGCATTCTCCGGGACTTTCAGGTTGGCGTTAGCGGCCGCTTTTGAGACCTTTCGCAGTGCTACTATAGCCTGTGCTGCTGCCATTGCCGCGGCGGACGGATTAAGCGGAGCCGCGTTCGCCATGATGTCTCCAGTGGAATATTCCCGAAGCTGTCGTGTGACCCAGAAAACTAAGAAAGAAAGGATGTACAATCGCATGTCATGATTCGAACGGTGAATCTGAATGCCACTGGACCTTCATTCGAAAGGCCCATTTCGTGGGTGAAGGATGATCCAAGCCGAATCGCGAAGCCTTGAGAATTGAGGTAACTTCAATACCTCCCTTTGTACCCCTTGAAGTCAGCTGAAGGGTGGGACGGACATAGGGTGTGGTTTCTACACTCCACGCATAAACATGGTACATAGGATGTGGAACACTACTTTTTCCCAGCAATTTATAGACGTACAATCAAACAGACACATTTGTACAAATTACGAGCCTTTTTAGTTTCACTGGGCATCAACATAGCTGGCTATTTGTTGATTCTCAACTACAACTTGAGCAGCATGATCGAACAAACTAATCAGAGTTTTGTGGCCGGCTTTGTACATCACACTACAAGACATGACTTGGGTACGCCAAAATACTTTTCCAACTCATCCCGGGACTGCTTGTAATTGAATACTCTACGCCATCGGTCATTGTGGAGCTTGTAGTGCAGCACCTGCAAGCATGCACAGCCACGAAAAAAAACAGTTATGTAAGGAATCGCAACCCAAGACCTCGCAAAACAATGCAGACACAGCTTCATTCTAAGGTGCAATGCAGACCTCAATGAGTGTATCAATGGCGTCGTCGTCTTTTAACAGGCTGATGCCAAACGCCCAAGCCTCATTGTGTCCATACTCATCTTGCTGCCTCTTGGCCTCCTGTGCGATCACCGAGTGGTATGACAGCCGCTGCCACACCTTCTGCACTGTACCTTGCAGCACACTCCCATGCTCAGCAGTGATAGCCTGTTGGCACATACATGGAGCGCATGATGAGAAAGGAGAACAGCAAGACCCGCTTACACAATAATTACACAACAGTGTCATACACATTCACAAACCGAAAAGAGGAAAGGGGAACGGACAGTGCGGAAAGGAAAGGAGCGGGGGAGGGGTAGAATGCAGGAACCAACCAGGCCAGAATGACCTAGTCTCTAAAACTACTATCAGCAGCACCTTGAGCTTGGTGAGCATGTTGAGAATGTCCCTCTCCTCTATGCGCACTGAGAATGACGCATAGTCCAGAGCGTTCTCAAATGGCAGGTGGATGCCGTCCTGTTGTACAATGTGTGCACACATGTACACATGCACGCATGCATGCATGCATGCATGCATGCATGCACACCACTCACCATCCCCACCCCATACCCAACACGCACCATTCCTCCATCCCATGATTGCCATCACCATGCCCACCACTCACCCACCTCACCATTGCCATCCCATGAAAACGAAACAAAAATTAGGTAATGATTTTTAGTTGGAAGGAAGTAGACAGGCGACGGATAAAAAACATAGGGAATAACAGCCGCAGGGAGTTGATGCAAGGGTAGGGGAACAGAAGGAAGATGGGAGTAGAACAAAAATGATGACAGGGATTAGAAAAAAAAAAAAAAGACAGGAATGATGTACCTGAATGATGACTGGGATGCAGCCATGCTTTATCGCCTCTTCCATGTCTGCATTGAAGCCATTGCTCGGAAAGACCCCGCAGAACCGTGCATTACCCAGCTGAGCGCTGTGCCCCTTGCCCCTCTCATTCGTCACAATCACCCCCTCCTCCTGCTGGGATCCCAGCTGCCCCTTATTGTTTGGCACCGAGGCAAATTCTCGAGCCACGGCCTGCCGAATGCCAAAGCTGAACCTGCACGTTCGGCAGGCAGAAAAAGAAGGCAAGAAATTTGAGAGAGAGAGAGGAAAAAAAAAAAAAAAAAAAAAAAAAAAAAAAACAGAGTTGAATCCAGAAAAAGAAGCAAGTGAAGGTCATTTCTGTCCTCCAGTCCTGTACCCTAGTTCCATTCCATCCACCAATTTTTCCTTGGCTGTTTTATCTTGACAGATTCAATGGCTCAGATTGATTGCATGTGCATGCAGTGAATATACCTGCTATCAGGAGAGCCCCCTTTGTACTCGGAGCCTAAGTCACCAGCAAAATAAAAGAGGTGCTCCCTCTCCTCAAATGACCTGCTCTTTGCAAAAAAAAAAAAAGGAGAGAGTGGAGCGAATCAGATCGAGAGGAGGAGCATAATGAACGTGGGGTGGACAAGGTTGCAACATGGGTTGGAACGGGAGAATTCCGAGGAAGAGGCAGCATCTGCTGCGCACAGGTTCCGGCCTACCTGAGCCAGTACTGTTCATGCAGGTGCTTCACATTGGGTGGCAGCCAGGCTGGCAGCACAATATCCTTGGCAGCGGAGTAGCACAGATGGCCGCCCCTCAGCGTGAGGGGTATGTCGTCCCACCGCTGCTGCGGCGCCGCCTTGACTGAGTGGGAGTGCGCCGCCATGCTGTTGCCCCAGCTGGTGAGCATGCTGCCATGCCAGATGGACTGAGGGGCCAGACATGCTCCCTCGTCTGTGCCCATGGGCTGGGGGGCGTAGGGGCCGGGGGAAGAGGGGCAGGAAGGGGCGGTAAAAGTGGGTTGGGGAGGGAGTGACTGAGTGGGAGTGCGCTGCCATGCTGTTCGTGAGCGTCCTGCCATGCTGTTCGTGAGCATGCTGCCATGCTGTTCGTGAGCATGCTGCCATGCCAGATGGCCTGCGGGGCCAGACATGCTCCCTCGTCTGTGCCCATGGGCTGGAGGAGCAGGGAAGGTGAGGGTGGGGTCTTTTGAGGCGCCTCAAAAGTCGTCCCATGGGCTGGAGGAGCAGGGAAGGTGAGGGTGGGTAGGGGGTGAGTTTGACATTGCTGATAACATAGACTATGGGAAGAGAGTGTGACATGGTATGAAATGCACACGGCACCTTATAACCGAGCACCTTGTAAGGAACAACCAGAGAGAGACCCTCACCCAGAGGTGATCACGGCCGCGGCTGCGGTTCCAGTGGGGGTAGGCATGCATGATGTGGCGGTGCACTGCAGCATACATCTCTGTCACATGCCATGCCCAGTTGCCCTGCACGTGTGGCTGGTAATGGGGTGCAGTGCAGTGCAGTGCAGAGGAGGGAGAGGTGAGGAAGACGTGGGGAGAGAGAAGTGTGTTTACGGTGAGCAGGTCTTGTGACATAATTCTCAGCGAGCAGGGGTCAAAAGTCACCAAAAGTCACCAAAAGGTCTTTTGAGTGGACTCAAAAGTCACCAGGAAGACGTGGGGAGAGAGAGGTGTGTTTACGGTGAGCAGGGGTCATGTGAGGCGTTCAGAGGCACACCACAAGGAGGATTCCTCACGGTACGAGATGTGTCAAGACAAGACCCATGAGTGAGTGAAAGAGGCCTGGTTACGTGAGTGCTTTAGCGTACTTGCGCAAAGCAGTGTCGGTTCTTACTGTGAGAGCGCCAGCGCCCTACCAGGAGCTGGATGCCGGAAGCATCTCCGCCGTTGGTGAGGCGCAGCCAGAGGCAGGAGGCGTAGACGGGCACAAAGAAGAAATCCGCCTCCTCCGCGTTGGTCGTGCGGTGCTTGCTGGCCAGCAGCGCCTCGTGCAGGGCGATCTGGGGAAGGCAGGGACGGGGCGAGCAGGGTCAGGGGTTGAGCAGGGGAAGAGAAGGGAAGGGAGGAGGTTGAAAAGGTGCTTGCTGGCCCGCAGCGATCTGGGGGACACAGGATGGGGACCAAGGAGGGGTGTGTGTTGTTGGGTACTTATTTTCCTTTAAATTTGCTGCAGGTTTTGTTCACTAGTTTATTTAAAGTTTGTACGTATTTGTTTACATTATAATAGTGTAGACAATAGGGGTTGGGTTATATTAGTTATAGGGTGCCCCCTGAGTGACTTTATCAAGTGCTAGGCACCCCAAATTCGGCTTTGGGGCACCTCAGCACGTTTCCCAATCTTGGGGACGCGGCTCCAGCCTGGACCCACGAATTTCAACATTGGAAACGCGGCTCCAACTTGGAATTCGCGTTTCCAATTCGTGGAATCGCGGTTCCACTGTAGGGGGCGCTTCCAGGCCCACTTTGAGGGTCCCTCACGTCCCCATCTTGACTGTGGGCGACTTGAGCACCCATTTGGCCACCCCAAGTCCCTTGGGTACCAAATTCCTCACCTGGACCAGCCCAAGTCGCCTCCAAGCTAGCTCTCCTCATTTTCTGCCTATTTTAGCCTTTGTTTTGCTTGTATTCATCACTTCAGTTGATTTACTGCTTCTAGAACCTTTCAGCATTTCAGAACCAGCCTCTCCTTGTGCACATTGTGCACATTAGGTCTGTTTTTCTACAGTGTGGGACGCACAAAATGGGATCCAGTGAAAGATGAGATGAGGTGGTTTTAGTTGCAAGGCAGAGACAAAAAAAGAGCCATGCCTAAGGAGATATTTTTTCTCCATGCCACGCTCTTCCATGCCATGGGTGTAATCACCCTTCTTACCTCCATGCCATGGGTGTAATCACCCTTCTTACCTCCATGCCATGGGTGTAATCACCCTTCTTACCTCCATGCCATAATCACCCTATTTACCTCCATGCCGTGGATATGGTCGGGCAGGAAGGCGGTGCGGTTGAGGCGGTCGTACAGCCGAGGCACACACTCCTTCTTGCCGCGCCGGCCCTGCAGCAAGTGGCTGTTGAACTGCGGTGGTAGATCGTAGATGTAGATCAACGGCCGCCGTTTCACCACCTCGTTCCGCCCCCCTGCTCCCCCTGTTGCCCCCCCTGCACCTGCTGCACCTGCCCGACCACCAGCAGCGTTTCTCCCTGTCCCAGCAGCACCCTCACCATCGTATCCCCCTCCCTCTGCGTCCTCCTCAGCCTCCCCCTCCCCCTCCCCCTCCTCCTCCTCGTCCTGCCTCCGTTTAAGCCATCGGCGTTCGTTGTAACCACTCAAGCTGTGGTCAACAACAGGTGCTTCCCGCTCGTCATAATCACCCTTGCCACCAGAACTACCCACCAGGTCACCACCCAAAGCACCTCGCCTATGTGTCTGCCACCCCAATAAATTGCCCCCTTCATCCTCCACCCCAAGCAGTCTCCTCCTCCTCCTGCGCCTCCTCCAACCCAACTCCTCATCTCCTCCTCCCCCCCTCTCCCCTCCCCTTGCCCCCTTCCCCCCATATGCCCTTCCACCCCCTCCTTCCTCCTCGCCTCCCTCCCCTTCCCCCTCCTCCCCGCCCATCTCTGCCTCTAACGCAGCCTCCTCCTCCTCCTCCGTAGGTCCATGATTCCTCCCTCCACCACCCAACCCCCCTCCTCCCATTCTTGCTTGGGGTTGTGCAGCGATGCCAGGCTCGGTGGAGGTCCGGGAGCCGGAGCCGCTGCCGAACCTCTTGGCCTGGTCGAAGGGCTGCAGCCAGGCCGGGAGCTGAGGGTCGGCGAAAGTGGCTTGGGAGGGCACGCTGCAATCGACGCTGAACCAACCCTCGTTGCACTGGATGCAAGGGGGAGGGGTGAGGGAGGGAGGGGTAAAGGGAAGGGGCAAGGGGGTTGAGGGAAAGGGCAAGGGAGTTGAGGGAAGGGGATGCATAAGGTAGCCGTTTTCAGGTAAACTGGCGATTGACAAAACACTGCATTGCATATAGCATAGCACCAGTCGCACACCTGGCAATGCCCTTGTATACACGTGCCGTGTCCCGAGCACTGGTAAATGCAAAGCGCCGCCACAGGCACATGGTAAAAGGCGCCCACAGCCCCGTCATAGTCACACGCGCACCGAGCTCTGGGCTCTGCTCCTCCCCTCGCTCCCCCCAGAAGCACACACCTGTTGTGGTGCCCACACACACCTGTTGTGGTGCCCACACACACCTGTTGTGGTGCCCACACACACCTGTTGTGGTGCCCACACACACCTGCTGTGGTGCCCACACACACCTGCTGTGGTGCCCACACACACCTGTTGTGGTGCCCACACACACCTGTTGTGGTGCCCACACACACCTGTTGTGGTGCCCACACACACCTGTTGTGGTGCCCACACACACCTGCTGTGGTGCCCACACACACCTGTTGTGGTGCCCACACACACCTGCTGTGGTGCCCACACACACCTGTTGTGGTGCCCACACACACCTGACAGTGCCCTCGTATGCACATGCCATGCCCTGAGCACTGATTAACACAGAAGGCCGCCACAGGCACGTGGCAGAAGGCGCCCACAGCCCCGTCATAGTCACACGTGCACCGCGCCCGCGGCTCTGCCCCGCCCATCGCCATGCTGCCGCCCATGCCCACCCCCACGGCCTCTGGACGCGTGTTGCACCAGCCGGGGTAGTGCGTGGTGTTGGCGTACAGGGCTTCCGTGTCCTTCCGGGTTCTGTCCACCGCTGCTGCTCTGAAAAGGGGGGAAGGAGGGGGAAGGAGGGGGAAGGAGGGGGAAGGAGGGGGAAGGAGGGGGAAGGAGGGGGAAGGAGGGGGAAGGAGGGGGAAGGAGGGGGAAGGAGGGGGAAGGAGGGGGAAGGAGGGGGAAGGAGGGGGAAGGAGGGGGAAGGAGGGGGAAGGAGGGGGAAGGAGGGGGAAGGAGGGGGGGAAGGAGGGGGAAGGAGGGGGAAGGAGGGGGAAGGAGGGGGAAGGAGGGGGAAGGAGGGGGAAGGAGGGGGAAGGAGGGGGAAGGAGGGGGAAGGAGGGGGAAGGAGGGGGAAGGAGGGGGAAGGAGGGGGAAGGAGGGGGAAGGAGGGGGAAGGAGGGGGAAGGAGGGGGAAGGAGGGGGAAGGAGGGGGAAGGAGGGGGAAGGAGGGGGAAGGAGGGGGAAGGAGGGGGAAGGAGGGGGAAGGAGGGGGAAGGAGGGGGAAGGAGGGGGAAGGAGGGGGAAGGAGGGGGAAGGAGGGGGAAGGAGGGGGAAGGAGGGGGAAGGAGGGGGAAGGAGGGGGAAGGAGGGGGAAGGAGGGGGAAGGAGGGGGAAGGAGGGGGAAGGAGGGGGAAGGAGGGGAAGGAGGGGGAAGGAGGGGGAAGGAGGGGGAAGGAGGGGGAAGGAGGGGGAAGGAGGGGGAAGGAGGGGGAAGGAGGGGGAAGGAGGGGGAAGGAGGGGGAAGGAGGGGGAAGGAGGGGAAGGAGGGGGAAGGAGGGGGAAGGAGGGGGAAGGAGGGGGAAGGAGGGGGAAGGAGGGGGAAGGAGGGGGAAGGAGGGGAAGGAGGGGGAAGGAGGGGGAAGGAGGGGGAAGGAGGGGGAAGGAGGGGGAAGGAGGGGGAAGGAGGGGGAAGGAGGGGGAAGGAGGGGGAAGGAGGGGGAAGGAGGGGGAAGGAGGGGGAAGGAGGGGGAAGGAGGGGGAAGGAGGGGGAAGGAGGGGGAAGGAGGGGGAAGGAGGGGGAAGGAGGGGGAAGGAGGGGGAAGGAGGGGGAAGGAGGGGGAAGGAGGGGGAAGGAGGAGCGGAGGAAACGGGGCAGCGAACACACGTGTTGCACCAGCCAGGGTAGTGCGAGGTGTTGGCGTACAAGGCTTCTGTGTCCTTTCGGGTTCTGTCCACCGCTGCTGCTCTGAGGGGGGGAGGAGGAGGAAGAAGCGGGCGAGAGTGGAGGAGGGAAAGAGGAGAAGCGGGGCAAAGAATGCATATGTATTGCACTGGCAGGATCCCGTCGAGATCTGTTCACACGTGATGCACTCACAGGTGATGCACTCACAGGTGATGCACTCACAGGTGATGCACTCACAGGTCATGTGCGAAGCCGCAGGGATCAGGGATGGGGCGGAGGGGGAAGAGCGAGCCGGAGCCACAGAAGCAGAGGCCCGAGTGCAGGACGCAGTCCCCTGCACACGCCCACGCGCTCCTGGCCAGCACTCCCGCTGGGCACTCACATCGCATCTCATGCATTCGCAGGGCAGGTGATGCCACTCACAAGTCATGTGCGAAGCCGCAGGGATCAGGGACGGGGCGGAGGGGGAAGAGCGAGGCAGCGCCACAGAAGCAGAGGCCCGAGTGCAAATCGCACTCCCCTGCACACGCCCACAAGCTCCCAGCCACCACTCCGGGGGAGGAAGTGGGTGGGGAGGAGCAGGGATGCGCGTCCATGTGTGAACAGTCCGCTCCTGTCAGTTGGGCGGGTGGGCAGTGCAGTACAGGGATGGGTGTTGCGACAAGAGAGACTAGTTGTTAAAGCGTCTCCAGAAGAAGAGCACCTTGTGAGAACAGTCCACTCCTGCTACTAGGCAGGCAGGCAGTAGGACAGTTATGCGGCGCAGCGGTGACAAGAAACAAATCACAAGAAACGGAAGACACAGCATTACACCAGTGCTACATTGTTCTCCATTTCTTGCCTCTGTCGTAATCTAGAAACAGTTACCCAGCGGGTAACAGGGGAACAGAAGAGTTACAAGTTGGGGTGCTCAGTTACCCAGCGGGTAACAGGGGAACAGAACAGTTACAAGTTGGGGTGCTCAGTTACCCAGCGGGTAACAGGGTAACAGAAGAGTTACAAGTTGGGGTGCTCAGTTACCCAACGGGTAACAGGGTAACAGAAGAGTTACAAGTTGGGGTGCTCAGTTACCCAACGGGTAACAGGGTAACAGAAGAGTTACAAGTTGGGGTGCTCAGTTACCCAGCGGGTAACAGGGGAACAGAACAGTTACAAGTTGGGGTGCTCAGTTACCCAGCGGGTAACAGGGTAACAGAAGAGTTACAAGTTGGGGTGCTCAGTTACCCAACGGGTAACAGGGTAACAGAAGAGTTACAAGTTGGGGTGCTCAGTTACCCAACGGGTAACAGGGTAACAGAAGAGTTACAAGTTGGGGTGCTCAGTTACCCAGCCGGTAACAGGGTAACAGAAGAGTTACAAGTTGGGGTGCTCAGTTACCCAGCGGGTAACAGGGTAACAGAAGAGTTACAAGTTGGGGTGCTCAGTTACCCAGCGGGTAACAGGGTAACAGAAGAGTTACAAGTTGGGGTGCTCAGTTACCCAGCGGGTAACAGGGTAACAGAAGAGTTACAAGTTGGGGTGCTCAGTTACCCAGCGGGTAACAGGGTAACAGAAGAGTTACAAGTTGGGGTGCTCAGTTACCCAGCGGGTAACAGGGGAACAGAAGAGTTACAAGTTGGGGTGCTCAGTTACCCAGCGGGTAACAGGGTAACACGGGTGAGGAGCCACGCCCACCACGAAGTGGTGCTCCTAGGGACTCAGGAGCCACGCCGACCACGAAGTGGTGCTCCTTGGGACTCAGGAGCCACGCCGACCACGAAGTGGTGCTCCTTGGGACTCAGGAGCCACGCCCACCTGTGTAGCCGATGCGGCAGCGGCATCGGCCGGTGTCGTAGTGACACGTGCCCACCCCGTTGCAATCCTGCATGCACTTGTTGCCATACACCTCCTGTTGCACGCATGCCATGCCATGCCATGCCATGCCATGCCATGCACACATGGATCGATGCATGTGCCATAACCATGCATCCCATTTCATGCACATGTAGATGCATGCACATGTGGAAAGGGGCATAATACCCACATAATGACTCATTGGCAGCAGTACTACCAACCTTCCCACCATCCCATTCATATCCCACCTCCCCATCTTTCAAGCCCTCCGCCAATCTTCCCTCCCCCATAGCTTCCCCCACCGCCAATCTCCCCCACCGCCAATCTCCCCCACCAACCTCTCACCCACCTCCACGGTCTTGATCACTCCCGACTCCCCATTGCAGCTGCTCAGCCAATCACCGACGTCGAATCTCCACGGCGCGCCGCGCCACGTCACCACCTCGTCATCCAATCGGCTCCTCTTCCGCTTCCCATCCTCCCCCACCACCTCCCCTTCCCGCCCCACCCCCGCGGAGTCCCTATAATCCTCCACTTCCGCCGCCTCTTCCCCCAAATGTCCCCCGCCGCCCGCGCCTGCCCCCGCGCCCGCTTTCCCCCATCTCCCCCCTCCGCGCCCCGGCTTCGCGTCCGGATACAGCCCCTCCTGCGGGTCTTCCCCCGGTTTTCCGCCACCCCAGTTTCCGCCAGCGCCGGTGCCCCATTCACCTCCCCCCCCGCCCCGCCCGCCTGACGGTAACGTTGACGGATCTAGAGTGGACGCGTCTACGCCTTTAAACGAGTCGACTGGCAACGGTCGGTAACCTCTAGGTTCTCGCGACGAACCGGTTCCTGTGCCGTCCAGATCAGACGGATAGAGTGAATCTGAGCCGTCCGATGGGGGTGTGGTTGTGGTGGGTGATACTGATGCAGGGGAAGTGAGGAAGATTATAACGAGGATGATTACTGCAACGGCTGCGATTACGGGCCATCTGAACCAAATCGCATCGGAGCAGAGAGACGAGAGCGAGGAAAAGGAATACGAGGAGAGGAGGGAGAAGGGGTAAGGGAGCGAACTAGGACCCAGCGGTCGATCTAAATCTAAATCGAACGGTCGACGTCGCTTCCCTCGTTTTCCTGACGGATCCAGGAGGCTATCACCATCATTGTCCTCATCCTCGCTATAATCCTCCTCGCTAATCTCACTATACTGACCGCGCGATCCCCGCGCGCGCCTGGCGGGGGGGGAGGAGTGCAGCTGTAGCGGCGGGGAGCGCGGGGAGCGCACCGAATGCGGGGAGCAAGGGCCGTCGTGCGACGCGTGGAAGTCGGGAGGCGGGTGAAGCAGTAGCTCCTCTGTCTCGGGAATGGGCAAATGGTCTACTAACGGGGGGCCGCTGTGGCCTTCCCTCTCTAGAACCTCCATCGTTCGTCCCTCGTGTACGAGCGATTAAAAATCAAGATTTACTGTTGTTATTCAACAGCTGACAAAGAATGTCTCTCACATACTACGTGCGATAATTCGAAATTCCTGCGAAACCAGAAATTGTTACGCCGAGGCGAAACGTGTCACCTTTGTTTCTTGCGACTCTCTAGGCGAGATGAATTGAGCGGTACGCGAAACCTAGTGGAATCCAGGCCATGCTCAAAACCAGTCAGGCGATACGGACCAAGCTGGGCTGGTGTGGTAACTCGATTAATTTTTACGATGTCTTTCGCCTATTTTCCCTACACCCCTAACCAGCACACCCCACCAATCAGAAAACCCGTACGCTTTTTACGATTTCCAAAGCAACCATTGCTGCTCCCATCCATAGCAGGCAGCACAAAAGGGGTTCTTTCGAGAATAGCCTTGCTTTCAGCGGCGTTGCTGCGTGGGCCGGTACTTAATGTCGATTCCTGAGGAAAGTAACTCCACTAGACCCCACACCCTGATCTCGCAGAAATAATATCGCCTCGTCGCACTCAAATTATCTGCAACTTCGCCATCCCATCGCATCGCATCGCGTCCGATCGCATCGTATCTGATCGTATCGCACACAACCTTGCTGTGAAGCGCAAATGCAGAATCAGCCGCCCGGGCCGCTGGGCCCGCCGCAGCAGGCGCAGCCGCCTCCGCCGTTCGCGTACGGCCACGCGCCAGGCCCGGGGCGGGGAGCGGGAATGGGGATGGGGGGACCGGGGCCCGGGGGACCAGGGATGGGCGGACCGGGACCCGGGCCCGGACCGGGGATGGGGGCACCAGGTCCGGGGGGAGGGGGGATGGGCGGACCAGGACCGGGGGGACCAGGGATGGGGCATGGTCCCGGTCGCGGTATCCCAGGCCCAGGCGGACCAGGTGGACCGGGGGGACCGGGGGGACGAGGGGGACCGGGGCATGGGGGCCCCGGGCAGGGGTTTGGGCGCGGAGGGGGGTTTGAAGGCGGGTTCCATCCTGGCGCAGGGTTTGGGGGGCGAGGGGAGTATGGGGGACGGGGGGAGTATGGCGGAAGGGGGGACTATGGTGGCGGGCGGGGCGGAGATTTCGGTGGCAGAGGCGGGTTCTTTGATGGTAAGTGCTCTGGTGCTTCCAGTCCCCCCCCCTCCTCCCGTTCCTCCTCACTCCTCTCCGTTTCCCAGTCATCCCCCCTCATTCCCAACACCCCTGCCTTGTATGCAGCGCGCAGGATGCAGCGCAGAGGGATGCAGAGGCGAACGGTGGACTACAGCGCCACGGTGGCGCTCTATCTGCACGAACGCGCACGCCAGTGGGACGCACGTCACACCTCTCACCTCCTGCCCACCTCCTCCGCCTCGCTCAAGGTGCGCTCTGAGTCGACTCCAACTGCTTAAGGTTGATTTGACATGCCTCAACAGTTGCCACTTAGACGCACGTCACACCTCTGACCTCCTGCCCACCTCCTCCGCTTCCCTCAAGGTGCGCTTGAATTGACTTCGTTGCAGCTGTTTTTTTTTTAATTCTTTTATTATTATTATTTTATTTTATTCTCTGCACGTGATTCCTCGGACCTCGTGCCCACCGTCCCCGCGTCACTCAAGGTGGGCAATGACTTGAATCAACTCTCCAACAAAGCCCCTAGGCACTCTCCAACAAAGCCCCTAGGCACACTCCAACAAAGCCCCTAGGCACACTCCAACAAAGCCCCTAGGCACACTCCAACAAAGCCCCTAGGCACACTCCAACAAAGCCCCTAGGCACACTCCAACAAAGCCCCTAGGCACACTCCAACAAAGCCCCTAGGCACACTCCAACAAAGCCCCTAGGCACACTCCAACAAAGCCCCTAGGCACACTCCAACAAAGCCCCTAGGCACACTCCAACAAAGCCCCTAGGCACACTCCAACAAAGCCCCTAGGCACACTCCAACAAAGCCCCTAGGCACACTCCAACAAAGCCCCTAGGCACACTCCAACAAAGCCCCTAGGCACTCTACAACAAAGCCCCTAGGCACACTCCAACAAAGCCCCTAGGCACACTCCAACAAAGCCCCTAGGCACACTCCAACAAAGCCCCTAGGCACACTCCAACAAAGCCCCTAGGCACACTCCAACAAAGCCCCTAGGCACACTCCAACAAAGCCCCTAGGCACACTCCAACAAAGCCCCTAGGCACACTCCAACAAAGCCCCTAGGCACACTCCAACAAAGCCCCTAGGCACACTCCAACAAAGCCCCTAGGCACACTCCAACAAAGCCCCTAGGCACACTCCAACAAAGCCCCTAGGCACACTCCAATAAAGCCCCTAGGCACACTCCAACAAAGCCCCTAGGCACACTCCAACAAAGCCCCTAGGCACACTCCAACAAAGCCCCTAGGCACACTCCAACAAAGCCCCTAGGCACACTCCAACAAAGCCCCTAGGCACACTCCAACAAAGCCCCTAGGCACACTCCAACAAAGCCCCTAGGCACACTCCAACAAAGCCCCTAGGCACACTCCAACAAAGCCCCTAGGCACTCTACAACAAAGCCCCTAGGCACACTCCAACAAAGCCCCTAGGCACACTCCAACAAAGCCCCTAGGCACACTCCAACAAAGCCCCTAGGCACACTCCAACAAAGCCCCTAGGCACACTCCAACAAAGCCCCTAGGCACACTCCAACAAAGCCCCTAGGCACACTCCAACAAAGCCCCTAGGCACACTCCAACAAAGCCCCTAGGCACACTCCAACAAAGCCCCTAGGCACACTCCAACAAAGCCCCTAGGCACACTCCAACAAAGCCCCTAGGCACACTCCAACAAAGCCCCTAGGCACACTCCAATAAAGCCCCTAGGCACACTCCAACAAAGCCCCTAGGCACACTCCAACAAAGCCCCTAGGCACACTCCAACAAAGCCCCTAGGCACTCTCCAACAAAGCCCCTAGGCACACTCCAACAAAGCCCCTAGGCACACTCCAACAAAGCCCCTAGGCACACTCCAACAAAGCCCCTAGGCACACTCCAACAAAGCCCCTAGGCACACTCCAACAAAGCCCCTAGGCACTCTCCAACAAAGCCCCTAGGCACACTCCAACAAAGCCCCTAGGCACTCTCCAACAAAGCCCCTAGGCACACTCCAACAAAGCCCCTAGGCACACTCCAACAAAGCCCCTAGGCACACTCCAACAAAGCCCCTAGGCACACTCCAACAAAGCCCCTAGGCACACTCCAACAAAGCCCCTAGGCACACTCCAACAAAGCCCCTAGGCACACTCCAACAAAGCCCCTAGGCACACTCCAACAAAGCCCCTAGGCACACTCCAACAAAGCCCCTAGGCACACTCCAACAAAGCCCCTAGGCACACTCCAACAAAGCCCCTAGGCACACTCCAACAAAGCCCCTAGGCACACTCCAACAAAGCCCCTAGGCACTCTACAACAAAGCCCCTAGGCACACTCCAACAAAGCCCCTAGGCACACTCCAACAAAGCCCCTAGGCACACTCCAACAAAGCCCCTAGGCACTCTCCAACAAAGCCCCTAGGCACACTCCAACAAAGCCCCTAGGCACACTCCAACAAAGCCCCTAGGCACACTCCAACAAAGCCCCTAGGCACACTCCAACAAAGCCCCTAGGCACACTCCAACAAAGCCCCTAGGCACTCTCCAACAAAGCCCCTAGGCACACTCCAACAAAGCCCCTAGGCACACTCCAATAAAGCCCCTAGGCACACTCCAACAAAGCCCCTAGGCACACTCCAACAAAGCCCCTAGGCACACTCCAACAAAGCCCCTAGGCACTCTCCAACAAAGCCCCTAGGCACACTCCAACAAAGCCCCTAGGCACACTCCAACAAAGCCCCTAGGCACACTCCAACAAAGCCCCTAGGCACACTCCAACAAAGCCCCTAGGCACACTCCAACAAAGCCCCTAGGCACTCTCCAACAAAGCCCCTAGGCACCGCATAGCATATGCACGCCCGGCCTGCACCCTGCTCTCGAGCCTCCTCACACTACTCCCGCTTCTGTCCCGCTTCTCTTCCTCTTCTCTTCCGCTTCTCACCTTCCGCCACTCCCCTCCCCCCCACACCCCCACCCCTCCCCCCTCTCCATGCATTCCTTTCCCCCCCGTCTTGTCCAGCTGCTCCCCTGCATGGCCTACGAGGACCGCCCAGCAGCCAGCATCGCGTCTCGCTTTGTGCACGCCTCCACCAACAAGATCCGCTGCCCCATCAACCAAGTCGTGGTACGGAGATGGGTGCAGTGCGGTGATAAGGCACGGCATGGGATGCAGTGGGATGGGGTGCGCTGGGGTGCGGTGCGGTGGGGTAGGGTGAATTGGGCTGATGGTATGGTATGGTATGTTACTGCATGCCGACACCCTGCTGCTGACATCACAGCACATCTATCAGTCTCCTCCTCCTCATGCCCCCCCAACATGGCCCTTCCTTCTCCCCACGTGTGAAAACAAGTGTTTTGAGAAGGAAGGGCCTTTCCTTCTCAAAACCCCTCCCCCTGCTCTCACCCTCTCCTCCGCCACGCCACACACCCCTATCTCGTCTTCCTTCCTCTCTCCCAGCGCCCCTCTCCGCGTTGCTTACCTCACCCCACCCCATCTCATCTCACCCCACCCCACCCCACCCCACCCCACCCCACCCCACCCCACCCCACCCTCTCCACCCTGCCCCACGCCCCCGAACCGCTCGCCAGTGGACGCCCACAGGGCGGCGGCTGCTGACAGGGTCACAGAGCGGCGAGTTCACGCTGTGGAACGGGCTGTCCTTCAACTTCGAAATGCTCATGCAGGTGGGGGGGGGAGAGGGTGCGGGGGGAGGGTAGCGATGTGGGTGCTGCTCTTGAGGTTGCTGCTGGGGTGTTGGGGGGGGCTGCGCTGCGGTGAGTTCACGCTGTGGAACGGCCTCTCCTTCAACTTCGAAATGCTCATGCAGGTGCGGGGTGGTCTGTAGGCTTGCAGCTGCTGCTGGAGGGGGGGGGAAGAGGGGTGCCGCTGGGGGAGCTGCTGCTGGGTTGGGAGCTGCTGCTGGGGGGGAAGCTGCTGCTGCGGGGGGGAGCTGCTGCTGGGGGGGGAGCTGCTGCTGCGGGGGGGAGCTGCTGCTGCGGGGGGGAGCTGCTGCTGGGGGGGGAGCTGCTGCTGGGGGGGGAGCTGCTGCTGGGGGGGGAGCTGCTGCTGCGGGGGGGAGCTGCTGCTGCGGGGGGGAGCTGCTGCTGGGGGGGGAGCTGCTGCTGGGGGGGGAGCTGCTGCTGGGGGGGGAGCTGCTGCTGCGGGGGGGAAAGGGGGGGGGAGTGTTGCTGCTTCTGCTGGGTGGGGGGTATGCTGCTGGTGGCAGGTGGCAGGTGATGTGCAGATATACTGATTGTGTTCCTCCCTTCGCCCCCTTGTGCGCACCGTCTGCAGGCTCATCAGGTGGCGGTGAGGAGCATGGTGTGGAGCCACAACGGCAACTGGCTGGTGTCAGGGGACGACTCAGGATGCATCAAGTGAGATTAATTTTACAGTTTAAATGTCATCAATTAAGCAAGCCAGCCGATAATCGTATGTCTGCTTTGACCTTGCAACTTTTTCCTATTACGATTTATATATTCATACATACCTCTTTTTCAGTTTCAACTGCTTGAAGCTAACAGCATTGACCGCATTGACCCTGTTGATTGGCGTTGATTGGGCAGGTACTTCCAGACCAATCTGCGCATGATGAAGGAGAATGCCACCGCCCACAAGGAGTCCGTGCAGGGCGTCAGGTATTTCTTCTTGGGCCAAGTGTCGGGACAATGTACACATGTATCAGAAATATATATACATATATAATATATATATATATATATATTTTTTTTTCGAATGTTTGCAAGTCTTGTCCCACCCAGTCATATTATTTCCGCGCTCTCACCCTCGCTGCCTCACTCCCTCCCCCAACCGATCCAGCTTTTCAAGCTCCGATCTCAAGTTCTGCTCGTGCTCTGACGACACGGCAGTGAAGGTGTGGGACTTTGCGCGCTGCCAGGACGAGGTCACCCTCGCAGGCCACCGCTGGAACGTGCTGTGTGTCGACTGGCACCCCTTCAACTCCCTCATCGTCTCGGGTAATCCACGTCCCTCATGTTCCGACTATCCATCATTTCACTCATACAATACATTGCACTCATCTCCTGCCAGTCCATTTCTCGATCTTTCCTCTGCTGTTGATATCCTATATGCTCCCTGCTTTTGCCATCTTTTGGACCTCTCTTCCTCTTATTCCCCGTTGATAGGTGGCAAGGACACACACTCAAAGCTCTGGGATGCACGCACAGGACGGGAAGTATGCACCCTGTGGGTCACTCTGCTGTGTTGAGATATCCTTGAGGCAATATTTTTTCCTGAGTCTTTGGGGCATCCCACCACCAATTTCAATCTCCCAACACAGACCATGTACCACCCACCACCACCCCACCCATCACCCACCACCACCCATCACCCACCACCACCCATCACCCACCACCACCCATCACCCACCACCACCCCTCACCCACCACCACCCCTCACCCACCACCACCCCTCACCCACCACCACCCCTCTCCCATCGTGCATCAGGTATGGGCACAAGCGCACGGTGCGGTCAGTGGCTTGGAACCAGAACGGCAACTGGCTCGCCTCGTCCTCAGACGACCAGCTAGTGAAGGTGAGTTATCACCTTATGAGTCGACTCATGAGTCCATGCAAAGGTCCTCCGACGACGACTGGCTGTTTAAGGTGAGTGAGTGAGCTGGTGGTCAGCCTATGCATCCACATGACCGCTAATGAAACAGCAAAACAGCGCGTCCCTCCGTGTGTGATCTCTTCCAAGGCCCCCAAATCTAGGGTCCAATTGGAGTCTTTGGATCTTCATACGCTGTGCTGTGCTGTGCTGCGCACCCTCCGTCTCTCCCTTCTCTCTCCCCCCCCCCCCCAGCTGTACGACATTCGCACGCTCAAGGAGATGGAGACGTTCAAGGGTCACACGAAAGAGGTGTCGTCCATAGCATGGCATCCCGTGCACGAGGACCTGCTCGCCAGTGGCGGCTCTGACGGGAGCATTCTCTTCTGGCTTGTGGGGTGAGTGGGGTGGGGGTGGGCAGCATGGTTGGGCCATGGGGTGGGGCATGGGGTGGGGCATGGGGTGGGGCATGGGGTGGGGCATGGGGTGGGGCATGGGGTGGGGCATGGGGTGGGGCATGGGGTGGTGTTAGTAGAATAGGATGCGAGCAAGCACACATAGCATGGCATCCCGAGCACGAGGACCTGCTCGCCAGTGGCGGCTCTGACGGCAGCATCCTGTTCTGGCTCGTGGGGTGAGATGGGGAAGTGGGCATGGGTGGGGGATGCATGGGGCATGGGTGCGGCATGGGTGGGAATGGGGTGGTTGGTACAAGTACAGTAGGATGTGAGTACAGCATAGCATGGCATCCCGGGCACGAGGACCTGCTGGCTAGTGGCGGCTCTGACGGCAGCATTCTCTTCTGGTTCGTTGGGTGAGTTGGGAGGGGGGGACTGGTTGGGGAATGGGTGGGTCATGGGTGGGTCGCGGGTGGGTCGTGGGTGGGTCGTGGGTGGGTCGTGGGTGGGGCATGGGTGGGGCATGGGTGGGGCATGAGTTGGGCATGGGTGGGGCATGGGTGGGGCATGGTTGGGGCATGAGTTGGGCATGGGTGAGTGTTTAAGCGGCTCAGAATCTCTTTCCCCTATTACCCCGTGCCAATTCCACAGTTCCAACACGAGTGGGCCGGCAGCAGAGGTGACAGGAGCACACGAGAACGCGGTGTTGTCGCTGGCGTGGCACCCACTAGGGCACGTTCTGTGCAGCGGCAGTCGCGATCAGACAACCAAGTTCTGGAGCCGCAACCGGCCTGGCGATGCTGTGAAAGACCCGATGGGAACCGTCAACACGGCGTCCCCTGCTGCTGCTGCCGCTGCCACTCCTGGTTATGCTGGTGAGTGTTAGGAGTGTGGGTGAGTGAATGTGAGGGAGTGAGTGTGTGTGTGTGTGAATGTGAGGGAGTGAGTGTGTGTGGAGTATCAGTGTGATCTGGGTAGCAGGGGTCAACGAGCTCTGTGTGTGTAGTCTGGTTTGACTCTACAGTTGACTCAAAGGCAGCCGAGACCAGAGCACCAAGTTCTGGAGCCGCAACCGGCCTGGGGATGCTGTGAAAGACCTGATGGGTTCTGTTAACACCGCCTCTCCTGCTGCTGCTGCCGCCGCCACTCCTGGCTATGCTGGTGAGGGGGTAGGATTGTGTGTTTTGTGTGAGTGTGGGTGTGAGCGTGAGTCTGGGTAGTAGCAGCCAATGTGCTCCGTATGGAAACAGTCTTGTTTTACTTTTGAGTCTGCCCAAAAGCCAGTCACGACCAGAGCACCAAGTTCTGGAGCCGCAGCCAGCCTGGCGATACTGTGAAAGACCTGATGGGATCCGTCAACACAGCATCCTCTGCTGCTGCTGCCGCCGCCACTCCTGGTTGTGCTGGTGAGTGTGAGTGTGAGTGTGAGGGAGTGTCGGTTTGAGTTTCAGTGAGTATGATTTGGATTGTGTGAGTGAGTTTGTGATTTTGTGTGCGTGCGTGAGTGTGAGCGAGTTTTGAACCCCACCTTCCCCCTCTTTTCCCCAACACCAGGACCCCCACCTGCTAAGGAGCCACCCCCCTCAGCACCACGGCCCGCCTCTGCCCCTCCCTCTGCCGGCTCGTCTGGTTCACGCCACCCGCCACGCCCACAGCAGCAGCAGCGGCGGCACCAGCAGTCCCAGTCCCACAGCACTCAGCCCTTCCCTCCTTCCGATAGACGCCCCTCCTACCAGCACCCGCAGCAGCAGTATCAGGAGCAATACGAGCACCCATACCAGCAGCAGAGCCAACAGTACCAACAGCATCAGCACCGGCAGTTTCACCACCCTCATGCCTCGCATTCCCTCTCCTCCTCCGGCCCTCCTCCTTCCCTCCCTCCCCATGGGCCTCCGCCTCCCCATGCTCACTCAATGCCTCCACTCCATGGGCACCCGCCGAACCTGCCGCCAGGTCCCGGAAGCATGGGAGGTGGGGGGCCAGGAGGGGGTTATTCAGGGCAGGGCGGTTTTCAAGGAGGGGGTAGGCCAGGCCCCTTGGGTGGGATGGGTGGAGGGATGGGTTTTGGGATGGATGTGGGGATGGGAGGGGAAGGAGGCATGGGCAGACCAGGGTATGGGCCTGGGGGAGATATGGGTGTTGGTGGCTTAGGGGATGGGTTTGGGGGTCCCATGGGGCAGTTTGGTCATGATCAATATGGAGGTCAGGGGATGGGGCATGGACCCCCTCCACCTCAACCACTGCCACCCTACCAGCCACTATATCCTTGATACTCCAAAAACTTTTCTATGGACATGCAAAAATTGAAGGACATTTTGCACGTGGTGCTCCCAGTGCCAGGAATTTATGCTTTGCATTAGAGCGTGTTCCTACACCTCGTATCAGAAACACCTCGTATCAGTTTCGCGTGGTGAAATGCGTTTCAGTGTGTTCGACTGCGGTTGGATGCGTTTTAGTGCGGTTTGACGCGAAATTGATACGAGGTTGCCTGATAGTAACACGCTCTTATACATCCTGGCAGAATGGATCCATGATACACCTGTGTTTGTTCTTCACAGCAGATTGAAAAATAGTTTATTGAGCAGTAGCACCAGCAAAGAGACATTGCTTGGGCCGCAAGACTGACAGGCACTTTTTCCTACAGAATGCAAACATGCAAAACAATGAAGCAGACCCTCAGCCATTTGGATCATTGCAATGCCACAGCTTGAGTGGCACAATGCAGGACATTTGTCACATGCACCAAGCAGGCACCACGATCACACTCCCTCACTGCAACTTCCAAGTATCATCATCCTCATTCCCACTTTGCTCCGACCACGGACTAGAACCATCTGGCTTCTCATCCTGAGGTCGAGCCAAAGAAAGCATTCTCCACATCTCTTCCACCGGCAGAGACATTGCCGCAACTGCTTCATCCGCCCTCACCAACCACCACCCTGCTCGAATTTCCGCTTCCAGCTGTCCAGGCTGCCAACCTGCCCGACCAACTAAAACGTAATTCGTGGAATTCGATTCCAGCTCAATGTGCGTCCGACCTAGAAAGCACCGAACATTAACCGTCGGATCTGAGATTTCAGGCTTCTGTTCCCTGGGAAGCATCTGTATGGAGGGTAGGTCGGAGCCTATGATCAGGCCTGGCAGGACTTGGCGCGACCAGCCTCCATCAGGGCTGCGAGCATGGCTGAGTTTCGCACAGGAGCAGCGGCAGCATATTCGTCTTGCTCGCGCTGGCATGGCGCAGCATGGACAGCGTTCAAGCAACAGCCAGTCAGACTGCCCGATTGGCCCTCCCCACGCAAGGTTGAGCTGATTCTTGGCTAAGGATCGTCGGACGGATTTAGGAAGGTCCAGGAGGTGTGATCCTAATTCATCATCCTGCATAAATTTCACGAGCGTGAAAGGTGAAAACAATCCATAAAGAAGGGTCTGCAACGAAGTAACTGAATGGGACTCACCTGCATGGGCTTGTTAATAACGATGCCACTTATTCCGACTGACGGATGATAATCATACAACAGCACCTGCGTTCATCTCGGGTTAGCACACAAACAAGACAGAACCTGGTGAGAAAGGCGAAAGGCGAAACTCAAAATAGTAGCAACACGAAGGAGAAACAAAGGAGATCGTACCACTGACTGATAAAAGATGGAGGCTGCGATTGGCATGGAGGGAGAGGCAACCAAAAGCATTCCAGGATGTACGGAAACAGATGCACCTTCACGCCAGAGTGTTCTGATGGGAGTTGCGTGGGGAGAACAAATACCATGGCAATATTATCACCGAGCATCCGCCTATTGCGGTCAACGAGGTCCCATGAACTGAATTGCGTTTGTGTAGCGGCTTCATTTCAGCCGAACCGAGTGTGATCTTATCATGCCGTTCGGTCGAGATTGTCATCAGTAACTGTTGCTTTAGCTTTGCAAAAATGCCTGCAATGGTTAACCAGCACAACATTCCCGAAATGGCTCAGTTTCGGCCTATCTATTAACGAACCTGGAGATAGTGTGGAATAGAGAGTGGAGCTGGAAAATGAGCGTGGCGAACTCCATGTGAAACACCAACAAGACATAGCAGGTAACCTGCACGATGACGATGGGTGTCAGCCGCAATAAGTTGCGAAGGTAAAGCTCCTGTACTGATTTTTTGCATAAGCTCAGCCAGGAATTAGCATCATAAACTTGAGGCATACCAGGAAAACGAAGAAGCCTGTGAGCTCTCGCGAGTAGAACTCGATCAGGCGAAGCAGTCTGAGACCTATTGATAAACGAGGAGGCGCTACCGAGAAGCGTTGCGTGCAGACGGAACATCTGCAGAATTGGAAGTGCACATGATAAGAGAAGCACCGATATAATAAAAAGCGCAAGAGACACGCAATGGCAAGGCTCAGTCAGTACCACGAGAATAGAAAACCGGGAGAAATCACTCACACAAGTGCTGGGGTGTAGTTCGTCCCAGGATGTCGAGATGCCATCACAGCCCATTGCCATTGTCTTAAACACGCAAGATGCACATACGCTTGAGTGCCTGCATGAGCGGTTGGAATGTTAAACCACCGAAGTGAGATTAATGCAACACGGGAGATTGAGCAGCTTCGATACACTTTCAAGCATTTAGGACGTGAATGGCAAGGCCAGAAATCAGTTTTGTATCCCTGATTTTTTACGACGATCACGGCATTAACTTCTCGACATCCTTTCGCGAAATGAAAGAGACTGAGTCAGGACTCTGACTAGGGATCACACAGAACACACTTCGCGAGAAAGCTGGCCTTGAAGAAACTCGGTCAATATTATGTAAGCTACTCAATAATAAATCAGCCTGATGGATTCTCGTACTCCGTTTTTCGCTGATGCTTGCAACAGCACTGGACACATGGGTTAGAGAAATACCAGTGCAGGCACATGGCGAAATCAGACTGTCTTCAGACGAAGATAAACCGCAATTGAATATCGCTGAAAGGCCCGTCTCTTGACGTGTTGGTAACGGACTACTCTCTAAGCATATTCTACAAAAGCCTAATTGCTCTCCGTTGCCATCCCCTTTTCCCTTGCTACTAGATTCCATGTCTGCTCGACAGCATCAACAGGCGAGGATGCAACAAGGAAGGCCAAAACAACGTCACAACATTTTCCAGAAAACGGAAGCTCGGCTAAATGCACCGTCTCAGAAGGTCCGACTGTGGAAATGGCGCCTAGTTGTGATGCTAGGAAACGTCAATACCAAGAGTGTTTCAGGAATTTAAGTTGTTTTCCAGTAGTGAGCTACCTACACTGGCCAAGCCAAGCTGGAAAACCTCACGGTAGAGGGGAATGGGGATGGGGGAAGAGGATGGGTTGCATAGGTACGAACGAAATGCTTGCCAAGCTGTTACCCCCACCAAAAGACACCTCCTGGATACGAGATGACGAAGAATCACGATTTCGCTAATAGATTTATCGAAGCTCTTCGCCTGGCGTTCAGTCCAGCCAATCACTGGACAGCAAGGCTTTGCCCTGGGAATGACCAATGCCACTAACTGCGGCACGGATGAAGAAGTTGCGCTTGCTTGCACTGGTGAATACAGCGGCACCGCGTGCTCCATGTGTGAGCGAAGCATGGCTCGTTGACCCTAATTTCGTGCCACACAATAGCCAATCGAAAGCGAGCCTCGCCCCTCATCTGCTTGTGGCGAGAGTCTACACCGAACCGCGGCGGCGCCAATCGAGGTGTGGGTTCCAAGGGGGAGAAGAACGTGGCCTGAATCGTTAATAACGATGGCATCGTTTTTAGGCCTGGCTACTTTCTTCCCTTGCAGTTATGACACTCCGCACTGTGCTTGAACAAGGACCTCAAGAACCAGCCGTGACTGAATCAAAACTTGAATATTAATATTAACCCTCTGCATCAATCCCAGCTGTTGGAAATATATATATACTCCGGTGAAATATGGAAGAAGCACACTTTGATGTCATGTCTTTATGTAGAGTCAAGGAGTTATGCCATTGAGTCAACTTTCAGAAAAACTGTGTGGTATGCGTGCGTACAATGTGTGGTCTACCTATATGTATGGTGTTTCGAAATGGTACGGTATCCATACTATGCACAAACGTCCAAACAAAGAGGTACTGGAAGGTGGACACGAGATTACCGGTAAAGTCATTGATAAGTGGTGCCAACCACATATTCGGCAACTTTATTCCATACATAGCATGCTTAATCTGATTCCTAATTTTTCAGTATACCTTTGCCTAAGGGCGTGTTCCTACGGTCCCTTATCAGGCACCTCTTATCAGACTTGCCTGGTAAAATGCGCGAAGGGTTTAGGGTTCGCGCGAATTTCAGTTTGATTTTTTCCGAGCTTGATAGGAGGCGGCCTGATAGGGGGCCGTAGGAACACGCCCTAAGAACCAACCTGAATGCATATACTGCATCCCATCGGTGACAGCATGCTGAAGAGTACCAACTAACAAGTATGAGACTGTTCCCCAATCCGCAGGGACATGCCTCTTCTCTTTCCAAACCCAAACATAACTCACACACACCACCCTTGTACATAACATATCCTGCCCTAGGCAGCAGCATCGGAGGGTTTCCCAGCAAGGATAAGAGAGATCTCGAGGCCTCGGGAGAAGGCCTGGTTGAAGACAAGGCGGGTCTGGAAGGTGGAAAAGAAGGGGAACCACGAGAGCACTGCGACTGGCAGGAAGATCATCCCCCCCATGATTGCATCGTACACACGCGCTAGGGTGCGCACCTGCCTCCACCACCACAGCCGCTTGTTGTGCACGGGCCGCAGGGCTATAATCACCTGCCGTACAGTCACGCGCAAGGATTTACAGAGGGGAGTACGGGAGGTCCAGGTGAGGAGTGGAAGATACTGGATTTGGAAGGTGACAGGAAAGAAATGAAAAGGGAGGATGGGTTAGGTGCAGGGCCTATTTTATCAGGGTAAATCACCCTGATGCCCTGATGAACAGGGTGGTTTTTAGGTAGTAACACTGATGCGGTAGGGTATTTTTTTTGGGACCTTCATTTACCCTGATGTGCCAGGGTTTTCGATTAAGCTACACTGTCGCCAGGGTTGCCGATTCTATTATCGAGTTTAACCCTGAAGCGAGTTCCATCCAACCCCCGCCCCCCCCCCCCCCCCCCCCCCCCCCCCCCCCCCCCCCCCCCCCAACCTTCCTGTAACCCCCCTTCCCCGTAACCTGGGAATCCCCTTTGCCAACTGCCCGTCGGATGTGGTGGACATCTGGCGCAAGCAAAAAACCAGACGGCCGGCAAAATCAGTGGCGATGCCTACCCCAGCGGAGAGAAAGGACAAAGAGAAAGTCCAGTGGGAGCCAGAAGAGGAAAGTGAGCACGAAGAACACCAGTGTGGCATGTCTGATGATGATGATTGATTTTGTCATTCTGTGCAGTGTTAAAACTAACTAAACAAGGGCTTTAAAAAGTGGTACACTGATGACCCAGGGTAAAAATTTCTAGACCTGCAAAAACCCTGACAGATCAGGATTTTCAAAGAGGGATACTCTGATAATCAGGTTTTTGCTGTTGAGCAACACTGATCGTAAGGGTTGGCCAAAACCAAAAATTAGCCCTGGTTAGGTGGGGTAAATGGCAGAGGGAGGAGAGAGGGTTGGCACAAAGCTGCGCATACCTGCAGCAGGCCCCAGCCGTTGAGGGGGATGAAGAGGAAGATGATGGCGCACAGATCGCCGACGGTGAGCGAGGTGACGGTGACACACACGGCAATGCCCGCCACGAAGAGCACTGCCGCTGTGATCTGCAGCAGCCGGAGAGGTAGCTGTGCCTCCCACGCACGTGAGAAGTTGAACACCTGGAAGGGTGGGGTTGTGAGGGTTAGGGGAGGAGGGAGGTGAGGGGGTGACATTTGAGTCAACTCAAAAAGGAGTACGAGTTATGGGGTGGGGAGAGTGAAGGGGATGGTTAGGGAAAGGCTGCACAGGAGCGAGCTTCATGCAAGGGCTTACGCTGTGGCGGAGATGGATGAACGACTGAAGCAAGAGCTGGGGCGATGAGGCAGGGTGGGGACACCAAGAGATGCAGCAACTTTCTTCAATTCAGAGCACAGTAGGCCCAGCTACGGCAATGCTGTGAGAACACCCACCCGCGGCTCTCTCAACTCACCCAGAAGACAAGGGCGACGGCGACAAAGATGATCCATGCGTACGCATACACCTGGGAGACGGCAGCGAAGGGAGAGTGGGGATGGTACGAGGAGTGACGAGGGAGGTGACCAAAAGGTACACTCAGACGAATCTGACATGGAGGCCTTTGGTGACGCTGGTAAGCCTAGAACTTGCGAAACATGCGCCTAGTGTGATATACAATGCAGAGTGCCAGCATGCACAGTGACTGTACTCGGTGCGACAGGATGTGTTGGATAGCAGTCCACAGTGGAACTACATCAGGCCAGATGCCATGCAGCAGGGTGATGGCACTCATGAGGATACTGGTGCTGCGCTGGGCCACGATGAGAGGGTAGACGATGCCGTAGGGCACGAAGAAGAAGAAGCGTGGTGGCCATTGAGCCAGCTAAAAGCAAGAATGCATTGTGTGTTGAGATCCGAAACTCACGAGGATGCTGGTGCTGCCCTGGGCGACGTTGAGCTGGTAGACGATGCCGTAGGGCACGAAGAAGAAGCGCAGGTTCAGCACCACCTGTATGATGCGGCTGCGGATGCTGCGCACATGCTCCTGCCAGCGGGTGGGATGGGGGGGATGGGCGGGCACAAATGGGAGAGTTTAGGGTGCGGAGCCAGGGAAACGTCATGGAGGCAAAGCAGGTTGAGCACCACTTGTATGATGCGGCTGCGGATGCTGCGCACGTGCTCCTGCCAGCAGAAAGGGCGGGGGGGATGGGTCAGTCGGATGGCGGGGTGGGCGGGGGGGGGGGGGGGGGAGATGGGTACAAATGGGAAGGTTCAGTCAGCGACCCTGCAGAGGCAGAGCACGTGTGCATGGATGCAAACAAAGAGCGTGCACAAAAAGAGCGTGCTAGAGCAGCATGTGGGCAGTCGGGCCAGCATGCAGTGTGTGTGAGTGTGAGTGCCCTCAGGTGAATGCGTGAGATGAGATGGCTTACCGTCTCCTCATCCCACCACGACTCCCAGCTCTGCTCGCCCTTGACGCCCACGCCGCCCTTGTACCACAGCCACTCCACCCAGTCCTCAAAATCCGCCACCGTCCTGCCTCGGCCAATCCACAGCAGCACAGTCAATCCACAGCGGCACGGCGGGAACAGGAAGGAAGTTTTGAGTCGGAAGAAATCGATATTATTATCCCAGACTAAAGAGGGAGAAATCGAGGAGGGAAGAACGGACGAGGAGGAAATGAAGGAGTTGAAAGCGGTGGTTACTTTTGCCATTCGAAGCCGGCGGGGTTGAAGATGTAGGGCGCGTAGCACCAGGAGAGGGCGAGGAACCACGAGGAGATGGTGATGAGCAGATAGACCAGGCTGGAGCTGCTGCCCCCATACAGCATGTACACCGTCAGCAGCATTATTGCCTCTATGCTGCCAAGGGGTTGGGCGGAGGGGGTAGGACACGATGTGAGTAGCTGTCGACATTGTGTGAAACCACGAGGAGATGGTGATGAGCAGATAGACCAGGCATGAGCTGCTGCCGCCGTACAGCATATACACTGTCAGCAACATTATTGCCTCTATGCTGCACGGAGAGGGAAACACATCACGAGCAGAAACGGAGAGAAGGGAGAGGGGCGGGGTAAGGGGGATGAGGGAGGAGTTGCTACCTCCATACAGCATGTATACTGTCAGCAGCATATGCTGCTGATATTGCCAGGGGCAGTGGACAGAGAAAGACAAGGGTGGGAAAAAGACGGAGCTGCTGCCCTCATACAGCAGGATTACACACCATCAGCACCCCCATCCCTTTTTCCTCCCCCCCTTGTGTTTTCACAACCATTTATGAAGTATGAGCGCGAGTAGAGGCAGCAGCTGTCAGCAAACTTGATGTGGCATGCAATAGAAAGCACCCTCGTGTTGTGCACCCGTATGTGAAGTGCGAGCACGAGTAGAGGCGGTAGTTGTCTGCAAACTTGATGCGGCGAACGACAAAGCCCCTCCTAGTGGCACGGTTACTTGGAAACTGATCAACAATGTCTCAGCGAGCGACTCACCCGTATGTGAAGTGCGAGCGTGAGTAGAGACGGTAGTTGTCAGCAAACTTGATGTGCCGAACAACAAAGCCTCTGCCAGTGGCGCGGTACTTGGCCCCGCCGTGCAGCAGCGTGCGCAGGAAGTAGTGGGCGCGCGTGCCGAGGGAGAAGGTGAAGAAGACAGACGCCAGCTGCAGCTGCATCGTTATGAAACTCACCACCGCCTGGCGGGAGGGGGAAGAGGTTGGGGAAAAGGGATGGAGAGGAGGGTGGGAGTAGAGGGGCAGGAGGGTGGGAGTAGAGGGGCAGGAGGGGGGCAGGTGGGCGGCGCACGATGAAAAAGTTTTGCGCGGGCCAACAGTGGGTGCATATGACTTGGCCCCGCCGTGCAGCAGCGTGCCCAGGAAGTAGTGCAGCTGGCCTCCGCCTTCTGGCCGTCAGCTGCATATGACTTGCACGCATGGCCAGAAGAGGGAGGCCAGCTGCAGCTGCATCGTTATGCAACTCACCACAGCCTCGCGGGTGGGGAAAGAGGGTGTGTGGGGGCAGGCAAGAGTGGGCAATAGAAGGCAAGGTGCGGAGGACGAAGGCCGGCTGCAGCAGTGGAATGAGTATGAGGGAAGGCTGGTTCAAGTATGAATGAAGCCCAGACTTGTTTTCTTAAAAGCTCCTCAACAAGACACTCATCCGCAGGCCCTGTTTGAGGATGAAGCCCATGATCTCTTGGCACGGCGGTGAAGAGTCCAATGGAGCAGCAGCTTGATTGTCAACACATGTGTGGATAAGTGGTCTGAGAGCTAACAGACTCACCCGCAGGAAGCCCTGTTCGAGGATGAATCCCATGATCATGGGCACAGCGGTGAAGAAGCCTGCTTGGATGAGGAACTGCGTGTTGATGGCTGATTCCAGCGCCAGGTTCGCCACACTCTCACTCTGCGACGAGAGAGTCGCACCCACTCCTGATAGGCTCTGTGGGTGGGGCAATCATTTGCACACATCGAGGGACCATACAGAAGGGGTTGATGAAGATATTGAAACCTTGCCAGAGCTGCGCCAAATGCCTGGTGGACTAGGCAGGAGAGTCAGCAAGTCAAACATGCCATGGGAACGCATGGGGGGTTAGGGAAGAAAGATGGTAGACTGCTGTGCCAACAGAAGGACAGGAGGGATTCAGGGGGGAGGCTGTGGGCTCTTAGGCTGGTTCTACTGCCAGGTGACGTATGCATGCAGAAAGTGGAGAGCAGAGATAGTGGCGAGGCGTACCAGGTAGACTCTTCCATAGAGAAACAAGAAGGCACAGAAGGAAGTGAGCTGCAGTGGCGGGAGAGGAAATATGTGGGCAGGGAAAAATGCAGAGAGGTGTGGCTTGAAAAGTGGGCTGACTGATTCGATGCAGTGGGCAAACGGCAAGGATAGATGGAGGTGAGGAAAACGGGTTTAGCAATGAGTGGAAGCAAAACAGGCAATACTTCTGGAAGCAGGCATGTAAGATTGGTTTACAGTGGTATGGTATGGTATGGTAGCTTACAGCGGTGCAGAGGAAGAAGCCGACAGAGGTGAAGTAGAAGGAGAGGAGGCGGTAGAAGTCAAAGAGCTGACCCAGTCGACAGATGTCCCGTGACAGCACCTGTATGTGTGAAGGCAGAGACACACAGAGAGACAGATACATGCACAGACACAGAAACAAAGACACACATACATACATGGCCAGTCATGCATACACAGATGCATACACACACATGCATGTGCACACGCGTTCTCTCCTCTCCCGCACACGCACAATCATGCACGCACACAGAACGTTTCTGCTTCGTGAGTGCACTTTGAAGATTTGTTGCGAAACGACATGAGGAGAGAGAAGTACATATACCACCTCATGCTTTCTGCTGTGTGCTTACAAGGCACGCACAAGCACGTGACACAACAAACACACCTGCAGGTGACGTGGGCGCACAGACACACCTGTTCTCCGTTGCCACTGGCGACCTTGGCCTCAAAGAGTGCGATCTGGTTGAGCCCCACGTCTCGCCCCTTGCCCACCTGGCAGGCACACACAGACATGGATGAATGGAGGGAGGTCCAGATGAGGAGAAGCCAGAGACGAAACCAAAGCGAGAGTTCCGCGGCATACGAAGGTATGCAGAGAGAAGGCGTCGCAGTGCAGTTTGAAAGCGAAACGAGGCTATCCTTGAGTGGTTTCGACTTAGAAGCAATATTAACCTTGAGTTTTCAAGTGGTCATAGCATCACCGTGGGTTTGGCAGTGTGACAGGTGATGCACGGCTTAGGATGGCGCGGCAGAATCCAATGCAGCAGCAATTGAAGGGCTCACTTGTATGTACTCGTGGTGGGTCACATTGCCTTGTCTCAGCGTGGTGCTAAAGCCTGGTGAGGGCGGGTAGAGAAGGTAGAGAAGGTAGAGAAGGTAGAGAAGAGTAAGCTACACAGATGCAGTCAGTCAAGTATGAAAAAAAATGAACATTAGGAGATGGTTTCATAACAAAGAACCTCCTTTTCCACCACCTGGCACCCTGAACCAGCACGCGTGATGCTGCCGTGCGTGATGTGGAACAATGTAGACGCTACAATGTAACCTGACTACTCATGGCATACCGGCAAAGATGTCTTCACTGATGTTGATGGTCTTGGACGCCTTGCTCATGCCCCCCCGCGTGATGTGGAAGAGGCGGTCAAACACATCTGGATGCCCGTAGTGCATGCGCACCCTGCGGAGCGGATGGGAGGGCGGAGGAGAGGGCCGCAGGGAGGGGGAAGGGGAGGGCGCAGGTAGGAGCGGAAGGGAGGGTGGAGGGGAGGGACGAGGAGCGAAACGGATTATGATTTCCCGTCAAGGTTATGGGACCCTTCCAGGTTCATCCGTACAAAGCAGAGTGGGACAGAAGAGGGATACCTAGTAGAAATAATGTGAAAGACAGCATTTTGCAATGTTCGATGTTCAGCATGATGATGCCTTCCATGCTCGATGGATAAGCATCGCACTTACTAACGTCCTAGCTAACGGTGGCAGCTAAGCATCACACTTACTTGAGAGGAATGGCAAGGAAGCGCTGGCCGAGGGTGACGAAGCTGGTTTCCTGGTTGGACATGAACCATGCCAATGAAGACACACTGCGCACCGGGGGCGGAGGGGAGGAACACAAGCCAGTGAGGGAACGAAACAAAAGCCTCGTTCCTGCTTGCCGCGCTCAAACAACCAGGGGAAAAAACAGGTTGAGTACTTCTTTCCATAGGCCGCTTCGTCACTCCCAAAATACCATACCCCCTCACAGTCACCCACCTGCCAGTGAAGATGTGCTCTCTGACGCCCAGGATCGACGGCTTCCTGAGCCCATGCCGGGTGGTAAACTCCTGCAGCAGGTTGCGCATCTTGAGCGTCTCCTCAAAGTAGTTGTCCTGGTTCATATCTATCGTCTGCAGCGCCTCCCCGCGGGTGAAGATGATGGCGTGGTTCTGGTTCTCCGGCTTGCCCTCGCCCAGCTTCGCGGGCCCCGGCAGCTTCACCTTGTAGATGTCCTGCTCAGAGCCGAACGTGTCCACCTTCACCAGCCGTGAAAAGCACTCTGTTTTAGGGCGGGCGTCCGGCCGGGAAGGGTCTGCTGGCAGGGTGACCACCTCGTCGATGTATGCCACTCGCAGGGCCTCGTGCCTGGGTGCAGGATGGGAGGTGGGGGGCCGGAAAAAAAAGGGAGTAAAAAGAGCAAGGGAGTGAGCACCTCAGCAGTGCGATGCTTCAGCTTGCAGATGTCCTGCTCGCTGCCAAACGTGTCCACCTTCACCAGCTGTGAAAAGTACTCTGTCTCGGGGCGGGCGTCGGGGCGACTGGGGTCTGCTGGCAGGGTCACTACGTCGTCGATGTATGCCACTCGCAGGGCCTCGTGCCTGGGTGTAGGTTGGGGGGAGGTCGGGGGAGTTTGGAGAAGAAAGGGAAAAGAGAAGAGAGGAAGGGGGTGAGCACCTCAGCATTGCGGCACTTCACCTTGTAGATGTCCTGCTCAGAGCCGAGCGTGCCCACCTTCACCTACTGTGAAAAGAACTGTGTCTTGGGGCGCGCATCTGGCTGCGCAGAACGTGTCCACCTTCACCTGCCGGTACTCCATCTTGGGGGTTGGGGTTGGGGGTTGGGGGGAGGTGGGGGGATATTGAAAGGATCAGAAACAACTGGGTCTGGGCTGGGTGGATGGTTGATATCAAATCCATTCAGTACGTTCTTATCACAACATACCATACCACCGCACTGCATTGTCATCTCGACCCCTATCCATTACACTCCCCCGCACTCCAGCGCAATCCATCCCTCTCCAGCACACTCCACCACACTCACTCCTTCATGAGGTTGAAGATGTCAGCAGCGCGCTGGTCCTTGTCAGCCTTCTGCTTGCCGTAGATCTGGCACGTCACCACGTACGTGAACTTCACGTCCGCCAGCTCCTTGGGCTCCACCTTCGCCAGATACAGCCTGTCCGCCGGGTCCAAAGGCAGCCCATCCGCCCCCAGCTCTAGGTCTGTTGGGTGGAGAAGGGGGAAGGTGGGGAAGGAGGGAGGGTGGGAGCTCCTTGGGCTCCTCCTTCGCCAGATACAGCCTGTCCGCCGGGTCCAATGGGAGCCCGTCCGCCCCCAGCTCCAGATCTGACGGGCGGTAATGGGGGAGAGGAGGAGAGGAGTAAAAAGCAGTGGAGTGGGAAATCAACAAGAGGCAACTGGCTTTCCATGTAGCCTAGCAGCCTTCACGCCCTGAGTTAGTGTGGCATCTTCTGCCAGAGCGTAGAAGGCATAGTTCCAGCCATCTCTAGTAGCAGTCCTCAGATGTGGCATTTGAGTTGGGGTAGTACATGATGCCATGCCATGCCATGCCATGCCATGCCATGCCATGCATTGTGCAAGGAACAACCCATTTGTAGCCATCTCTTGGAAGTCTCGCTCACCTGTGGAGTTTGGCGTTTCCATGTAGGCGAGTAGTCTGAGCGCTCGGTGATAGTACATCATGCCGCGCACGGTGCGGGCGAGCGTCTGGCCGCGGTACGAGGCCCACATGCGCAGCTCTTTGATGTCGTCCTTCGCCCTCAGCCGCACCTCCAGCTCCTTCTCTCCCATGCCCACTCGCTGCAGAAAGTTGGCCCACTCGTCTGGGACAGGAAGAGAGGTAATGGAAGGGAAATTACCTCTCTTGAGGCGCGGCTACAAGCTAGGGACCACTTTTGAGGTAATACAAGCTAGGGACCACTTTTGGTGTGGTTCACTGGCACTCAGGAACCAGGGCGACACAAGCAGCACACACAAGTACATACTGCAGTGGGCAGTCGTAGTGCGCAGTGTGAGCGCCATGTGCATTTTTCATTGTACATTGTGCCCTGGACGAGTTGACCTTTGAGTCGACTCAAAAGTCAACTCGTAGTGCGCAGTGTGTGCGCCATGTGCATTTTTCATTGTACATTGTGCCCTGGACGAGTTGACTTTTGAGTCGACTCAAAAGTCAGCTCGTAGTGCGCAGTGTGAGCGCCATGTGCATTTTTCATTGTACATTGTGCCCTGGACGAGTTGACTTTTGAGTCGACTCAAAAGTCAACTCGTAGTGCGCAGTGTGAGCGCCATGTGCATTTTTCATTGTACATTGTGCCCTGGACGAGTTGACTTTTGAGTCGACTCAAAAGTCAACTCGTAGTGCGCAGTGTGAGCGCCATGTGCATTTTTCATTGTACATTGTGCCCCGGGCCTGCAGCACGAGCAGAGAAGCCGTCCCAGACATCTGGCACGTGGGCACAAGTGGCCATGACACATACACGGTCTGTGGCAAGCGGAATATGAAATGAAGGTATGTGGGACATGGGGGGCGCACCTGGGAAGATCTTCTGCAGGTAGAACAGGGTGGAGATGCCATCCTCGTTGGGCTTCACTAGCTCCGCCATGGAGTAGGTCACTATCTCACTGTAGTACGGCGTCATCACGCTGGGGGGGGGGGAGGTGGGTGGGGTGGGGGTGCAGGGGGGAAGGGGGTGTGGGAAAGGGGAGGAGCTTCACCAGCTCCGCCTTGGATTTGGTCAGTATCTCGCTGTAGTACGGCGTCATCACGCTGGGGGGGGGGGAGGGGGAGAATGGGGTACAAATGGGGCAGGGAAGGGAGGGGGGACGGGGGAGGCCAGAATGGAGTAGGTCACCATCTCACTGTAGTATGGCGTCATCACAGTGTGGGGGGGGGGGAGGGGGGCGGGTAGGGAGAATGGGGTGCAGATGGGTGGGGGGAGGGCGGGGCGAGGGGACGGGGGTGCAGATGAAAAGGGAGGGGTCAGGGCGGAGTAGGAGACTGCCTTGCTGTAGTACAGCCTCAAGGGCACATAGAAGAGACACAGCACCAGCCAGAAGCTATCAAGCAGTCCCCCAGTCATGGTGGACAAGAGGGAGTCAAGTCGCCTCAATCTGACTCACCAGAAGGGCAGCGTGTCAGCGACTTTAGGGGCGTCGGGCATGCGCATGTGCAGCGAGTTGGTGAAGAACTGCAGGCGGCGCCCAATGCACATGCGGGATAGGGAGGGACCGGGGCCCTACCAGGTGTGAGCTCAATCTTACCAGAAGGGCAGCGTGTCAGCGACTTTAGGGGCGTCGGGCATGCGCATGTGCAGCGAGTTGGTGAAGAACTGCAGGCGGCGCCGCGCCTCGAGGTTGTGAGGCACGTCCATGGCCGACTCCTTGATCGTCAGCAGCAGGTGCAGCCGCTTCACCGCCGCCCGGTTCGCTGGCCACGCCACTGCTGCGAACAGGCAGTACGACTGGGGCTTGCCTGACACCTCCTCCAGGCTTGCTCTGCGTGGAATGGAAGGAAGGGAGGTGGGAGGAGATGTTCAAGGCGCCTCAAAAATCGTTGCAGGCAGAACGACTGGGGCTTGCCTGACACGTCCTCCAGGCTTGCTCTGGGAGGGGAAGGGAAGGAGGTAGGAGGAGAGGCTGCTTGAAACTGGATGTGAAGGGTAAGCAGACTAACTCCCAGCTTCTCACCCCTCGTCTCCACATTTGAAGCCAAATTGGGACCACACGAACGAACTACCAAACTGCCCCAACCCGCCATCCTACCAGAAACCTTGGGAATTTGTCAGACTGAAACCCTGAGGCACGCACCGGTGATCCGGGGAGAGGAAGTCAAACTTAACGGTGTCGTAGAGCGCCTGCAGCGCCTGCACTGCTGCCCGCTGCGTCATCTCGTTCTGGTCCTGGATCTGTATCCAAGGGAAAACGAGGAGGATGGTTACCGGGAGGAAGAGGGGTGGTGGGAGGGTGGCAGTGAACAATAGTTCCCAACTGGGTAACAGTGGCCGTCTGGGTAACAGGAATCAATTGAACAATGCATCTAGGCCTTACTCAGCAGGACAGGCAACAATCAACCAGCAGGGTAGGCAGCAACTGACCAGCACGGCAGTGAGCTTGGTGAGGCAATCGAGAATGACAGGCAAGGCGGGCAGGCTCCCTGCTTACAGGGTTAAGGGAGCCATTTAACGGAATGGTGTGCCAGGCCAACCAATGCAAATAGGCAACGCAAGTGTTCAGCAGGTTAGGCAGCAACTGACCAGCACGGCAGTGAGCTTGGAGAGGCGGTCGAGGATGACAGGCAGGGCGGAGAAGCGGAAGGTGGTGAGCAGGCTGCCATTATTCGCCTCCACCTCCAAGTCATCAAACAGCCGGTTGATGATCCGCGCCTCGTACACCCCACTGCCTGCCTCCTGGATAGCAGCAGCAGCGGTGCCGGTGGTGGGGGCGGTGCGGCTGGGTTCGACGACGGAGAGCAGGAAGGGGCGCAGGCTCTGGTAGGCCTCCAGCACGGCGCACCGCATGTACTCGTCCGCTGTCACCTTGCGCCACACGGCTGATTGGGATTCCTTGCGGCCTGATGCCTCTCCGACTGCGAGGAGGATCTGCAGGGGGAGTGTGTCCACAACAGGAGAGAAAGGGAGAAAGAATGAGTGCATCGCAGCACGTGCACTCATGTACAGACACCCTGTGCCACACCAAGGCCTGGAACTTCTTGCGCCTTGAAACTGGGCCAACTACCAGAAGAATCGGTAGAGAGTAGGGAAGAAGCTCGGCAGAACGGAAAGGATATGCGAAGAAGAGGGCCAAGAACCATACTGCTGCCGGTGACTCCTTTCAGCCTACCGCCTGGGGGGGGGCGGTAGGCGGTAGGCCTCAGCCACAACTAGTGAGCTCCATGCAGGAGCCTGGAGGTACAGCTTTCAAAGCAGCCACAGTGACAGATGGTAATTTCTCTCTCCCATGCGATGCAGTACCTGGTTGGCGAGGAGGAAGAGCGGCCATTGCACCACGGTCACGTTCGAAGGCAGAGCAGGCATGATGAGCAGATCGTACTCCCTGCACGCACACAGAGCAAAGCAATAGCAGAGACAAGGACAGACACAAGTTTGTGGAGAAAACTATCCTCTGCGATTTAATATGGCACATCACTGCGATTTATGAAGATCAAGAATAAACACTAGGCAGTAGGTTGCAGGCAGCAGCAGCTGGGGGAAGCAGCAAGCCTGAGGCGTCTCAAAGGCCAAAGATAAGCTTGAGGCTAGAGAGCAGGCATTTGGCGGAAGGAGGAGGCAGGAAGCAACAACAGTAGTGGGCGGACGGGCAGCAGCAGCACACCTGTCAGAGAGGTAGTCTTCCTCTCGCAGCAGGCGGATGATCTCATTCCATGCGATGGCAAACTTGCACGCCTCCCGTCGAGACGACAGCAGCAACTCGCTGCCACTCGCCGGCTGCTGTGACCCCAGCGGCTGGAAGCGGGCAGACGAGCGCAGCGATGTGGAGCTGACCAAAGGGAGGGGGTGGGGAAGGGGTTGGATGGATCTTCCGAAGCGTGTATGTGTGTGTGTTTATGTGTGCGTGTGTATGTGTGCGTGTGTATGTGTGTGTGTGCTCGCTGGCTGCTCTAACCCCAGCGGCTGGAAGCGGGCAGACGAGCGCAGCGATGTAGAGCTGACCGGTGGAAAGCGGTGGGAAAGGGTTGGGTGGGGGTGGGGAAGAAAAAGTTGGTTGTGAGTGCGTGAGTATATGTGTGTGAGGGGGAAGCGGGGTGAAAGAGTATACACAGTGGAAGATGAATTTGAAAGACACCGAAGGATGTGAGAGGTTGGCAGCACCCATGTGAGGCATTCGCCCAGCCCTCTACCTCACCTGCCACTGAAGCCCACCATTTCTTGCATCCATCCTTGCTCCTCTCCATCCTCTAAGACGAGAATCGAATGGCTAAAGAGGTACGCACCGCGTGCGGTTGAACTTGTTCTGGTGATGCACTGTGTTCATAAAGGCTGCTGGGAACGAGCGGAAGCGCGCCCGTAGCATGGAGAGTGTTCGGATCTGATACCATGGGCGGGTACATGGAATGAGTGGACGGGAGAGGAGAAAGAGAGGAGGTAGTGCGGGGAGGAGAAAGACAGTAGGATTGAATGGATTGAGGATTCAACAAACGAGCAGTGCTGCTCACGGAGGAAGTATGCTGTGGTTGTGACGCTGTGATAGGTATGAGATGTCTGAAACAAGGAGAAAAAAAACGAAACCCCCGATGCTTACAGCCCAGAACGGCACCAGCTGAACACCTTCGAAACGATTCCGCATGCCACCTTCTTATTCCCCCCCTCTTCCGCGAAGTACGACCTTCTTACCTCACTTATGCTTACCTTTCTGTGGCTACATTCTCTCCCATGCATATCTTTCCAGTGCTCACCTCCCCCAGATGCCACCATGCGCCAATGAGTGTGCTGAGAACAGCCGAGAGCACAGTGTACCAGATCTGTGCATCTATCAGGTAGATCTGGCAGAGGGGTCAGGGGGGAGGGAGGCGGGCAGGAGGGAGAGGGGAGAAGGAGCTTTTGGGAGGGGGAGAAGAGAGGGAAGATGCAGCAAATAGATATGTTACAAGTGGACTAGACATTTGGATTAGAGACATGTGGTCGGTCGGTATGAGACGCATGTGAATGGCATGGCGTACCACAAAGACTGGCGCCCAGATGGAGAGAAGCGTGAGAGCGTTGTAGTTGCCTGGTCACGTGGGCGGGAGGGGGGGTTGGGTGGGGCCAGAGGGCACAGCAGGAAGAGCAGAATGCACAGTCAGCAGCAGCATGGAGAACTAACATCGTCCTTGTTTTGAGTCGACTCAAAACACAGTCAGCAGCAGCATGGAGAACCAACATCGTTCCCAGGAACCCATCATCAAGGCAGTGCAGCGGAGAAGAGTACTGGCAGAGGTTAGGCACATACTGCCAGAGACGAGGTCCTTCCAGCGATACTTGAGGTGCTTGAAGCCAATGATGTAGCGCTTGGCTTTCAAGTCGAATCGGAAACGGATAAAGCACATACTTGCAGCATGCACTTGCAGCAACAAGGCACGTACTTGCAGAGACGAGGTCCCTCCAGCGGTACTTGAGGTGCTTGAAGCCAATGATGTAGCGCGTGGGGCCGACGAGAGGGAGGATCTGGAAGTAGTAGCTGAAGAGGCACTTGCACAGCAGCAGCACCACCCAGAACAGTGAGTACCTGCAAGCGAGCAATGCAAGTAAGTGCATACGAACACGCCCGTGCATGCACAGGTAAGGGGGAGGTACATGGGGAAAGGGGGTGTATGGGAAGTGGGAGAGGAGGAGGGAGGTCGGGGATTGAAGGAACGAGAGAGAAAGAGCTGGGATGGGAAAACGGGGTTCTGTGATTGTACAAATGTGTTGCGAATGTGGGGTTTAACTGTTTCGTAGGGCAATGAGGAGCAGATGGAAAAACTGATGGGGGGAAGAGGGTTGATTACTATGGCATGCTTTCCCACTTACAGAAATGTGTCTTTGAAGCTTTCGTACATGCCCCTCCCTGTGTACACCTCGTCCTGCTCAATAAGAAAGTCAGAGGAAAGAGGTCCCAGGTGACGAGGAATGCTGATGATAGAGAATTATGGGTGTACAGGATGCAACGAGCACGCATCATGAGACACTGAAATCACAACACGAAAAAGCTGGTGAGACCACTTTCAAACCAACCCACCCATATGGCAGAACCAACCACCTCATGGGACCACCACCCACCTATCAGAACCGTCGCCCACCTGGTAGAATAGAACCACCACCCACCTGATAAAACCACCACTCACCTGGTAGAACCACTTGACGAACTGGAAGAAGCGGTGGTGGCTGACACGGTCAATTTGGGAGCGCAGCGGCGTGACGAAGCGCATGAGCAGTGAGAGGACGACAGCCGGGATGACGTAGATGGCTGCAAGCATTAGGAAGAGCGGGCGGTAGGGGCTGTTGAAATCGAATCCCGACTTGAAATACATGCTGGGGAAGGGGGTCGTGAGATGGGCAGAAAGAGGGGGAGAAGGAGACTTTGGTGTCGATTCCGACCATCAAGCAGCGAGAGAACCACAGCCGGGATGACACAGATGGCTGCCAGCATGAGGAAGAGCGGGCGGTAGGGGCTGTTGAAATCAAAGCCCGACTTGAAATACATGCTGGTGTTGTGGAGCATAGGGGGTGTGTAGAGGAAGAAAAGAAATAGAGGGGGGGAAACGACATCTGAGAAAGGTCATATGAGCACGGAGGAGGATAAGGACGGCTGGGATGGCAGAGATGGCAATCAGTATGAGGACGAGAGAGCACTAGGGACTGCTGAGGCAAAACCCCTGATTGAATTACATGATTGGGAAGCAGGAAAGGGTGGGAAGGGGGGGGAGGGGAGGGGGGAGGGGAAGAGAAGGGTAAAAGGCTACATTTAGGTTGACTTCAAGGATCAAGAAAGAGTTTGAAAAAGGTGAGCAAGTCTCACATGAGGAAGAAGGAGAGGAAGCCCCCCCAGGCGCCGAGCACAGCTAGGCGGAGGAACTTGCGGGAGATGGTCTGCACACTCATGCTGCGGTAGGCTCCGAACGATAGCAGGATGTCAAACAGCACTGCGGGGAGGAGCAGTGGGGAGAGGGGAGAGGGAGAAGAGGGGGAAGGTGGGCGGCTATGGAGGGAGACGGTCTGCACACTCATGCTGTGGTAGGCTCCGAACGACAGCAGGATGTCAAACAGAACTGCTGGGGGAGGAGTACGAGACATAGGAAGGACGGGAAAAGCGGGTTTCGGGTAGGGGGCAGGTGGGCATGGGTGGTGGTATGTCTGAGCGTTGCAATAGAGTGTATGTTTGAGGTGCCTCACGCGGATTATATGAGCATTGCTATGGAGTGAGGTCGCCTTGAAACGATTGTGCTATGATGCATAATGATGGTGCCTTGCCTTTAGCGGATGTGAAGAGGGCCTGAATGGTAAAGGTTGCCCGAATGGGGTTGTACCATGCGTACCTTGGAAGAAGCGGAGGATGGCGGCCATGGGCACCACAGAGAGCACTCTGAAACGCGCATGGTGCAGTGTGAATGCACCCTGAATGGATCTAGAGAGGGCCTGACTGGATGTGCGCCTGAATGGGGTGCTCAGGATGAGCGTACCTTGGAAGAAGCGGAGGATGGCGGCCATGGGCACCACAGAGAGCACTCTGAAACGCGCATGGTGCAGTGTGAATGCACCCTGAATGGATCTAGAGAGGGCCTGACTGGACGTGCGCCTGAATGGGGTGCTCAGGATGAGCGTACCTTGGAAGAAGCGGAGGATGGCAGCCATGGGCACCACGGAGAGCACCTTCATGAGCGTGGTGGACCCGTCCTGCCCGCTGAACGCCACGATGGCCATGCCCTGCAGAATAAAAGCACGTGGGTGAGAGCAAGGGAGGACGGAGGAGAGAGGAGAGAGGGTTGAGATGCTTGAGAGGCTTAACCAGAGAGCACCTTCATGAGCGTGGTGGTCCCGTCCTGCCCACTGAACGCCACGATGGCCATGCCCTGCAGAATAAAAGCACGTGGGTGAGAGCAAGGGAGGACGGAGGAGAGAGGAGAGAGGGTTGAGATGCTTGAGAGGCTTAACCGGAGAGCACCTTCATGAGCGTGGTGGTCCCGTCCTGCCCACTGAACGCCACGATGGCCATGCCCTGCAGAATAAAAGCACGTGGGTGAGAGCAAGGGAGGATGGAGGAGAGAGGAGAGAGGGTTGAGATGCTTGAGAGGCTTAACCGGAGAGCACCTTCATGAGGGTGGTGGTCCCGTCCTGCCCACTGAACGCCACGATGGCCATGCCCTGCAGAATAAAAGCACGTGGGTGAGAGCAAGGGAGGACGGAGGAGAGAGGAGAGAGGGTTGAGATGCTTGAGAGGCTTAACCGGAGAGCACCTTCATGAGCGTGGTGGTCCCGTCCTGCCCACTGAACGCCACGATGGCCATGCCCTGGCGGATGAGAGCACGTGAGCGATGGAGAGGGAGGATGGAGGAGAGAGAGTGGTGAGGGTTGAATGAGACGCTTGGGAGGCTAGAACGGAGAGCACCTTCATGAGCGTGATGGACCCATCCTGCCCGCTGAACGCCACCATGGCCACGCCCTGCAGAATGAGAGCACGTGGGTGAGGGACAGAGGGTGAGGAAGAGGGTTGGGGGGATTGAAGGGAGAGCAGCTTTTTGAGAGCCGAAGGCCTGGCTTGCCCACTGGGCGGCGGCGCTATTGCTCTGCGCTGAAACTAATACATTTGCGTGTGCCACCCCAATATCGACAATTTCAGATTGGAAAGGGGCTGTGCAGTGGGCAAATTCTGCGAAAAGAGTTGGAAGGTTCACGAGAACTGAAGTATGTATGGGTAAACCACCAAGTGGATGCATTGAGAACCGACCTGGAAGGGAGTTTTTGAGAATTCTCAAAAACTCCCTGCAACTGGATGCATTGTGAACCGACCTGGAACATGAGGAGCAGGAAGGCCCACATGCGGTCGAAGCTGCGGTAGAGGTGGAGGAAGGAGCGCCACTCCACAAACAGCGTCTTGCTCAGCCGGCTCTTGCTTGAGAAATCCTCTCCCTGCACACACAGAGAGAAAGCCACAAGCGTGCAGCAGCGTGTGGTTACGAATGGCGTCCAGCTCTTTGCTTGAAGGGAAGTCTCTCACAGCAATTGATAACGTGATTACCGGGAACAATGATAAGTATCTATCTACTGGCAGTTGAGTCAAAGAAGGGAAGTACGGTATTAAAAAAATATCATTACTGCGGGGTTGCAAGCTCGTACATGCACTGCACTGACTGACTAAAACTGTGCCGACTCGACTGGATTTGCCAGGACAAGGATTCGAGGGTTCGTCGTGGTTTTTCTGTACTGACCGCTGCGGTTTTGGGGGTCTCCCATTTCTTGCCAGGGTCCTTGCTTTTGACGGGTGGGGGCTTGAAAAACACGTGGCTAGTGCGGATAGGCCAACCCAGCTCAAAACAGCGCTTGCTCCTGAGAGGCCAGGTGAAGTGGCATGAAGAGAGGGAGAAAGACCGGAATAAAGGGGGGCAAGATACAGTGAAGGGAGGGTGCAAGGAAACAAGAGGACGAGTACGGAGGGAAGAGCTGATGGATGGGGAAGCATGATGTGCAAAGCAGGAGCAGAGTGCAGGGGAAGGCATGGCAGGGAGGGAGTGTGTGGTGGCATTGCAGGGAGGGAATGTGTGCGTGGTGTGGCAGGGAGCGAGCAGCGGACCAGAAGAACTCGTTGAAGTCATCGTAGTTGCGCCATGCAGGGTGACCCTTGGCGTCGCTGCCGTGGCCTGCATAGTCCGACTCCTGCACAGGGAGGTCATGGTGCAGGTTCACACAGAAAGAAAGCGGTACAGTGAGGGGGCGGAAAGAGAAGGAGTGAGGGGATTCAGTTGTGAGTAACGGACAGCACGACAAAACAGGAGAGTGGTTAGAAAGTTGAGAAATGAGTTCACACATCAGATCAGACGCCAAAGCCCAGGAGAGAGACACTCAAAGTCCCACAAACGTCCCCCAATTTCACTAGGGAGTCACTCAGACGCCAGAATGTGTTTGTGCCAAGAGCAGCTAGTCTGCTGTTTGTTGGTAGCGTACTGACCTGCTTGAGGATCCGGTAGAAGGGTGTGATGACATTGTTGAGAAACGCGTACTCGCCCCCTGTGCCTATCATGCGGCTCTGCTCCGCTGCTGTCTTCTGCATCATCCCCGCCAGCTCACTCGCCATCTGCCCAAGGTGGTGGTGGTCATGGGGGGTGTGGTTGGGAGGATGTTTGTGGGTTTGGCAGTAAAAGGTAAACACTAAGTGGGTTCAGCTGTCAATTACAGGGGCGTTGTGGAGAGGTCATGGATTGCGGAAAGTTGAACGAAAGAGCGGGGGGGGGGGGGGGAGGATTGCGGGAAGGGCGCAGGGGACTTCGGGTTTAACCAGGGTTCATGATTTATGCGCTGTGAAGATCTGTCAAATCTGATCATACGGGTAACCGACTGTGACCAAGAAACTAGCCGGCAAGAGGATAAGAGAAGGCAAAGGGAGAAGGGATGAGCATCACGGAGCTCAGCAAAGGGAGGAAAAAGATTCAAGTTGACTTCATTACCTGGTGAAAGAGGTAGCAGAGGCACTCTGGGAGGAAGCGCACGTTGGCTGCCTCGCCCCATATGAGCAGGAAGAGGCACGTGTGCAGCATGCGGTGGTCGGCCCTGCAGTGCACACACACACACACACACACACACACACACACACACACACACACACACACACACACACACCACACACAGCCCCACACCACACCACACCACACCACGGGCACGTCCATTCAACATCAAGAACAAGAAAGACATGTGAACATAACGTAGCCAGGTCAGCGACAGTGCCATATGTATATATATATTGGGTGAACCGAGGAAGTCCTACACCCTAAACCCCAAACCCTGAAGGATATGAGTGGCATGACCTTAGACGCAAGAGTGGGGTTTTGAGGCCACGTGTTTTGTGATAGAATTTGGTTCCGGAGCTGGGGGGGTTGAGGGGAGAGGAAGGAGCGGGAGGGGAATGGGACGAGGCTGAGAGAGTGGGGGGCACAGCAGAGCGAGAGCAGTGGTGCGTACGTGAAGTAGGGGACATCCACGTGGAGGTACTGTGCCCAGCGAAGAAAGTTGCCCAGCACCTTGGACGACACGGAGTCAAGGGCCATGTTCATTGCCTGGTGGATGGTTACGGGTGAGGGGCGATGGGAGCCGGGGAACACGAAGGAGAAAGGGTTGTGGCTTGATCCAAAAAAAAAAGAAAAAATAAAAAACATGTGGCATCAGAGCAATATACAAGGTTGCACCACGGGTTAGAGCACTCGGTAATATAGGACTCGCAGATTACAAACCCGGAACTTCGTGTCTGTTTCCGCTGTGCACGCAGTCTGCACTCTAAACCCTTGCTCTACAGCTGCTAGCCAGTACTGTCAGGCACGCAATCATGACTTCATGCAGCATCGAAGAACCCGTTTAAAAAAAACTGTACGACTTAAGAACCCGAACCCTGAGACCACCAGTTGGGCCCTAGCCTGGATATCAATGTGATGGGACTCACTGCAGCATCATCGGACATGGAAGCAGCAATGGGCGTCCCCTTCTCGTCGTACGTGCGGCTGTTGGCCAGCAGCAGCACGAGGTGCTCCCTCTGGTTCCGCACGTTGTCCTCCTGTGGTGGTGTGGCAGAGCAGCACACAGCACAGAGAATCAGGGGGCGGGGGACGGAGGATGTTGGGAGTGGGATGCAGGGGAAAGAAGGGGAGCAAGGCGGGAGAAAATTGGTGGGGAAACGGGCCTGTTGTAGCATCTAAATTGCAGGTGAAAATGGTCACACAAACAAAAACTCCAGAGGAGGTTCAGCAGTCACAGGAACAAGCAGAGAAGACATCATGAAAGTTAGAGGCAGGCGCACTGACCTGGAAGCCGAAGACGTATTGCAGGTAGTGCAGCATGTCCTTGAAGCGGCCTCGGTTTGGCACTCCTCTGAGATCATGGAGCAGTGCAATTGCCGCCCCCACCCTCCTCTTCCACTGCTCACGCCCACACAGTCACGTTTTTAGTCGTTAGACGTCTCCAGTGTCATAATAGAGCATTCCATGCAACAGCAGCTGGTGCTATTGCGGTAAATAAATGAAAATGCTTTAACCACATGCACAATATCACAAATATCACAAATAAGGCTCTACTCAATTTCAAGGTAGGCAGAGTCGGGAGTGAGGTCAGCCAGTGGCTACACCTGGTGGTGACCACATATTATGTGAGACTCAAAAAGCATAAGCATGGCATGGGGGTTGGGAGGTCTTACCAAAGGAGCATCAGTGGGAATGGGTGCGTCCAGATCGATCATGTTGAAGTTCTGGCGGGTGAAGATTTGCGTCTTGGCAGCAGCAGCCATCTTATCCTCCCGAATTTCCTGAAATCGGTCATGAACCGAGAGATATTAGTTAAGAGCCTGGTTGGCTGGCTAAGGCCATGCATGCCATGATCGACTCCCATTCAACATCCTCCTCTTTGGCTCCACTCTCCCATTAAAATTTCACATTTTGTCCTCCAGGCCCTTACCTCTTGCACTTGCTTGCGCTCGGATCCCGTGACCGCCTGTGAGAGGCCCTCAGTCACCTCCATGAGGACCCGTTCCGTCTTCCACGCCTTCCCCAACTCCTCTCTGCATATACCACACGCATCCACCCCATTTCGTCGTGAAAGCCGCATGAACAGAGCGTGGGTGAGCAACGACTGGACTGGCTCATAGTGCAAATCAAACGGCAAGAATTCTCGGTGGAAAAAGGGAGTTGCTGGACAGAAGCGCAGAAGCGCAAAAAGAGAAGCTGGAGCTTCTGTACAGAAACGCGAGAGGCTAGAGTATCAGACGGAACGCACTTATTATTCTCGGGATCCATCTCCAGCCCGCGGACATAGTCTCGATACGCGGTGTAGAACTCATGGACCATGTCCATGTCCCTGCTCGGATCCGCCGCGATGTCGCTCTCCTGCATCAACCGCACCCACCCAGTGACAGGAACATTCCAGTGAGTAACGGCCGACGGACGGTTTCAGGAGATTTGGATGTGGCAAGAAACGCAGCCAGACATTCCTTTTGTGACTTCCTTTTTCCAGCTGCACGATTTCGGTAATTTTTGTGCTGAAAGGCTGGGAGGAAGTAACATCGACGTTACTCATTCTCCTTTCACTTTCCAAACTCGTTTTCTGTGCTGACCACTCACGGGCAAGAGAATGTGCAACGCCGTGACGAACTGGAGCACTCCGCGGCCTTGCATGTTGGGATCAAGAACCATCGCCTTCTTGTAAGCAGCATCGAGAACTGAAATGCGGGAAATGGGAGCGTGGAAGGTGTGAATATGCGTTGCGCCATCCATATCGTAAGATGGGAGAAAGCTCTACAAGTGTGGGAATGATGTGACAAAGACAAACAAATAATAAGACACACGACAGACACCTAACCAACACGTCCGCTCAGGATCCATGAAGATTTAGACACTTACTAAGTCGAGAGATGCGTGGATGTTCGGCTTCTAGGTCCTTCGCCGCTGCAAGGTAATCAGGTATGTTGGACCTCTGAGCCAGTGTCGGAGGCACAATATTGAGGCCATCGATCTGTCCTTCCGGTAAGACGGACTGGAAAAACACAGACTGTCGATGTCTTGCTCGCAATACAGACTGCTGAGCGGCCTCAAGCCTCCGCCAATTATCTACAACTGGAGGTGGAATATCTTCCGCCATTAGGACTACCCTATCCTGTGATTGCTTCGTTCGTATGACCTACGGAATGGAGTCGAGTACGTCAACGCATTACGCCATACATGCCAACACACGAAAAACTTTAAGCTATAATTAACAAGGGCTTCACTGATAACAATGCTTCTAGCAGATACGGCCCGCTGAAACCCAAGAAATCAGCCTGATCATGGAGATGGAAAATGAGCTATGTGGAGTTGACCAGAAGCAGGGAGGACAGGTCTGAGGGATTGATGGGAAAATCCTCCAATCCTGATTCCTCGCTCTTAGACCTCAGAGAGCTCAGACGAGGCAGCAACAATTATGGGGAACAGATTCATGGGCAGACACAAAACATTTCTATAAGTTGTAGGGATACAACGCGATTGGCTGTTGTGAACAATTTTGAACGCGATCATAGCCGACAATGGTGCTTGGGCAAAACTTGAGCTGTTGTGGATGAGAGCGGGAAGTCCGCGGAACGCGTTCCATCCAAGGCAAAATCAATGTGCAAGGGAGCGCAAGGCACGGTAGGCAGCCTATAATTTTGCTCACCTTGAAAGCTCCAGCCTTGCCAGGGAAAAGAATGTCGGTCACGGCAAATTTCAGATGGCCCGAAGCTGCCTTTTGCCCCGCCGTCGATGCTTTTCTTCCAGACCGATCAAGGAATACACTACGGGCAGCGAACACGACCGCCAATCACTCGCTTTCCACATCATCGATATTGTCGTCCACGTGACAGCATTCTACTTGCTAATGTGCTGGTTATCACATCGCTTGCGATTTCGCATATGTCGTCGTTGTCGTTAGCGTCGAGTTCATCAGATGGTGTCTGAGTAGGGCTGGAACAATCTGTTTTTGCTACCAAGCCTCAAGTCTCTCATCACACCAAGAACACCGAGAACGCCTAATCACCATTTCCATGTCCTCCAGTTTCCACCATCACTTGGTCTACCTCGCTGCCTCACTGCGTCACGGATACACACGGACTGGATAGTGATAGCTATCAGTGGTCCGTGGGACTTTCTTTTTATCTGTGCCAATGAGAAATCAATTCTAGCTCTTCCAGCGTGTAGTCTGCACCGAATCTCGTCAAAATGCCTCCACACGACTTAGGAGGTTCTTCAGGAGGAAATATTCCATCTACTGGTGCACCGCATGAGCCGAAACACCCGATATACAACATAGTGCCTACTGATCCTGATCACTGGCCACAAGCTAAAGATGGCAATCCGAACCCTCTGGCTCCCGAGGTGAGCTCCGCGAGCACACTGAATGTGCCTTGTGCGATGTGGTGACGGATCCAGAGGGAATGTTGGGGAGACGTACCGGAAGGGAGTCCACCAGCCTTACTCAACGCCGACGCTGTTTCATGAATGTTTCGCATAGTCTCCTGAATACGGCCTAACGATTTTTTTTACGACTCAATGCATGCGGTTCTCAGCTCCGAGCGCCTTTTGTTGCCGTGACGTTGCACGCAATGCTAAGCAATCTGTCACGTGCTTATGGTTGACTCTAATAGATCGCTTGTTGTCGTCGTCCGCAAATAAATCAACATTAACCTATATTACCGTCACGAAAATAATCGTTTCAGGTGCGAGCTGCAGTGGGGGCTCTTCAAAGGGTCGGTGCGAGCTTGGGATGGCCCGACGACCGAGGCAATCCGCCAACCGACGTCTTGGACTGCCTTCAAAACGCATTCAGCTTCCAAGTGAGCTGCGCTTCTGACAGCTGAATCCTCCGTTTGGTCGCTAATACGCCCATTTTTGGTTTACGATTCCAACGCTCATCATCTTCAATATCACTTGATACGATCTGATTGGATCACTGCTGACGGGACTGAAATTCGACATGCTTAAAGGATATTCGTTCATATCCCTGTCTGTGTCCTGTACTCGTCTGCTCGCATGCAGTCTGGTAACGTCATTAACCAGAGGGAGCATCTGGTGCTCCTGCTAGCCAACAATCAGATGCGAATTCGACCGCTGGATCCTCGTGAAGCGGAGCCTCTGGTACGCTCACATGCATTTCAAAAGATGGGTTGATTTGCCAAGTGTTGTTTCCAGCGAAGCGTAGGCAGCCACGACTCGGTTTGACGTGTGAATTTCAAATGAATTACAGTCCATGAGCAGCGAATGTGTGAATGAGCAATGGTTCCTGTTGATGACTTTATTGTTTTGCAAGGCATGTCTGATCGAATTCATGCAGTATTTCATCCATCCACTGAAGTAGCTGCCATTCTGACCCGTTCTCCCCTGCTAACTCCTCTGCTGCAGCTTGACCCGAACGTTATTACCCTAGTGTGCGACCAGCTGTTGAGCAACTACAAGTCCTGGTGCACATACGTGGGCAAGAAAACCAGCCTCATGTCAGTCATCCTCCATTCACCTATTGTCTATCGCTTGTCATGTGTTAACACCCCTCTCCTCAGAACACGCAAAATTGCCTTCCACTAATTTGATGAGTTTCTGCTAGGGCTTGTCCATGCCAATGCACTCTTACTTATACACAGCAAGTTAATTCGTATCCTTCCATTGCCGTTTCAGGGTCCCAAGTCAAATCTAACATGTCTCTGGGTCGCGTTTCCTGCCTCTCACCCTGTCGCTTCTCCAATCCAATCCAGTGACGACGCGGCTCTGGTTGGACACAAGAGGACTTCCCCCCCTACAGGCACCACCGATATAGTCTACTGCTCCCTCTTCCTGCTCATATGGGGCGAGGCAGCTAACGTTCGCTTCCTCCCAGAGTGCCTCTGCTACATCTTCCACCATGTGAGTGCCTGCCTTCCACCTTCCATTATGTGAACTCCTGCCAGTCTGTCCCACGCTTATTTGTCCCAAGTGCAAACGCTCTGCTCTCTATAGATTTTGTCACAAGGATCTCTCCTGAGGTCTCTCTTGAGGTCGTCCACCTTGCTATGGTTTAGTTCACATCTTCATCGCAATGTTCAGTTCACCGTAGAAGCCAATGAGCGACCTTTCGCTTTCCACTTACTCTCCTCTTTCTTCTCTCCCCCTTGCTCTACCAGCTCGCAACAGAGACCAACGAGCTGATGACTCAGTCCGCCAGGACCCTCTCTCGCGACCGCAGCATTCCCAGCCAGCCATACGGGTTCCTCAACACCATCATTCAGCCACTCTACAATGCGATCAAAGGAGTAAGCCTTATCGCAAATCCTGTCTCAGGGGCTACTTCTCTCCCGTATCTCTGTCTTTTGTGCAGCACTCGCCACTCAAACTCCACTTTCCCCTGTCCCCTGTCCCCACGACAGGAAGCGGACAGCAATGTGGGCGGCAAGCTGCCCCACGCCAAGTGGCGCAACTACGACGACTTCAACGAGTTCTTCTGGTCGCCACGTTGCTTCGACCGCCTCTCCTGGCCGCCCAACCAATCTGCTGTCTTCTTCATCCCGCCGGTATTGCCTTGCCACCTCCATCACCCCTTTTGTTTTGTTGCCTTCTCGTTCCGTCGCATCCGTACTGCTTTGTCACCTTCGCAGCCCCATCTGTTCTGTCATCCCATCTCGCCAGACATTTTCCCCTCCTCATTGCACTGGCTGTGCCGATTCGTCACCCTTCCAGTGTGTTGCTCCTATAACGGGGAAGTCATGCTGGTGGCGCCATCTCTCCATGAAATCGCACACTCTCAACGTGCTCTATCACCATCCTGAGCATGTTTTCGCTCCCCTTGAACACCTGTGAAAGCAATGATCCATGTGTGCGCATCATTGTCCACATCGTGATGTGACATCATGATTCGCAGAACAAGACGGGCCACGAGGGTGGCAAGACGGGCTTTGTGGAGCAGCGCACCATCCTCAACATGTTCCGCAGCTTCGACCGCGTCTGGATTCTCCTCATCTTCGCCTTCCAGGTGCTTATTGTGGCACTTCCCTCCCGCCCTCCCTTCCCATCCCCATGTGTGCCGTGGCCTTACCTTTTCCCTTCTGTGGTTTGTTGCTCACCTCACCCCCTTTTTTCCCCTTCTCTCCTCTTCCTCCCTGCCATTACCTATTCCACTGTCTGCTGCCAAACACCTGCTGCGTTGCCTCTCCTCATGTGCGCCAGCTGATGTTTATCACGGCATGGAAGGCGGAGGGCAGCAACCCATTCACGTACCTGGCAGGAGACAGGGATGCCGTGGCTCTGCTGCTCACCTGCTTCATCACATGGGCTGGCATCGACCTCTTCCTTGGTACGAAGCGGAAGCGCTATCGACCATGAGATAGACGTCACCATTGCTCATTCAGTCGCCGATATCGAGCACCCACACCTTCAGCCATTGCTGGATTCATTAGTCCTGATCAAATGGTGCTGTGAGTGGTATGTGGTGGGTGGAATGTGGTTCTGCGTGGTGAAACACAGTGCATATAAGCTGGCTTCAACTGAAATTGTGGTCAGCTGAGGGTACAATGCTGCACACTAGTCAACATCCCCTATGCACAACCTCTGTCTGTCTGTCCCATTTACCCTATCCACTTACCATTGCACCTATCTGCATGTCCCACTTTTGCGTGCTTATTTCCTCTCCTCCTTTGTCCCTCCACCCCCTACTTTCTTCCCACTTTACCTTGCCTTGCCTACCCCTTCCCCCCCCCCCCCCCCCCCCCCCTCTTTGTCCCTTCCCCCCATCTTTCCCCTTCCCCCCTATCACACCCCTAGCCTTCGCGGATCTGGTGATGGAGTGGCGTCTCATCCGCCCTTCCAACATGCGCTTCAACGTCCGCCTCCTGCTGCGCCTCCTTGTTGCCATCGCCTGGTGCATCGCCTTCACCACTCTCTACCTGTGCGTACCATTCTTTACCTGTGCATACCACTCCTAAAACGAGGGTCCACATTTGACCCACGAAACCCTGAATCCTGGCAAAATGTTACTGCGGAAGTTAAGTGTCTGCACGAAATTCCCAATCTTCGCCAACCAACACTTCCATGCTGGCAAGTCTGGTTCAAAATATTCTTTTTTTAACCCACGAAACCAAATTTGGACCCTCGTTTTGACCTGTATGCGCTGCTCGCCCTCTACCTTTTCGTGATTTGAGTCTTCCACTTCCCCTTCTCTCAGTTCCCCAAACTCCCCTGTCCCACTTACAAGAACTAAACCCAGATATATGTATTCCCTGCCTTCCTCCTCCTTCCCTCGTCCCACCAATCACGAGAATCCCTCTTCCGTTCCGCTCTTTCCTCTTTCTTTCTCCCCTCCCCCGCCTTCATCTCCCTCGCAGCATGATGTGGAACGCACGCAAGGCAGACACCTACTGGTCGCCCGCGGCCAACACAGCTGTGTTCACGTTCCTCATAGCAGCGCTGGTCTTCATGACCCCGCACCTGCTGGGCATCCTGCTCTTCCTCACACCCGAGCTCAGCCGCCGTGTGGAGGCCTCCAGTTCCTCCTTCATCCGCATGCTCGTCACCTGCCTCGAGGTGAGAGAAAAAGGGGGGTCATTTGTCTAGAGGTGAGGCGCTTGCTTGTCACAGGGACAGGCCTTGAGGTGCGGGAAGGGATTCCAAGTTGACTCAAAAGCCGCTGTGTGGAGGCCTCGAGCTCCTCCTTCATCCGCATGCTCGTCACCTGCCTCGAGGTGAGAGAAAAAGGGGGGTCATTTGTCTAGAGGTGAGGCGCTTGCTTGTCACAGGGACAGGCCTTGAGGTGCGGGAAGGGATTCCAAGTTGACTCAAAAGCCGCTGTGTGGAGGCCTCGAGCTCCTCCTTCATCCGCATGCTCGTCACCTGCCTCGAGGTAAAGTTTGTTAGTTTGTTTGTTTTCTTTCTTTCTGTCTTACTTTCCTTTTCTCCTCTTTTTTGGCCTGGGATGAGGCGCATGCTTGTCACTTGCCTTGAGGTGAGCTTCATGCTTGGTATGTGCCAAGTTCTTGTGAGGCGCATGCTCCTCCTCCTTCTACCGCTTTGAAGGGCGGCAGGTGCTTGTGTTAACTGTTCACCTGAGTGCACCAACAACCTGAGAATTAGCCCTCCATGTGCTGCTTGTCCTTTCACCATTCGCGTCACGTCCTACATTACGTCTAATCATTTGTGTCTCATCCTCCATCCATCCATCCATCCATCCATCCATCCATCCATCCATCCATCCATCCATCCATCCATCCATCCATCCATCCATCCATCCATCCATCCATCCATCCATCCATCCATCCATCCATCCATCCATCCATCCATCCATCCATCCATCCATCCATCCATCCATCCATCCATCCATCCATCCATCTGCGTCTTATCCCTCAATCCATCCGTTGGCTCTATCAGGATGACAACTTTGTGGGAAGGGGAATGCGTGAAGACACATGGGACTCCATCAAGTACGTGCCTGCTCGATCGCCCACCCAACCGACCCCCTGCCACATCAACCAACCTCCTGCCTGGATGCGCGGCCGCCTGCCTGCCTTCCAGCTTGCCCGCCTCCCTTCTGTGTTCCTGCCTGCCTTCTGTGTGCCCGCCTCCCTTCTATGTGCCTGCCTGCCTTCTGTGTACCCACCTGCCTTCTGTGTGCCTGTTGCTGTTTCTTGTTCTTGATGTCTCTCGCGTCCGCCTGCTGTTCTCTTGCAAAAGGTCCGTCTGGTGTTCACTTATAAACTAGCAGCAAGCAATAACAGAAGCTTGTGGCCTGTGGCAATGAATCCCTCCCTCCTGCGACAAGCGGCTCTGACTGCCTCTCTTCCTCTCTCTCCTCTCCTCACCCATTGCTTCTCCCGGCTCAGGTACTCCATCTTTTGGCTGCTCCTCCTCACTGGAAAGTTTGCCTTCAGCTACTTCCTCCTGGTGAGCAAAAGCTGTTGTGCCCCCCTATCTCTCATTCCTTACATTCTAACATCTCTACCCACTATCATTCTCCCCTCGGTATTGTTTCCTTCTCACTGCCCTTCCTCCCAACCCTTATCTACTGCCTGATTCAGCTCTACCTACTCGTTCCTCTCTTCCTCTCTCCTCTCACCCTGTCCCTGCCCTTTTCTCACCTCTTCCTCCTCATGGTTTTTTGTCTTCTCTTCCTCTCCCCCTCTCCCCTTCTCCTCCTCTCCCTCACTCCCCTATCCCATGCAGATTCGGCCTATGGTGGAGCCCACAAAGGCACTGCTCAACACAACCATCCACTACACATGGCCGGAGCTTTACAAGTCAGGTGCGCACACACCACGTCCCATCCCATCCCATCCCATCCCATTCCATCCCGTTTCATCCCATCCCATCCCATCCCATCTCATCCCATCCCATCCCATCTCATCCCATCCCATCCCATCCCATCCCATCCCATACCATCCCATCCCATCCCATACCATCCCATCCCATCCCATCCCTTTCCAACCCATCTCTTCCTAATGCATGCCATCTTCCCCATACCACTCTCTATGCGTTACAGTCCCTTGGGACAATAACAGCTTAGTCACTGCCTTATTTCTGAATTATGTGCATGTGTGCTGGTGTGTGTATGTATGTTTGCGTGTGTATGTGCGCGTGTATGTATGTTTGCATGTGTATGTGCGCGTGTGTGCATCCATGTGCATATCTGCGCATGCATGTGTGTGTGTGCGCACGCACGTATGTGTGTGCTTCTCTGTGTGCTAACAGGCAACTATGTCGCTGTCTTCTGGCTCTGGGCGCCAGTTGGTGTGGTACGTCCTCGCATCTCCCACTTGCTCTCCATCCAATGTTCCTTCACTGAATCACTGATGCTTCCAATGCTTCTCCCTTCCATCCTGCATGTCTCTCTCTGTTCATGCAAGGCCTTCATCGTTGCTGTGAGCCAATCAAAAGATCAAGCAAGCACGCCAGCACCCTAGGCACTCTCCATGTCCTTCCTCCGCTCAAATACAAGCAAATTTTTGAACTATACCTGAATTTTAGAGCTAAAGCTTGTGCCAAGCATACTACCCTAATTAACATTATGGGTTTCTGAAATCTGTAAGAAGTCACACATTCATAGTCTTCCCCATGCATGCGCACATTCCTCCATGGCCCCATCACCCTATGCCCCCATGCCCTTGTGCAGATCTACATAATGGATCTTCAGATATTCTATGCCATTTTCTCATCGGTTGTGGGCTACATCATGGGCGTCTTTGCTCATATCGGGGAGGTGCGTAAGAGGGACGTGAGTGATAGAGGCACACTCCATGGATGCGATTCTGGTTGAAGGATTTGGTTGAACCTAAATTCCTTTCCCAGAACCTGCTGTCGTCTGATTTTGGTTGAAGGATAGTTGATTTGTGTTTGCAAGGGAAGTGGCACACTTCACTGGTCAGCCGTGTGAGTGAAGTTGCTTACCCTGCACATCTTCTCCTCCCCTGCTCCTCGTGCCTCTGTGCGCCATGCACCCCAACCTCAACCTACTGCCGCCCAACCAACTCGCCCTCCCAAGTCCCTCATGCCCACCCTCGGGTACGATGACATGCCCTTCCCCATGTCGAAGTCGACTCAAAAAACCCTCATGCGCACCGTTTTTACCATGCTTCACCCTCCTCTACTATTCCACCATGCCCTACCTCCCTCTTCCACAGTTGGGCCACGCGTAGCTGCTCACGCTGCGCTTCCGCTTCCTGCCCCGCGCCACGCCGTGCACCTCACACTGCTGTTTTACGTGCTCTTGCCCCTCCTGCTCCCTCCACCATCCCCCCTCAACCCCCATCCCATCTCTTTCCTGCAGGTGAGCCACGTGAAGCTGCTCACGCTGCGCTTCCGCTTCCTGCCGCGTGCCATGCACCTCAACCTGCTGCCGCCCTCCACCAACGCCCAGCGCCGTGGTGGCATGCGCAGCGCCATGGCTCGCATGTGGAACCGCATGGTTATGACCTATGGGCTCGTCTCCCCTGATACCTGGGTGCGTATTCTCTGAACAAGACTTCATGCCAAAACCCGTTCACTCCTCCACCCTCCATCCTCCACTTGCCTCTGCCGCAAGCTTCTTGTTGCCCACTGCCCAGCATCTGTCACTGCCTTGATTACATTGTTTCCAGCATCACTCACTGCTCTTGCCTGCTGCTCACTCTAGCGGCTCGTTGCTTGAATGAATCGGCTGGCGTTGCTTGTCTGTGTCTGTGCGTGCAGGAGACGGACGAGCGGTGGGTGGTGCTGTGGAACAGCGTCATTGCGAGCTTCAGAGAGGAGGACCTGCTTTCTGACGCGTGAGTGGGAGGAAGAGCGGGGGTGATTGGGTAAATGGAGCGAAGAGGAATGGTGGGAAATGAGAAAAGAGGACCACATCTGCATGGGACGGGAGAGGCAAGAAGGGGGATTGTAGCGCAATTTTTGATTGCAAGCCAGCAAGCAGCATCTGTCATCAAACTAGTTAATTCCACTTTCCCATCCCTTCCTATCCTCCTTCTCTCCCTACTTCTGTCTCTTTCCTTCCTAACCCTCTCCCCCCTGCCTTCCTTGGCCCCTCATATGCACCACAGCGAGGTTAACCTCCTCTCTATCCCTGAAGCCTACACCACTGCCACTGTTTCCCGCTGGCCCATTGTGTTGCTCGCCGATCAGGTATGGCTCGATGTGCTAACCTCAATTCAGGCTTGACTTGCTTGTGACGTAGGCATTGCACTCCCTGATTTAAGAAATGCTTATTTCATTGCACCAGCTATGGTGCATGGTGCTGCTGTAGGAGTACAGCACCAGTTTCACAGATCATTCCGACCTGCCAGGGCCTGTACGAAACATTGCACTTCCTCCTTCCACCTCTCACCCAACCCTCTCCTCTCCCCGCACCCACATCCCTCCCATCCAGGTGGTGAAGGCCATCACCATCGCCGGCCGATGGAAAAACAGCTCCTCCTCCCTCTGGCGGCGCCTCTGCTCGTCCGACTTCTGCCGCTGCGCCGTGCTCGAGACCTTCGCCCTCTTCCGCCTTCTCCTCTCCCACCTGCTCATCGCCGGCACCCCCGAGCACCGCATGGTTCAGCTACTGCTGGCAGAGATCGACGGTGCAGCCAGTGGCGCAGCAGGGGAGGCGCACACAGACAGGGACTTTGTGGATGATTTCAACCTGGGGAAGCTGCCCGCCGTGCAGGCGAAGCTCGTGGCGCTCACTGCGTTCCTGCTCGGGGGACCGACCGAGGAAGAACTTCCCAAGGTGAGGCTCGCCTTGAGGTAACTCGGAGGTCCTAGCTCCTCCGAATCTGAGGGTGTCTATAAAGTGCATTTCGACTGTCACCGGCGTCTCTGAGCACTGCTTGCTGCTCCCTCACAGTCCCTACCTAGCCTTTGCTCTCCCAATTCCACGTGGCACATCCCTACCTTCACCACCCCGGGCCAACCTCCCACCCCACCCCCGCCAGGCCATCATGCTGGTGCAGAACCTGCATGAGGAGACGGTGTGAGGGAGTTCTAAAGTGACAGAAACAACACGCTGCTGCTCTATGCCCCTCACCTGTTATCTCTCAACCCGCATCCCAACCCTCCCCATTGCCCTCCCCCCCCCTCCCACCCTGCCTGCACAAAGTGCAGAGTTTTTTGCCAGCAACCACATGCTGCTGCTCTCTGCCCCTCCCCTGTTTCCTCAACACACTTCCCCACCCCTTCCACCCTCCCCATTGCCCCGCCCATCTGTCACACCATGCCAGGCCATCATGCTGGTGCAAAATCTCCACGTAGCAGTGAGGGACTTCTGGAAAGCCAGCAACTACACGCTGCTGCTCTCCGTTCCTTTTCTGTTAACTCCCATCTCACAATCCCAACCCCACAACCTCTACGACCCCTCCCACCCCTGCGCCAGGCCATCATGCTGGTGCAAAATCTCCACGAGGTGGCAGTGAGGGACTTCTGGAAAGCCAGCAACTACACGCTGCTGCTCTCCAAGGGCGTCATCCCGCGCTCCACCCCCCCTGCCTCGCCTCTCTACGTGGGCGCCATCCGCCTCCCCGACCCCTCCGACCCAAACTACTTCGCCCCGCTGCAGCGCCTGCACTCGCTACTCACCTGCCAGAACGCCATGGCTACCATTCCCGCGAACCCCGAGGCCAGGAGGAGGGTTACGTTCTTCTGTAACTCACTGTTCATGGCCATGCCACCCGCGCCCTCGGTGCAGCGCATGCGGTCGTTCTGTGTGATGACGCCGTATTATAACGAGTCGGTGATGTACTCGCCGGATGAGCTGAGGCGGCCCAACGAGGACGGCATTTCGCTGCTCTACTACCTCCAAAACATCTTCCCAGGTATGTTGGAGCCGACTTAAAACTCGTGCCACAGTGCAGTACATGCGGCCCTTCTGTGTGATGATGCTGTATAACTTTTGAGAATTCTCACAAGTTGTTTGATGCCACAACGCTATATAACAATGACTCTCGTCGTGCTCAGCACCTGTGTGCCGGATTTGCTATGCAATGGATCGCCACTGGGCCTCAGAGTATCTCAGAAACTCAGAGGGACAGCTGTGTGTGTGAAGCACCGGAAGCGTAAAAGTATGCATCGGCTGCTTTCTAACAGCTGTTTCTGCTGCTCCCTGTCCCTGCAGACGAGTGGAAGAACCTTGAGGAGCGGCTGGGGGTGCGGGGCAGGGAGGTATGGGAGTTTGACGACGGTGCGGAGGTGTGCCGCTGGGCCTCCTACCGTGGACAGACCCTCGCTCGCACCGTGCGGGGCATCATGTATTACCACAGGTGCGTGCACGGCAATGAAACTTCTCAAACGCTAATGCAGTCATGTGCACTGTGCTACCACAATCTCCGTGCTTCATTTCTAGGGATGCTGGAACTTTGACTCCCCAAACCCCAAACCCCGAACTCCCCATGGGCATCGTGCTCACCACTCACAGGGCACTGGACCTGCTCTCCTACTTTGACACAGGCCTAGACGCCCCTCATTTGTCACACCTTATAACCCACACTCACCATGGCCCCATCCACCCCCTCCAACCCCACTCACAGGGCACTGGACCTGCTTTCCTACTTTGACACCGACCCAGACGCCCCTCCCACCCAAGGACGTGAGCTTCATTCCAAGCCCCTACCCACCGCCGCCCCTCTTGCTGAAGAAATGTCCGCTGCCGCCGCCGCCGCTGCCGCTGTCGCCTCTGCCTTTGGCGGCAGCGGGAGGAGGCCAGACGCGGGCTGGGACTCCCAGGGTTCGGTGGAACACTTGCGGGAGCAGATCTCCCAGCATCTGGGGCATCAGCGAGAGTACGACCCCCAGTTTTCTCTCGCCGACGTGAAGTTCACGTACGTCGTCGCCTGCCAGATCTACGGCGAGCACAAGCGCAAGAACGACCCGAAGGCGCAGCACGTGTTGGAGCTCATGCAGGAGAATCCCGCGCTCAGAATCGCGTACGTGGACGAACAGCCGCCCGCACCGGGATCGGGCGGCGGGACGCGGTACTACTCCGTCCTGGTGAAGTGGGACCAGTGGAATCAGCGTGAGGTGGAGATTTTCCGCGTGCAGTTACCCGGCCCGATCAAGATTGGGGAGGGCAAGCCGGAGAACCAGAACCACGCCATCATCTTCACACGCGGAGAGGCACTGCAGACAATAGACATGAACCAGGACAGCTATCTTGAAGAGGCGTTGAAGATCCGGAACTTTCTGGAGGAGTTTTCGGAGTCGCGGAGAAGGATTCTGGGGATGAGGGAGCATGTGTTCACGGGGAGTGTGTCGTCGCTGGCGGCGTTCATGTCGGCGCAGGAGACAGCTTTTGTGACCATCGGGCAGCGCGTGCTGTATAACCCCTTGAAGGTGCGTTTGGCTTGGGTCTCATGCTGTCATTCTGGGGATGCGGGAGAATGTGTTCACGGGGAGTGTGTGGTCATTTCTTCTCCTTGCTCCCATCTCTCCCCAGCATGTGGACCCTCTGACTCGCTGGCATACTATCCATGCATTCCTTCTCCCCTTCGCACCCTCTCTCACCCCCTCGCTCCCCCTCTTACCCCATTTTGCACCCCTTTTGCAGGTGCGCATGCACTACGGGCATCCAGACGTGTTTGACCGCGTGTGGTCGCTGGCACGGGGTGGCATCAGCAAGGCATCGCGGGTGATCAACATCAGTGAGGACATCTTTGCTGGCTTCAACACCACTCTCAGGCGTGGAGCCATCTCGCACCACGAATACATTCAGGTGAGTGATTGTATCCTGGTTCTTGAGTTGACTAAAAAGGCATGAGTAATGCGTTGTGGGTGTTCAACATCAGTGAGGACATTTTCGCTGGGTTCAACACCACGCTCAGGCATGGAGCCATCTCCCATCACGAGTACATTCAGGTGAGTTCAAGGGCTGTGGACGGTATGATGCAGCAAGCGAAGGGACGCTTTTGAGAATTCTCAAAAGGGAGGGTTCTCCATCTTCCGCCTTCTCTCCTTCTGCACCACCTACACCTTCTTCAGCACTCTACTCTTCTCTCCCCTCTCCAGGCGCCTCAAGAACCAACACCCATGCTTCCATACACATGGCCTTCTCCCCCCCTTCAACTCCCTCTTCCCTCCATCTCCAGGTCGGAAAGGGTCGTGACGTGGGACTCAACCAAATCTCTTTGTTCGAGGCCAAAGTAGCAAGCGGCAATGGAGAGCAGCTCCTCTCAAGGGACGTGTACCGGCTGGGCCACGGGCTGGACATCTTCCGCCTGCTCTCCTTCTACACCACCTCCATCGGCTTCTTCTTCAGCACCGCGCTCACCGCCATGGCCGTGTACGCCTTCCTCTGGGGGAGGTGCTATCTGGTGCTGTCCGGCGTGGAGGAGACGATTTCCTCCTCGGACGACCAGGCTCTATCTGCCGCCATCAACCAACAGTTCCTCGTTCAGGTGTGTGACATAGGTGATAATGAATCCAGTACTTTTAGGTATGCCCTAGTTTTTCCTTTCCTACTGAAGCTGTTTTCACCTCTTCACCCTCTGTTCGTCGCAGCTTATGAGTTGGAATCGCATTCCTCCTTTCTTCTCCTGCCTCTCCTCCTTGCATTGGGTTCTTCACGTCGCTGCTGACTCTCGTTCGTAGCTGCTGGCTCTGATGAATCGTCCTTTCTTCCGTTCCTCCTTTCCTTCGCCTCCCCACTGCCTAGATCGGGCTCTTCACGTCGCTGCCAATGCTGATGGAGCTGATACTGGAAAAGGGCACGGGGGCGGCCATCTGGGAGTTCCTGCTAATGCACGTGCAGCTCTGCTTCGCCTTCTTCACCTTCTCCCTCGGCACACGCGCGCACTACTTTCTGCGCACACTCATGCACGGCGGGGCCAAGGTGGGACGGGCGTGAGTCTGCAAGGAGGAATTCTCAGAACGGGCATGCATGATGCATTCAGGGGTTTACTACACATGCGCACTCCTCTTTCCCCATTCTCCACGTCTCCCTCTCTTTCCTTCTTCCTTTACCCCTCATGTCTCCTGCTCCCCACTCCCCCATTCCCCCCCGTCCTCTCCCCTTCCCCAGTATCGAGCAACAGGGCGTGGCTTCGTGGTGAAGCACGAGCCCTTCGCGGAGAACTACCGGCTGTACTCGCGCAGCCACTTCAACAAGGCAGTAGAACTCCTGCTCTGCCTCGTCATATACATGCTCTACTCCTCCCTCCGCGCCTCCACCGCCTACTGGCTGCTCTCCCTCTCCTCCTGGATCCTCGTGCTCTCCTGGCTGGTCGCCCCCTTTGCCTTTAACCCCTTGGGGTTCGACTGGCTCAAGTGCTGCGATGACTGGGAGGAGTGGACGGCTTGGCTGTGGGCCAAGGGAGGGAAGGGGGTGACGGAGAAGCAGGCGTGGGTGGTGTGGTGGGATGAGGAGAGGGCGCATCTGAAGACGACCGGGTGTGGGGGGTGGCTTGTGGAGACGCTGCTGGCTCTGCGGTGGTTCTTCTTCCAGTATGCTCTTGTGTACAGGGTGAGTCAGGCTCACACGGCTGTTGGTTTCTCAATGTGGGGGAGAAGGAGTCTGAGCTTAATCTTGAACAAAGTACCTTGTCTGACACGTGAAGCACACACTTACCCACAAAGTCCCTTCCCCTCGTCCTCTGTGCTCGTTATTCTTTTTACATCTCCCTATCCCGGTCTCTCCTTTTGGACATGGCCAATGCGAGCACTAGCATCCTGGTCTACGTGTACTCGTGGCTCTTCATCTTCGCAATGGGGCTCTTCTGGATCTCATGTGCTCTTCATCTTCTGGTCTACGTGTACTCGTGGCTCTTCCTCCCTCCCTTATTTTCCCTCCTCCCTCCCTCCCTCCCTCCCTCCTCCACATCTCCCTAACTTGGTCTCTCCAGTTGGACATGGCCAATGCGAGCACGAGCATCCTGGTCTACGTGTACTCATGGCTCTTCATCTTCGCCATGGGCCTCTTCTGGATCTCCCTCACGCTCTGCGACCTCTACCTCTCCATACGCTCCCACCTGCTCCACCGCGTCGTCAAAACCACCATCTGCCTCGCCTTCCTCGCAGCCTTCATAACCGCACTCTCCTTCACGAAACTCTCCTTTTCAGACGTTTTCCTGCTTCCGCTAGTCTTCCTCCCCACGGGATGGGGGTTCCTGCAGCTGACACTTGTGGTGGCTGGGGCGTTTCCGGCGGTTGAGACGTGGTGGACGTGGGGGCTTGTGAGGAGCTTTGCGAGGACTTATGAGTTTATTATTGGGGTGATTGTGTTTTTGCCCATGGCGGTGCTGTCGTGGCTTCCGGGAGTTCAAGACATGCAGACGAAGGTGCTGTTCAACCAAGCGTTCAGCCGAGGGTTACAGATTACACGGCTTGTTACAGGGGCACATCCGAATGCAGGTTATTAATTTGGATATATGGTTTGTGTGGGCATATCAACTAGAGATTTATGGAATTTCAAGATAACTGGCAGGTGGTAAACGTGTGTTATGTGTCGAGAGGGGCTACTAGATTGAGCATGATAATTGAAGAAATACAAACTTCCATATTACGTGTAATACATTCTTAGAAGAGGTGCCTATCATTTGAAGGCAGCACACCATTGGCTGCCGACTACTAGCGCGGTCACCCTGACTCTTACGGAATCCGCGGTGTGCCACATCACCGCATCTGCCAAAGCCTGATCACCCAAACCAAGTCAAATCGGTTCCACTTGTGGCTGAGAAACCACCCTGGCTGGCCTGGGACCATGGAAAAGTTTGTGGCTCGGATGTAAAATGTGAGGTGCCTTGTCACACTGGGTCAATCTGACGTTCCAAGGAGGAGCAGGTTTCAAAGCATCCAAATTTACCATGTGGAACCGTACTGTGTTTCTCTGAAAACTACCGCACCCATGTGGATGTGAATTATGACCATCCTAAAAATGCCAGGCAGTTTCTGATGCTCATATCTGCTCACTGACAGACACTCCCGGCCAAATGCTGTTTCCTGATCTCAGGAGAAAAATCCTTCTTTCTGAACGAGTAGCCTCATAGAGAAACAAGAGAATAGCCCTCAGTCTCGTCTCAAGGGTACTTGCGCTGCATTCAAGCCGCTGTTTCGAGACTGCTCTTATTACGAGTCAGACCGGCGGCCGACTGTTACTCCTTCGCGAATCTGCATTCCCTAGGCTGATCAGCTTAGCATCATTCAGTAAATCCACGCAGCATCCCGAGGTGTTCTTAGAAGCGCAGCGAAGCAGCCCGTAGCATCAGTCAGTAAACCCAGCCATGGGGTTGGTGGGGGAGATCCTGGGCCATCCAGACGAGTTCATGCCGCTGTTGCGGATTCGCCACATGGCGAAGATGGTGTCGAAGCTTCCCGACGACGATGATTTCGCCTTTTGCTACGGCATGCTCAACCGCGTCAGTAGGAGCTTCGCCTTCGTCATCCAGCAGCTGCACCCGCTGCTGCGCGACCCGGTGCGAAGTGAATGATTGTGACTTTCAATTGAGCAATGGTCTCCATAACGATGGTCTCCAGAATTAAACTCAGTCATCCAGCAGCTGCACCCGCTGTTGCGCGACCCACTACGAAGTAAACGATTGCTAACAAATGTGACCTAACTGAGTAATTGTCCCCATAACAACGGCAAAGAAGGCAATATTCCGAGTTCAACATCCAAAACTGAGCACGTAATGAAGGAAACCCTATCGCTGTTCGATGCTCTGAGCCAGAACCGTTATGGATTATGATGTAATCACCATCCGATAGTTGAACCAAGAGGTACAAGGTGTGCGGTCATCCATTGCTACTGTCTGACGTCTCGACTGAATGTCGTGTTAATGAGTCTAGCGTGTGTTCCGCGTGTCCCCTGCAGGTATGCATCTTCTACCTCGTTCTACGCGCGCTTGACACAGTCGGTACGCTCCACCCAGCTGTGTCCGTGTCTTTCCCTTCCGTTTTTTCTTTCTCCGCACATGTATGGTGTATCTGCTTGTTACCAGAACATCTTGCCTGCTCGGTTCAACAGTAAATGCAATTGCCTTCCACATTCCTCTTCCCCATTTCTCCGTTTTGACTTCCTTCCCCATTCGTGCTACCCTCATCTACCAGCATTCATTCATTTCCTTTTACCCCACATCCCCATTCTCACTTCAAAACTCTCCCTTCCGCACCCACTCTCCCTTCCACTCGCACTCTCCCTTCCACACCCACACTCCCTTCCACCCCCACTCTCCCTTCCACACCACCCACACTCCCTTCCACACTACCTCTCCTCCTCCCTTTTCCACCAGAGGACGACATGGCAGTACCCATAGACGAGAAGGTCCCCATCCTCATCGCCTTCCACCAACACATCTGCGATCCCGACTGGAAATTCGTCTGTCAGTGCCCCTCCCCTCCACCACCCCCCTGTTTCCCCCACCCTCTCACAATGCAACCTTTCGCTTTCTCCTCTCACGCCAGGAGTTCACCAACCAAACGCTCTCAGGATGTCTTGTTTTACTAGCGGCTGCGTTACTCTAGGCTTCTTTTCGTTCAACCGACTCAATTCCGATATGAAACTTCCCCAACAAGGAGGACTTAGTGGACCATACTCATGTTCAGCTCCTTCGAACGTATTTTCTTGCCCGGCATGGCATTCATTCACCCCTCCTATGAGCATATGGCACCAAGGACTACAAGGACCTCATACCTCATACCTGCCTCGCTCGTCTCCCCTTCAACCTGTGACCAGGCGGCACCAAGGACTACAACGACCTCATACCTCATACCTGCCTCGCTCGTCTCCCCTTCAACCTGTGACCAGGCGGCACCAAGGACTACAACGACCTCATACCTCATACCTGCCTCGCTCGTCTCCCCTTCAACCTGTGACCAGGCGGCACCAAGGACTACAACGACCTCCTGCAGCGCCTCTACCACACGCTTCCCCCACTCGACCTGTAATCCCCCCACTCTCCCCCCTCCCCCCTCCCTCGTCCCCACCAGGCGGCAGCAAGGACTACAAGGACCTCATGCAGCGGCTCTACCACGTGCGCCACGCACTCGAGAAACTCGAGCCCAGGTGAGACCAGACGAGCTGCCACACAGAGCCCACGTAACAACGAGGTGCAACACAGAGCCCACGTAACACGAGACGAGCTGCAGCGAGGCCAGTTCAGGCTAGAAGTATCACAAGCTAGTGTGAGACCACGTAATAGAACTCAGGAATGATGAGGTATCACAAACGAGAGCCCAGCCCAGGTACGTTGAATCGAGGCACAGCCAGGCCCATCGGGGTTAGGATCTTGTGTAAGCTAGATTCTCGGTTGAGGTGCGTTCTGGAGCGCGTGCTTCTGAGGCGCCTCAAAGAAAGGTGCAATCCGGCTTAGCGATCTAGTGCTACCGCATCCCTCCCCTCGCGCGTTCCTCCCCTTTACCTCATCCCCTATCCCCTTCCCTTCCTCATACCCTAAACCCTGAACCATGGGCCCACACATGCACCCACACATGGCAGGTACAAAGCGGTGATTCTGGATATAACAAAGCGCATGGGCGCAGGCATGGCGTCCTTCATCACTACGGAGGTCAGCCCCTCTCACTAGTAGGCATGGCATTTCCCTCACCCAAGTCCCCAACTAATCTCTGCTAAAGCTCATCGTTGCCCTACCTTCACGGATCAATCACGTACCCTTAACGTTCCACAACCATGCCATGTAACCTTGCAAGGTTCTCCCTGCACCGAACCTCCCGATTGAATTGAGATGGCGGCGCAGTACGACGAGCACTGCCTCTGGCACACATTGCCTGTCTGTCACCCTTATCTGCCAAAGCTCATTGCTCAGTTCTTGCAAAACTGTCCCCTCCCGAGGTGGAGACACTGGCACTGTACGACAAGCACTGCCACACACTGGCTCACATTGCCCTCTGCCTCACTGCTACATACATCCTGTGCCTTCCCTTGCTGTCGTGTCATGTCATGCACTCTGATCTTCAACCCCCAGGTGGACACAGTGGCCCAGTACGACGAGTACTGCCACTACGTGGCGGGGCTGGTGGGCATCGGGCTGTCAGACCTCTTTCACGCTGCCAAGTTGGAGGAAGCGTTTGAAGAGTCCCTCTCCAACTCCATGGGGCTCTTCCTGCAGGTGCGTGCTTGCACCCGCCCGTCCATGCATTCATGTCTAGTCGACTCAGAAGTCGGTCTTTGAGTTTATTAAAAAGTCAACTCCATGGGGCTCTTCCTGCAGGTCCATCCGCCCGTCCATGCGTTCTCCCATCAGTCTGATTGTCCGTCACGTGATGTTTCATTGGGGCATTGAGGCACTTCAAAGGTCTTTTCACGCCGCCCACGTAGAGGAACCCTTAGAGGAGTCCCTCTCCAACTCCATGGTCCTCTTTTTGCAGGCCCTTGCTTGCAGCTTTCTGTGCGTCCGTCCAACACTTCGCCCATCCGTCCGTCCATCCGTCCATCCACTCCACTCCCCCACCAACCCATCCATCCACTGCTTAAGGATGATTCGTGGTTGGTGGTGTTAAGCTGAGTATCCCTTGAGGCTTCAACATGGCATCCATGTGATCATACCCCACTGTCCCACAGACATTGATGCCCGTGCATGGCCCCATGCATGCATGTACATGTCCCCCATGAGCCCCATGGTCCCCATGCCTCCGATGTCCCCCATATGCCCCATGCCTCCCATGTGCCCCTCGTCCCCCATGTGTCCCATGTCCCCCATGTGTCCCATGTCCCCCATGTGTCCCATGTCCCCCATGTGTCCCATGTCCCCCATGTGTCCCATGTCCCCCATGTGTCCCATGTCCCCCATGTGTCCCATGTCCCCCATGTGTCCCATGTCCCCCATGTGTCCCATGGCACAGAAGACAAACATCGACCGCGACTATAGAGGACATCACAGAGGAGCCCACCCTGCGCATGCCTCCCATGTCCCCTATGTCCCCCATGACCTCCCATGTCCCCTATGTCCCGCATGACCTCCCATGTCCCCTATGTCCCGCATGATCTCCCATGTCCCCTATGTCCCGCATGATCTCCCATGTCCCCTATGTCCCGCATGATCTCCCATGTCCCCTATGTCCCGCATGATCTCCCATGCCCTCATAACCCCACGGCACAGAAGACCAACATCATCCGGGACTATCTAGAGGACATCACAGAGGAGCCCGCCCCTCGCATGTGCATGTCCTCATGTGTGCATGTCCCTTCTGTGTCCTCCCCATGTCCCCATGCCCCCGACTTCTCCCCATATCCCCCATGGAGCAGAAGACCAACATCATCCGGGACTATCTAGAGGACATCACAGAGGAGCCCGCCCCTCGCATGTGCATGTCCTCATGTGTGCATGTCCCTTCTGTGTCCTCCCCATGTCCCCATGCCCCCGACTTCTCCCCATATCCCCCATGGAGCAGAAGACCAACATCATCCGGGACTATCTAGAGGACATCACAGAGGAGCCCGCCCCTCGCATGTTTTGGCCCAAAGCCATCTGGGGCAAGTACTCCTCGCGCCTGGAGGTGAGCCGCTCTGGGAGGAAATAGTCAAGTAGGCACTTGCAACGTGCCCTGCATTCCATACCACACTATTCTTCATTGTACGGCATTTGGCCTCGAAGGTCACTGCGTGCAGCACTGTTCTCCCCGTGCGTCACCATCCACCACCACTGGGATGTGCCATGGTGGACGCTATGCTCCGTGCCGTGCCACTTTTGAGACGTCTCAAAAGATGTGTCACGGTGGACGCTATGCTCCGTGCCGTGCCACTCTGTGTTCACTGTGCTGTACCGCACTTGAGTGCGTTGAGAGCCGCAGCACTGAAGTTTCTTGAGACGTCTCCGAATGACATGACCACTCACTCTGCACTGCACTGCACCGCACTGCACTGCACTACACCGCACTGCACCGCACTGCCCTCATACATCCACCAGGATTTCAAGGACGTGGAGAGCAACGGGGCAGCGGCAGTGAAGTGTGTGAATGAGCTGGTGACCAACGCACTGGGCCATGTGTCCGACTGCCTCACTTATATGCATCGCCTCCGAGACCCCCAAGTCTTCCGCTTCTGCGCCATTCCCCAGGTCTGTGAGTGACAGCTCAGCATTCCCAGGTCTGTGAGTGACAGCTCAGCATTCCCAGGTCTGTGAATGACAGCTCAGCATTCCCCAGGTCCGTGAGTGACAGCTCAGCATTCCCAGGTCTGTGAATGACAGCTCAGCATTCCCAGGTCTGTGAATGACAGCTCAGCATTCCCCAGGTCCGTGAGTGACAGCTCAGCATTCCCCAGGTCCGTGAGTGACAGCTCAGCATCCGCCAGGTTTATCACTGACAGGTCAGCATGCCCGAGTCCATGGCTGACAAGCTGTGATCCCACGTGGTCATGCTCCCATGTGGTCATGCTTCCATGTGGTCATGCTCCCATGTGGTCATGCTCCCATGTGGTCATGCTCCCATGTGGTCATGCTCCCATGTGGTCATGCTCCCATGTGGTCATGCTCCCATGTGGTCATGCTCCCATGTGGCCATGCTCCCATGTGGTCATGCTCCCATGTGGCCATGCTCCCATGTGGCCATGCTCCCATGTGGTCATGCTCCCATGTGGCCATGCTCCCATGTGGCCATGCTCCCATGTGGTCATGCTCCCATGTGGTCATGCTCCCATGTGGTCATGCTCCCATGTGGTCAGGCTCCCATGTGGCCATGCTCCCATGTGGTCATGCTCCCATGTGGCCATGCTCCCATGTGGCCATGCTCCCATGTGGCCATGCTCCCATGTGGCCATGCTCCCATGTGGTCATGCTCCCATGTGGTCATGCTCCCATGTGGCCATGCTCCCATGTGGTCATGCTCCCATGTGGCCATGCTCCCATGTGGTCATGCTCCCATGTGGTCAGGCTCCCATGTGGCCATGCTCCCATGTGGTCATGCTCCCATGTGGCCATGCTCCCATGTGGCCATGCTCCCATGTGGCCATGCTCCCATGTGGCCATGCTCCCATGTGGTCATGCTCCCATGTGGTCATGCTCCCATGTGGCCATGCTCCCATGTGGTCATGCTCCCATGTGGCCATGCTTCCATGTGGTCATGCTCCCATGTGGCCATGCTCCCATGTGGTCATGCTCCCATGTGGTCATGCTCCCATGTGGTCATGCTCCCATGTGGTCATGCTCCCATGTGGCCATGCTCCCATGTGGTCATGCTCCCATGTGGTCATGCTCCCATGTGGCCATGCTCCCATGTGGTCATGCTCCCATGTGGTCATGCTCCCATGTGGTCATGCTCCCATGTGGTCATGCTCCCATGTGGCCATGCTCCCATGTGGTCATGCTCCCATGTGGTCATGCTCCCATGTGGCCATGCTCCCATGTGGTCATGCTCCCATGTGGCCATGCTCCCGTGTGGCCATGCTCCCGTGTGGCCATGCTCCCATGTGGCCATGCTCCCATGTGGCCATGCTCCCATGTGGTCATGCTCCCATGTGGTCATGCTCCCATGTGGTCATGCTCCCATGTGGTCATGCTCCCATGTGGTCATGCTCCCATGTGGTCATGCTCCCATGTGGTCATGCTCCCATGTGGTCATGCTCCCATGTGGTCATGCTCCCATGTGGTCATGCTCCCATGTGGCCATGCTCCCATGTGGTCATGCTCCCATGTGGTCATGCTCCCATGTGGCCATGCTCCCATTTGGTCATGCTCCCATGTGGTCATGCTCCCATGTGGTCATGCTCCCATGTGGCCATGCTCCCATGTGGTCATGCTCCCGTGTGGCCATGCTCCCATGTGGCCATGCTCCCATGTGGCCATGCTCCCATGTGGTCATGCTCCCATGTGGTCATGCTCCCATGTGGTCATGCTCCCATGTGGCCATGCTCCCATGTGGTCATGCTCCCATGTGGCCATGCTCCCATGTGGTCATGCTCCCATGTGGTCATGCTCCCATGTGGTCATGCTCCCATGTGGTCATGCTCCCATGTGGTCATGCTCCCATGTGGTCATGCTCCCATGTGGTCATGCTCCCATGTGGTCATGCTCCCATGTGGTCATGCTCCCATGTGGTTGGTCATGATGCTTATGCAACCATGTCTCCCTTGCCCGTTCGTGCTTCCCGTGCAATCATCGTGCCATGTTGCAATGTCTGCATAATCCCATCCCATACGTCTATGCATCCTCTCTCTGTCCCGGCACCCCATGCCGATCACAACAATTGGACTCACGTGAGAGTGAGACGCCCCAGAGGTTCCCAGATTAAAAGCTGTCTTGCTGCTTCCATCCATCCATTACCCACCCGCCCCCCATGCATGCAGATCATGGCGATGGGCACGCTCGCACTGTGCTACAACAACATTGGCGTCTTCGAGGGCGTCGTCAAGATGAGACGAGGTGCTGCCACTCTAGGACCTTTTGAGAATTCTCACAAGTCAATGTAGGACCCCGCAAAGCTCGACACTCGTTGCTGAAGCGTGTGCATGGTCATATGGTCGGACAGAACCATGTGGGTTCTACGTGTTCCTATCTGTTTCTCCTTACATTCCCTTCTTCTTCCCCGCTCACCTTGCACTTTTACGTTAGGGGCTGTGCGTAACAGCCTTGGGGCTCACCCATCTCGACCTGTCTTCACCACCCCCGCACACTGTGCATTTGCCTTGTACGCCCCACACGATTCGTCGCTCCACGCCCTTCCTCACCCCACACCCTATCCTGGGGGTCAGGGTTGGCGGCGAAGGTGATGGAGCAGACGTGGAGCATGGCGGATGTGCGCTCTTCCTTCACTGACTTTGGCTTCGAGATCCTGAAAAAGGTATGCCCTGACTTTGACTTCCCTGCCTCGCCACTCGCTCACTTTTTGAGGCGTCTCACAACGAATGTGCGCTCTTTTCCTTCACTGACTTTGGCTCTGAGGTTTTTAAAGAAGGTACGCCCTGCCTTCCCCCGCCATGGCTTGCCTTGCCATTCGCTCATTCTTGTTATGCACCTGCAGCAGCCTCCGCGCAGACGTGCGTTTCTCCTTCACTGAATTTAGCCTTGAGATTTTGAAGACAAGTACACTCTGCCTTGTGAGAGGGGGGTGTGACCCTACCCTGCCTTATGGGAGATCTTCATTTCCCTCTTCCCCTTCCCTGTTTTGCTCCATCCTCTCCCCTTCACACACCACTTCATGCCCACCCCCCGCCCTCCTCCATGCCCTAATACCCGCACATGTCATGGAATGTAGGTGGACGATTCAGATCCAAACTCGCAGGCAACGCGAGAGTGCATTGGCAAGATCATCGCCTCTTGCAGAACAGAGGGGAGGCTTGTAAGGGGACGCCTGTCAGTCTGTGACAATGCCAAGTGGCGGTACCTATTTTATTTATTCCTTATTGTAAGAGACCTTCTTCCCCAAAACCCCATCCCTCGTCTGATAACTCGCTCTCGGTCTCTTCTTACCTGTTCCTCTGTTCTTGAACACGAGCTCCAACCATCGGCAACCATCAGCATCCATCTACATCCATTTGAATCCATCTGAAGCCAATTTGCATCCAGTTTGCACCCATCTGCATTCCGTTGAGGCACCGCCACAGCTCTGTTGCTCTTGTGTTTCTGAATGTCGGATCATATCCTAACAAGTCTGCTCCTTGTTTATCTGCAGGTTACGCTGATCTTCTATGTGGTTTCATACTTGAGTGATGCCTTCTCATCATAGAGGGGCTTCTATAGACTGGTACCTTATCAAATCGTGCATGTGTTTACTGTGTAATCAGTCCAAATTTTATCCTGAGCATTAGAGTGCACCATTGTGCATAAACATGAGTCACGTGGCTGCTGTTATGGCGTAGGAAAGGGTTATTCCATGGCATTTCTGTTGCCACTGTGTGCGTGTGCCATCACCAAGGACGGCACGGCAAAGCATCATACTCAAAGCGTATTCTTACAGCCTCATATCAGGCCACCTCGTATCAAGAATGTACTTTTTGCCTGGTAAAACTAGCGAGAGGTTTTTGGTTTAGGGGAATTTCCAGTGTGAGCCTGATATGAGGTGTAGGAATATGCTCTCATACTCATCCAATGATTGGTAAGGGGCATATGGGCCATGTTCAATAATTGATTCTTCTCCCTAAATTGTTAGACACTACACTACCTACTCAAGCTAGAAGTTATGATGCTCGCTCGTGGCAAAGCCTATGATAAAAGGGGCCAGCCTATACCAAACGAAGCAAGCATGGTGCACTCATGAAAGTTTGGTGAGCGCACGTATATGGCCACAAGAGGCTAAGAAGAAGCTGGATTCCAGTTGCCATAGCCACGAGAAAAGTTTGGATGGGATGATTACTATCCTAAGAGGTGATATTGTGGCCCAATCAAGAGTATGAAGAATGCTAAAACAATGGATGGATTCGCTGAACATATAATCCAATGAATAACAATGTATCACAATAATTGTCTACTAGTCATAACAGACGAACGTGTAGAGTGGATTTCAAGTTGAATTTTGCTGTACGTGAATGGTCACCGACTTTCTGCTGCTGACTCGGACACAGCGAGAAGATACGAAGCACAGAAGGCAAGCCACGTGTTTCGCGAACCTTCCACTGATACAGGAAGGCGCGAACCAAAGCCCGTACAAATGAAAGACCCGTCCCGTCACGACATGCCATCCCCTCGACTTCCCCTCTTCCCCTTTTGCCCAAATCCACACCTCCAATATTTCCGCCTGGGGAACATCGCTGCCATCCCCAAAATCCACCCCTCCAATATTTCCGCCTGGGGAACATCGCTGCCATCCCCAAGGGTCACGGCGCATTCCTGTCTCGGACACCATACGAAGTTTGGCCACGCGGTCCGCAATTTCGAGAATGTACATTTGAATGTTGCCCCACGCGGTCTGAGGTCTGGACACTTAGGTTTCAGTTGGCCACTGCACGTGCGACCAACGTGCACGAGGTGGGGCCCTGCCCCACACGGACACCATCCTCACGCCAATACCCTTCAGGTGGGCTAACTTCGGGTGGTGTCCAAGCCAGGAATGCGATCTCAATCGCCCAAGCATCTGCTTCGGCGTCCGTCCGATCTGGACCATCTCCACCAGCGACGAGGGTTACTTCACTGTACCCCGTCGTGCCTCCCCGCAACCTACTTTCCCCCTTTCCCGACCCCCCTGCGCAACCGACCGAATCCTCTCCCCCTGGCCATTCCTGGTTCCTGTCTGATTGGCAGAGCAGAGCCTAAATTGGCCAGAAACAACATTTCTTGAATTGAATCCAGCTCCTCCTCCTGCTGGTCTTGCTCGTGGTTCCGTGTTTCTGTCGAATCCTAGTCGTACAGGATCTGTAGCCATGGGAAAGTCCTACCCTACCGTCAGCGAGGAGTACCAGACGGCCGTTACCAAGGCTAAGAGGGAGTTGAGGGCCCTCATTGCCCACAAGAACTGTGCTCCCATTATCGTTCGCCTGGCGTAAGTACTGGCTTGCGCTACACCGATGAGATTCTTCGGCCTGAACGTTTTGCAGACCCAAGGACGTAGGCTGGCATAGAAGCTGATGGTTCTCTTGGTTTATGATTCTGCATGCAGATGGCACGGTGCTGGCACTTTTGATGTCAAGGATAAGTCCGGAGGTCCCTTCGGAACGATCCGCAAGCCGGAGGAGCTGGCGCACGGAGCGAACGCCGGTCTCAAGTGGGCTGTTGACCTCCTTGAGCCCATCAAGGCCAAGTACAACATCCTTTCTTACGGAGATCTCTACCAGGTTCGTGCTACTGTCGTCGTCCCGCTCTTCAACTCATTGACTCTACCCGTTAGCAGTCATGATGATACACTCTTGTGTGCCTGTGCTTAACCATGTAACCTATTTGAACAGCTTGCCGGAGTCGTAGCTGTGGAGGTCACTGGAGGCCCAGAGATTGAGTTCCATCCCGGACGCAAGGTAAAGTGTCACTTGCACAAACCCAACCATGAATTTGATACGTTTCCACGTTTGAAATCTGCCCAAGTATTGCACGTATAGTATCTTGAGAGTTCTCCATTCCTGTGAATGCTCCCAGGATGAGGACAAGGTCCCGCCTGAAGGCCGCCTGCCAGATGCCACGGGGGGCTCCAACCACCTGAGGGACATCTTCTACAAGATGGGCCTCAACGACAAGGAGATTGTCGTTCTTTCTGGCGCTCATACTCTGGTGAGTAGGGTCTGAAAAATTGTGAGTCATTAACGACGCCAGATCCATTTTGGATCGCAAGGAAGCCAAATGGAAAAAAACGCTAGAAAGATAATGTGATGCGTTTATCACTGGCAGGGGAGATGCCACAAGGAGAGGTCAGGATTTGAGGGCGCGTGGACCACACAACCCCTGAAGTTTGACAACGAGTACTTTGTGTAAGTGGACAGGCAGTCATTGAAACTCTAAATTCCCTGAGTTGGGAGTCACATTCTAGGAACGGATCTCATCATTTCCGTGTTTGCCACTGCAGCAACCTTCTGAGCGACAATGACAAGGGTCTGCTGGTCCTTCCCAGTGACAAGGCCCTGGTGGAGGACGCTGAGTTCAAGAAGTTAGTCGAACTCTATGCCAAGGTGCGTTGTGATTCTGTAACAGACAATATCTGGCTTGGCACAGTGCGAACACATGTTCAAGATCACTTCTGATCTGTGGCTTGGGATGTTACAGGATGAGGATGCCTTCTTCGCTGACTATGCTGCGGCGCACCAAAGGCTATCTGAGCTCGGGTAAGCGGACTGAAGAGAACGAACATTGCACAAATGTGTAGCCATATTTAACATAGGGCTGCAAGCTTGCCATGGTTTCTAGGATATTGTATGATCTAGTCCTCATGCCTTCTCGTTTATTGTTTCCCTGCAGGTTTGCTGATGCTTGAAGTGTACACACCTAAGTAAATTATTGTGCATGTTCTTAGCCCTTGGCTGTTGTAATGCTGTACCTACCATCAGCAATGAATCATGAGATTATATGTGCCAAGTGCCATCAGTGCAGAAAATCGTCCTGAGAAGCATGCCAAAGCAGATACTGGTACGAGTCGCAGATCACAAACCTGGTTTCGGCTCGCGAAACGAAACGAGGGAAACCTGAACAAATTCTAGTTTCGCCTAAAACTGATACTTGCTGCGATACGAAAGTGGTATTTTCTCAGTCTCTATCCAACCTAACTCGTCCTCCCATTTTAGGGAGGCCACTAATTTTAGGGCAGGTATGTGACTGCCGAAACCCGACATCAGCCTGCTCGCTTCCTCGTTCAAGGTACCTGGTTACAAAACAGTTACAAGCTCAGTGCAATATCGAGTGACCCTGTTTCGAAGCTTGAGCTCACAACTTGGACAACTTTGAATCCGCTGGACCAAGTTCGCTGGATACCTAGCGCCAGTCCCAGTTCGAAGCATTCGCCTGCCCCGAGCTGACGTGGTGTTCTACAATTCGGTACACAAAATGCTCAAATAGCCTCGCCACAAAAACTTCGCATTTTCCCAATCCCGAGTCGCGTAGCATTCGCGCCTCGATTTCACACTCCAACATCGGTCCTACCACTGGAATTCGAGTATTGTTCACTCCGCTCCGCATCTCTAACATAAATACCTCTCCAAGACCTCCAAGTAAATCATCCAGCCACATTTTTAACTACTCTGATTACCATCTGCAGCCACCCCGCCTTCGCCAGCTTGTGCTCAGCCCACCGCCAGCATCATGGCTGCTCTCTCCACCTCCACCGCGGCTTCCTCCGCTTCCGCATTCGTCGGCTCTAGCGCGGATCTCGCAGCGAAGGTCCGCAACGTGGAGTGTCGCGTGACGATGCGCAAGGCCGCTGGCAAGGCCGACAACCTGAGCCAGTGGTACGGCCCGGACCGCAACCTGTTCCTAGGCCCGTTCAGCGCGCCTCCCGCGTACCTGAAGGGCGAGTTCCCCGGCGACTATGGTTGGGACACGGCGGGACTGTCGTCGGACCCCGAGACGTTCGCCAAGAACCGCGAGCTGGAGGTGATTCACTCGCGCTGGGCCATGCTCGGCGCGCTTGGCATCGTCTTCCCCGAGCTGCTGGCGCGCAACGGCGTGCCGCTGCAAGAGGCGGTGTGGTTCAAGGCGGGCGCGCAGATCTTCTCCGAGGGCGGGCTCGACTACCTCGGCAACCCCGGGCTCATCCACGCGCAGAGCATCCTCGCCACGCTCGCCGTCCAGGTGCGCTCGTCGCGCAAATGCGCTGCGAAAGGCGTTAATAAGCCGCTTGTTTTCTCGCTTTGTTTGCTTTCAAGCCATGAGGCTCGTCCGTTGTCGGAATAAAAGATCTCCACAAAAAAACTTCAGCTGCCGTGATTCCTACGTCGATTTCAATATTCTTAGCTTGTTCGACCCGACCTCACGCTTCTTTTGTGGAAACCCGATGCGTCATTCCGCAGGTGGTGCTGCTGGGCGCGGTGGAGAGCTACCGTGTGGGCGGTTTGGAGGGGTTCCAGGAGGTGGAGGATCCGATCTACCCGGGCGGCGCGTTCGACCCGCTGGGGCTGGCGGACGATCCGGACGCGGCGGCGGAGCTGAAGGTGAAGGAGCTCAAGAACGGCCGCCTCGCGCAGGTGTCCGCGCTGGGCTTCTTCGTGCAGGCGATCGTGACGGGCAAGGGGCCCCTCGAGAACCTCGCGGACCATCTGGCTGACCCCACTGCCAACAACGCCTGGGCGTACGCGCAGAACTTCGTCCCTGGGGCTTAGAGGAGTGGATAGAGGTTTGATGAGCTTGGAAGTGGTTTTGAGGGAGTTTTAGGTGCCAGATGTACATACCGTATCTGCTCAGCCAGGATTTGTACGTATGTTCTGTACCTATGTCATGAATCTGAGGAAGTCCAAATCATTTGCTAGCCTTGCCCACCGTCAGCTGAGTGAGACATGTTGGTACCCTCACTCAGTCACGGGGAAATTCAGTCCCCATATTATCACAAAAATGACGGATGCAAGCCTCCCCTTCTGTCAAAACAATGGTTGTACTCTGTGCGTACAGGGCTGTTAATCTTTGAGAATATTCTCTGAAATACCCTCGACTTTCCATTCCGTTCCTGCACAGTTATACCAAGGGGAGAACAGCTACCGGTAGAAAAGAACTCTTGCCACCACAAACACTAGCATATTTTTGTTACAGTTCTAACTTTGCAAAGCTACAGGCGTTGAGAAAAGCGTTTTTCTACATTCCGGTACTTATGACTGCAAGTCAAGCAGTAGCAATTGCCGAAGCTCCTGCAGCTGGAGCGTCGCCAAGGTCTTGTGTGATGACTCCCAGAAGAACCAGAGACGCCCTGAACATGAACCAGGATGCAGAGCCAATAAAAACATTTGCCATCAATCAAGCTTCTAATAGCAAGCATGCACAGAGCCCTCCTACGGTATTAGATTAGTGGGTTTGCACACATGTTAAAAGGGGGGCTTTTGAGTCAACTCAAAAGTTGACCCAAGAGTCGACTCAAAAGTCAGCTCTCCTATTAGATGAGTGGGTGCGCACACATGTTAGAAAGGTGGTAGGTGGCTGGGAAGGAGGAGAGGAAGGAGAGGAGGGAGGTGGGGCAAGAGAGAGGGGGGGGGGTGGTGTGTGAAAGAATGGTTCACGGATTATGAAGATTCAAGGGACGAGAAAAGCGAAGAGGACAAGAAGCGTGGAACAGAGCAGTTATGTTTGCGCGGCATATGCAGCAAGGTGAAAACAAGTCTGTTGTGTCATGACTTAAAACAGGGCCGGTACCGTGGAACAGAGGGCTGCACAGATGGTTGCGCGGCATGTGCTGCAAGGTCAGGTCGGAGCGATGGCTCTCGATTCAACGCATCCTCCAGCTGTGCTGCTGGCAGCTGTGGACAGGGGAGAAAGGGAGTGGGGGAAGGGAGATGGTGAAGGGAGATGGTGAAGGGAGATGGTGAAGGGAGATGGTGAAGGGAGATGGTGAAGGGAGATGGTGAAGGGAGAGGGTGAAGGGAGATGGAGGAAGAGAGGGCGGGGGAAGAAGGAAGAGAAGAACGCAGGGTGGTGAGGAGATGGGAGAAGGTAGCAGGTGAGAGTGAGGGTGAGAGTGAGGGTGAGAGTGTGGGTGAGGGAGAGGACAACAACAGAGGTGTGGACGGATGAGAGGGCTCACTTGTAGGAGAACAGGGAAGGAGAGAGGCTTTGTAACGAGGCAGCACTTGATGAAGCCCAACCACAGCTGAGGATGGGCTCTCCACACCTGCAGGGTGGAGCGGGAGAGGAAACAGAGAGTGAACGAAGCGATGAGCTGGCAGCATGCTGTGGTATTGGATGGCATGAGGTGGCGTGACATGGCATGAGGTGGCATCAAGAGGCATGGATAAGTGGAACACGTTGGCATAGTGAGGCATGGAGCGAGAAGCATGGAGCGAGAAGCATGGAGCGAGAAGCATGGTTGGCAGAGGGTCCGCATCACTATTGGCACATCTCACGCACAGATGTCATGCACAGTACAGTACGATTGACCATCAGAAAGATGGGAACCCACAGGAACGCACAAGAGTAGGATTCAAGTCCTTTCACACAGCACGACAAACAGTTCCTTCAGGAATGAGCTCTGGGTCATGTGCACGATGTGGTTTAGCACATCTGGAGATGCCACGAGTTTTGAGGCGCCTCAAAAGTCACATCTGGAGATGCCACGAGTTTTGAGGCGCCTCAAAAGTCACATCTGGAGATGCCACGAGTTTTGAGGAGCCTCAAAAGGCACATCTGGAGATGCCACGAGTTTTGAGGCGCCTCAAAAGGCACATCTGGAGATGCCACGAGTTTTGAGGCGCCTCAAAAGTCACATCTGGAGATGCCACGAGTTTTGAGGCGCCTCAAAAGGCACATCTGGAGATGCCACGAGTTTTGAGGCGCCTCAAAAGGCACATCTGGAGATGCCACTATTACCCTCATGCCTTCCTCCTCACCTGCTTGGTTATGAGGCGCGAAAGAATGTCCGCTACAAATGATGCCTGGAAACAACAACAACAACACGGGATGAAACAGAGAGAGAGTGTTTGTAAGAGAGAGAAAAGAGTAGCGCGAGAATGGAATGGAAGAGAACAGAATACTTCACTAGACAGCAGGAAACGTATGCAAAGAAGCAAAGGAGGCGGTATGAGAGGGGATAGCGAGGCAAAAGGGTACTGAGGGAATCTCAATTCTGAAACAACAGGTGAGGAGATAAGTGCAAATTGAATTCTTTAATCAACAGAAGTAGGTAGGTGCTGAATTTGGAAATCTCAATTTTGAAGCAACAGGCAAGGGAGAACGGATCTGACAGCAGACTCCATGGCCGTGCGGAAGAGGAGCATGGGGAGGGGCGTGAGGAGGGGAGTGAGGAAGGGAGTGAGGAGGGGAGTGAGGAGGGGAGTGAGGAGGGGAGTGAGGAGGGGAGTGAGGAGGGGAGTGAGGAGGGGAGTGAGGAGGGGAATGTGGAGGGCAATGAGCAAAGCAGTGCGGATTTGACACTGACGATGTCAGGGAAGGCTGCAACAGACTCCATGGCCGTGCGGAAGAGGAGCATGGGGAGAGGCGTCTGCCCAACCTGCAGAGAAGAAGAGAGAAGCAGGGGAAAAAAAAGGAAACGCAAAGAATAGTGACAGGAGTTGCTTTGGCGAAGCGGACAAGCTCTGATACAGAGGCATAGCTGAAAGGGAGTGTAGAGAGCATAGCTGGTGAAAAACGCTTTGGTATTGGTATAGATGGCTGCGAGGCACAAAATCAGGGTTTTGTATATGCGTGACTGTGAATAATTGTACCAGGGCGAGCACACAGGCAGTGTGAGGGCGACACATGCAGTGTGAGGGCGACACATGCAGTGTGAGGGCGACACATGCAGTGTGAGGGCGACACATGCAGTGTGAGGGCGACACATGCAGTGTCAGGTCGAGCATACCAGTTGGTTGAGCACTTTGGCGATGACTTGCTGTGTGTAGATGGCGCGCTGGGAGATGCAGAAGGAACACACCGCCATGATCTGATGGCCGCACAACACAAGGGGTTCATGTGAATTAAAGGAAAAGCAAGGTTGGGCTGGGAGGTGAGTTTTTTGAGACATCTCAAAAACAGCCCTTTATCGTGCTGGGAGATGCAGAAGGAACACACCGCCATGATCTGATGGTTAAGGAACACACGCCATGATCTGATCGTTAAGGAACACACGCCATGATCTGATCGTTAAGGAACACACCGCCATGATCTGATGGTTAAGGAACACACGCCATGATCTAATGGTTTCACAAGGGTTGATGTGATTTAGAGGAAGGTGAAACTGGAAGTGGGGTGAGCGCATTTCAACAGTGCAACAGCGCAATGGTTCTCTGGTTTCGAGACTTCTCAGAGCTCAGCTCAGACGCACCTTTTTCAAGGGCACGTTGTCCCTCTTGGGCTGCAGGGCGTGCAGTGTGGTCATGAGCTCCACTGCTGTTAGCGGTGGTGGCGTGTGGGGGGAGCCCTGGGAGCGGTGCACGAGAGTGAGTCGGAACGCAAGTGGGGATGGGAGAGAGGAGAGCAATAAGAAGGGTGCGCAGAGGAGTTTGCGGTGTTGTCATGAGCTCCACTGCTGCGTCCTGGGAGCGAGCCAAAGGGCAAGTGGGGCGGGGAGAGAGAGGAGAGTAGGAATCAGAAGGTGTGCAGAGGAGTGTGCAGCGTTGTCATCAGCTTCACGGCTGTAAGCGGTGGCAGCGTGTGCGGCGGCGAGCCCTGGGAGAAGTGAGGGCGCAAATGGGGAGGGAGGGAAGAGAATAGAGGAGTTAGGAAGGTGTGCAGACATTTTATTTCCCTCTTGTGAAGAATGTAAATTGAACAAGTAAGTGGATTAGAGGAGAAACCTAGCATACATAGTTGGAAGGAAGTGTTGAAGGAGAAGGATGGACTCAACCTATGGTTGGGTTGACCTCACTTGTGGAAGTGAGTGTCAGAATATTATGCTCTAGCCTGTAGTGGGGTGCTCTATAGCGAGTACAACCCTTCTAGGGTTTGCTATTTGTATCCCCATTCTTTCTAGTGCAACCCCTCTCCTTCTTTCACCTAAACTATCGTTTGCCTAGCTAGGGCTTTCCTAGCTTAGGCTCCTAAGACTACCTCCTGTTCTCACATGGTATCAGAGCTACATGCTCCTGGCCTGTGGGCCCCACTTCACTGCTTCCGCTGCTACTGCTACTCCCTGTCCGCCGCGCGCCCCGTGGTGCGCGGCGTTGACTTAAGGTTTTCTGCCCGCCGTGCGCCCCGAGGCGCGCGGCGGGTTTCTGCCCCGTCACTCGGCGCGTCGCCCCCGGGAGGCGCTGCGACGGGCGACGGGGACCCGCGCGTCGCCCCCCGTCGCCCGTCGTGGCCTGCACGCGGCCCGTACAGCCCGCGCGCGGCCCGTACGGGAAGCGCCAGGCCCGCGCGCGGCTCGGGCCGCCTGCGCGCGGTTCGGGCGGCTATGCCAGGCCCGTGGGCGGCCCGTTCCTCGCTGCCCCTGCCCTCCCCACTGTCCCCCGTGCTTCTACTGGCGCCCCACCCCTCCTACAGCCCGTTCTCCTGAATTAGGGTTTGGGGGTGAGGGGTATGGGGGTGAAGCCACTGAGTGCCGTTCCCTGTTCCTCCTCCTCCTCCTCCGTCTCCCTGTGCTGCAGCTGCCGCTGAGGGGGGGTGGACTTGTTGGAGCCGTTGGAGTGGTACTAAGGGGGGGTGAAGGGGGAGTGGAGCTAGCGGTGTAGCAGCGGGTGTGTGTCAGGGGGAGTGGGATAGTTTGGGGAGGTTGAAGGGGGTGGCCGCCGTGAAGCCAGCAGCTCCAGTCGCCCGTGAGACCGTTGCGCCAGTCGCCCGTGAGCCCGTTGCGCCAGTCGCCCGTGAGCCCGTTGCTCCAGTCGCCCGTGAGTCCGTTGCTCGTCTGCCGCTACTTTTAGCCGCGGAGCCAGTTACTCCAGTAGCCCGTGTGCCAGTTGCTCCAGTTGCCAGTGTGCCAGTTGCTCCAGTTGCCCGTGTGCCAGTTGCTCCAGTTGCGCCGTGTGCCAGCAGCTTCAGCTGCCGCCCACTACCTCCTCTCCTCTCATAGTCTCTTTCCTCCTCCTCACTTGCCCGTTGTGACTACCACTAGCTTTGCTCATAATTGTGAACTTTAAACTATTGCTTCTTGAACTTGTGCTCAGAATGTGTGGTGACATTGTGATCCACCCTGGGCTTGTACTGCTTTGCTTGCTCTGCTGATTACACCCCACTTTGGCTATGGGGGTGTCAGAATATTATGCTCTAGCCTGTAGTGGGGTGCTCTATAGCGAGTACAACCCTTCTAGGGTTTGCTATTTGTATCCCCATCCTTTTAGTGGAACCCCTCTCCTTCTTTCACCTAAACTATCGTTTGCCTAGCTAGGGCTTTCCTAGCTTAGGCTCCTAAGACTACCTCCTGTTCTCACAGTGAGGTAACCATAGGTGACACTTTGAAGAAGTGAGGCAACCCTAGGCCCACTTGGCTTGTGGTGACCTCAATTGGGAAGTGAGGTACCCAAAAGTCAAGAGGGTTGCAATTTGGGGGCTCCACCACAATTGGGTGGATTGGCACCCCAAAGTGCAAGACTACACCCAATGTTGGGTGTAGTCCCAACCCAACTGTACACCACAATTGGTGTACAGTCACATGTGCTTAGCATGCTACAATATATAATCCTAACACCTCTCACTTGCACCGCTCTCCCTCTCACTTGCACTGCTCTCCCTCTCACCTGCACCGCTCTCCCTCTCACCTGCACCAACCAACCTGCCTCACCTGTAGCAATCGGTCCTGGGCGATTTTGAAGAGCTCCAGAGGCAGATGCAGCAGGCGTGGAAAGACCTCCAATGCCTGTAGAGAGATGAGGATGGTGACGTTTATGAGGTAGGAGGGAATTGGATATGGGAGGTGCAGAATGGGGAATGAAACAGGAGCAGGAGAGAAACTGAACCGGAACTCCCACCGATGTATGACACTCACCGATGTATGACACTCACCGATGTATGACACACGCTTTAGTGAAATTGCTGCATCAGTGAGACGACACTCACTGGGTAAGAGACGTCTGATAAAAAAAAATGTTATAACATGGCTACTACAGTCACATACGCTGCAATCACATCACCATTTGCAGAGCTGCAGTGGCATGTGCGCACCTCGTTTTTGGAGAGGAAGGGCAGGATGGGAATGAGGAGCTCTGGCTCCTGGAGTGGCGGAGAGCCAAGGGAACGAGGGGAGGCAAGTGAAGCGCATGAGTTGATGATCGAGGGAGGGAGGGAGAATGTGTGCATGAATGCGCGAAGAGGTCGTTTTTGAGGCGCCTCAAAAACGACCTCAATGCACGAGGGGAGGCAAGCGAAGCGCATGAGTTGATGAGAGGGAGGGAAGGAGAATGTGTGTGTGAATGCGCGAAGGAACGAAGTAACTCTTTCAAAGCATATCAGAGCGGAGACAAGCCTTATGGTGGATGGAAAGGAGATAACGGATGATACGAAAACAAAAGAGAGACATGTTGCAGGGTCTGGTCTGGCATCAGAGAGGGCTTTTTGCGGCGTAAAGAGTAAGCAACCCACAGCAAGGGCGTAGAAAGCATGTGTTAAAGGGAAGAGGGAGGGACACACCACAGGCCTGGCAGCAGAGAGGGTTTTGACGGCAGCAATGAAGGGCGGGGGAGGGGCGGATGGGCGTGGTGTGTCCGCCACACAGTGCAGCAGCTGGGGGGGTGGGGAGGGAGTTGACGGGGCGGGGGAGGGTGAGACACACGGTTTGAACTGAAGGGCCGCACAGTATAGTGGCTGGGGAAGGGAGAGGGAAGTGACTGAGGAGAGAGGAGAGATGGAGATTTGGCGGAGAGGGAGATTTGGCGGAGAGGGAGGGGTGGTGGAGGGAGACGAAAAGGGACAAGAGAGAGAACGTGGTTTGGACAAGCGGGATGGGAGTGGCGTGACTGCCACCCAGGCAGAAGGCCTACCTACCCTACAGCTTACCTTGAATGGCACCTGACTGATTACTAAGACCTTACCTTGAATGGCACCTGACTGATCACTAAGACCTTACCTTGAATGGCACCTGACTGATCACTAAGACCTTACCTTGAATGGCACCTGACTGATTACTAAGACCTTACCTTGAATGGCACCTGACTGATCACTAAGACCTTACCTTGAATGGCACCTGACTGATCACTAAGACCTTACCTTGAGCAAAAGGCGTATGGAGCCCTCTGGAGGGTTAGAGATGAGTGTGAGGAGGTCGGGAGTGGTGGGGGGGAGTGTGGCGAGCATGGGCGGCAGCAGGTCCCGCAGCATGACCCGCTTCGCCACAGGGTTGACATGCGCAAACACTCGGAAGAAATCCGCTAGCAGGGACGGTTTCTGGTGCATGCCATGGTACGTTAAGAGGCGGGGGGGGGGGCAATTGGAAGGGAGTGTGGGGTGGGGTGAAGGCTCTCAGCATGGGCATGAGGCGCTTGGCTTGGCCACGGGGTTGACTTGCTCAAACAATCGGAAGAAATCCGATTGTAGGAACAGTCTCTATTGTGGTGCGGAGGTGGGGGTAGGGAGGAGATGAGAAGGGAAAGCGCAAGTAATGAGGTGCAATGCAGAGCAACGAAGCACACGATTCAGCTGGCTGCTGGGTTCAAGTGCCATGCCCGGGAGCATTTTTGAGTCGACTCAAAGTCACCTGGGTCCTAGCGCCATACCCGGGAGCATTTTTTAGTCGACTCAAAAGTCACCTGGGTCCTAGCGCCATACCCGGGAGCATTTTTGAGTCGACTCAAAAGTCACCTGGGTTCTAGTGCCATACCCGGGAGCAGAGCGCACAGAAGAGCGCCAGTCGCCTCTCCACCTCGTGCCCCACTGCCTTCTGCTGCTCGCCTGTCAGCTGCGCCGCTCCCCCTCCCCCTCCCCCTCCCCCTCCCCCTCCCCCTCCCCCTCCCCCTCCCCCTCCCCCACCTGCTTGCCCCTCACCTGCCTGCCCCGCTTCCCCTGCTGCCCCACCTTGCTCCTCCCCCCCTCCTTCCTTCCCACCAGCACCACCCGCACCAGCAGCAGCAGCAGCAGCAGCATCACCACCAGCAACAGCAGCACCAGCCCCAGCAGCAGAAGCAGCACCAGCAACCGTAGCACCAGCAGCGCCAGCAGGTGCCGGCAGCGCCATGCCAGGCAGCGACAGCAGCTGCTTGAGCGCATACCGCTCTATCGGCACCGTGAGGTACGGCAGGGCGTGCAGGCGGTTAGCCACCAGCGCCACGCCCTTGGATCGGATGTCTGCGTGCGAGTGCACTGCACACTGCAAGGCCATGGCTAGACACCGCCTGCGCACGGGCGGGCGTAGGACTAGCAACCGCCAGAGAACCACGAGGGACTCTTTTACTCGTTTTAGCTCTTCCTCTGACCTTGGTCCCTCTGGTTCGTTTTCTGCTTCCCCTCCCTCTGCCCCGTCTCCCTGCTCTCTACCCTCTCCCGCCTCTCCTTCTCTTCCCTCCCCCTTTCCTCCTCCTTCCACATCCCGTGCCTTTTCCCCCTCACCCCCATCACCCCTCTCTTCTAATCTCCTCTTTCTACCAGCCCCAGCCCCCATGGGGCCCACAATCCCCCCCTCGCCCTCCCTCCGCCCAAGGCCCTCCAGCCCACACGCCTGCCCCAGCAGGTTGAGCAGTGAGGGCGGGAGGAAGGGCGCCTCCACAAAGAGAGGCAGCAGGAGGGACTTGAGCCCGCCGGGTGCGGCAGCAGCAGCAGCGGAGGAGGGCGAGAGGAGAGATTTCAGCTGCAAGGTGGTTACGAGCGGGGAGGAACGGGAATGGGGGAAAGAGAAGGGGTTGTATTGTGGGGAAAGGGAGGACCAACGAGGTAATGACGGCGAGGGGGTGCGGGAGGGAGGGAGGAAGGAATGACGCTTTCACAAAAAGATGAAGCAGGAAGGCTTGTTTGTGAACAAAGGGACTCCATAACAGGCACTCACCACGCGAGAGAAGCTTTTGAGAATTCTCAAAAGCGGCTTGTTTGTGAATAAAGTGACTCCATAACAGGCACTCACCACGCGAGAGAAGAAAGAGGTGTAGAGAGGAGGGATCTGAAGAGATGACAAGTCCTTGGCACCACCAGCTGGGATGGAGGCAGGAGTAGCAGCAGTACCGGCAGTACCAGCACCCGCAACAGTGGCACCCCCCTGGTCCCTGCCATCCACTTGCATTGCATCACCTGCTGCTGCTGCTCCTGCTCCTGCTTCTGCTGTTGTTGCTGCTGTTGCCGCTGAAGCATCTTGGGCAGATGCAGGTGAAGACGACGCTGGTGGCGGTGCTGGGAGAGCTGGGACGTTGGAGGAGGAAGAGGAGGAGGAGGACGGAGGGGATGAGTGGTCCAGTGCAAGAGCATGCAGCACGGACAGCACAACCTGAGAGCCCTGGAAAGTGAGAAGGTAGGGGAGATGATTTGGAGTAAATGATTTTCAATGAGGTTTTCTGAGATAAGTAAAAGAAGAGAGAGAGGCGATGAGTAGTTCACTACCAGAGCATGCCGCCCGGAGAGAAAGCACAACGCGTGAGGCCTGGCGTGGGGATACGTGCGAAAGGGGAAGGAGAGGAGAGGAGAGGAGAGGAGAGGAGAGGAGAGGAAGGAAATGCACACCCATCCAGTCCAGCAACCAACTCCGTATAACACTCCGTATAACACTCCGTATCACCAACTTAAGAAGCCCAGACCAGAGAGTGATGCACTTTGCACACCTCCCTCCCTGTGACCACGACCCCATTAGACGACCCCATTACACAAGACCTCAGCTGTCATCACGCCTGGCAGTGTGCGCATCAGCCAGCCACTGCTGATTTTATTCCATCGGCACCGCAGTCCATCAAGCACTTGCTGCTGCTGCTGCTGCTGCTGCTGCTTGTCTCGTATGTATGGTGCCTCCCAAGAATCAATCAACTCACCTTGACCCGGTTGTAGTCTGCTAACAGGCAATTCAGCAATGCATCGAGCACCTCAGCTCAATTCAGATTTACAGTGCCGCTCTCTCTTCTCACAACTCCCCTCAGACATCAGCTCAGCTTGACCCGCCTGTACCGGGCCACTGCTGAGGCTCACCTTGACCTGGTTGTAGTCAAGTCAGCTAGAAGGTAGCTCAACAACGCATCCAGCACCTGCTGCTGCTGCTGCAGCCTGCTTGCGTGATAAAGAGTTATCACAGCTCACTTCAAACAACACTAACTCACCTTGACCTGGTTGTAGTCAGCTAGCAGGTAGTTCAACAGCGCATTCAGCACCTGCTGCTGCTGCTTGCATCTTACAATGACTCTCTCAAGTCTCACAGGTGCTGCTTACCATAGACATCGACTCACCTTGACCCGGTTGTAGTCAGCTAGCAGGTAGTTCAACAGTGCATCCAGCATCTGCTGCTGCTGCTCCTCCTCCTCTGCTCCCCTCACCATGCCCACCAGCAGCGCCACCCACAGCCCCGCTTCACCCAGAAGCACTGCTCTGCACCCCCCGGCCACCACTCTGCACACCGCCGCCTGCTGCGCTGCGGCCAGCTGGGGGGGCGAGAGCGGAACGAGGGCCACGGGGGTGCGAGGAACGGAGAGGTAGGCTGCGAGGCGGGGAGAGAGAGGAGCGGCTGGAGGGCCTACAGGGGTGGAGGGTACCGGCACCAACGCACCAGAGACACCAGCAGCAGCAGAAGCAGGAGCAGCAGCAGAAGCAGGAGTGGTGGTAGTAGTAAGAACGATTGCAGATGTATCGGCAGCAGTGGAAGCAGGGAGGCCGGTCTGCAAGGCTGTGTCTTCTGGCTTGGGGCGGGTGGCATCTGTTGTCCTGTCTGCTGCCGGATGTAGCGGCGGCTGTAGCACCTGTTCATCCTTCACTGTGCCACCGCCAGTGGCGTCCTCTGCTTTGGCTTTTACTCTCCGCGGGTCATGGCGACACGCACCACCCCTGCTAGCCTCCCTCTTGCCATCACCATCCACCATTCCCTCCTCACCACCCCCAGCTCCACCACCTGCACCATCACCACCAGCACCAGCAGCACCACCAGCACCAGCAGCACCACCAGCACCACCAGCACCAGCAGCACCACCAGCAGCACCACCAGCACCAGCAGCAGTGCCATCAGCACCGCCAGCAGCAGCAGCGGCAGCAGCAGGAGGGGGGGAGGGAGGAAGGTGCTGCATGAACTCAATGACCAGGTCTGCCAGCATACCGGGGGGCAGAGAGGCAATGAGTGCATCTACTGCCAGCATGCCCTCGCTTCCCCGCGCCACCAGCGCGCTCAGTAGGGTTACCAGCTGCTCCACTGGTAAAGTCGCTGCTGATGGGTCTACTGCCACTGCCTCCGCTGCTGCCGCTGCTGCTGCTGCTGCTGCTGCTGCTGCTGCTGCTGCGGCGGCAGCTGCTGAGGCGGCTGCTGTATTGCCATCTCCTGCTGCTGCTCCCCCGCCTGCTGATGGTTGTGCTGAACTGCTGGTGGGAGCGGCTGTGCTGGCTTGAGCAGCAGCGGACGGTCGGATGCGCTTGGAGTCTCGCGTTGCAGCGTCATCAACGGCCTCAGATGCACGCGTGCCAGCAGCAGCAGCAGCGGTGGCAGCGCCGCCAGAAGCGTTAGCAGCTGCACCTGCTGCAGTAGAAGCAGCAGCAGCATCAGGACCACGGGCACTGGCAGCAGTGCCACCAGCACCGGCAGCAGTGGCTGTGGTGGTGCCTGGTGGGGCTGCAGCAGCCCCTGTGTCAGCAGCTGCACACCTCGCTCTCTTCACTCCTGCTGCCTTGGCCTGCAAGGTCGTGAAACGTGTGCAGAAAGCACAAGGAGGAGCGCCTTAGTGAGGAGATGAAGTGGGGGGAGAAGCAGAGAAGGGTGAGACGTAGGGAAGAGAGCACGCCACAACAACCGCACACATATACAGACTCAGGTGGACTCACGCGCATGCGCACACGTATACATACACAGACTCAGGTGGACTCACGCGCATGCGCACACGCACACATACACACTCACACGCACACAACACATACACACTCACACGCACACAACACATACACACTCACACGCACACAACACATACACACACAGGTGTACTCACTCGTGGATCAGCAGGTCGACCAGCAGCCTTCCCTGACCCTGCAGACGCCTTTGCTGCTGCTCCCTCGCCCCCCCCCCCACCACCACCAGCGCCACCACCAGCGCCAGCAGCAGAAGCAGCACCACTCCCAGCCCCACCACCATTCCCACCAGCACCAGTACCTCCACCAGAAGCAACAGAAGCACCAGAGGGACCATCAGCAGCAGCGGCGGCGGCGGCAGCGGCGGCGGCAGCGGCGGCGGCAGCAGCTGCAGAGGCAGCAGCAGCGGAGTTGCGAAGAGAACGGTCGATGTGCCTGAGGGATGAGTCGACGGCCTCTCCTGCTCCCAGGGACTCCTTCAAGAGCGACGTCAAGCACTCCCGCCACTGGCCGTGGTAGTGGGGACGAGGTCGGGAAGAAAAAAAAGGGGGGAGGGGGGGGTGGGGGGGGGGGGTGTGGTGAACGGATCAGTCACCGTGTCTCGGGAGAGATTTCATATTTTTATGGAAAGAAAACACCCCACCACAAACCCACCCACACTTACAACCACAACCACAGCCACACCACAGCCACACCATGTACGCATACCCACACCCACATCTCCCGTCCCGACCTACACCAGCACCCACTCCCACCCACCTTCATCCCGCCTGGAGCGAGCGGCATGAGCCGCAACATGACAAGCAGCGCCGCCCGCACGCCGTGCCTCACACTCCCCGACGCCTGCAGCAGCTGCTGAACCACCCCACACCCACTCTCCTCCCCACGCGGCACCGCCACCGGCGCTGACGCCGCTGACGTGGCAGTGGGCGGCACAATCGCCACTAGCGCCGGCACAATGTGACTATAAAGAGCGTGGCAGCGGCGGGCGATGCCAGCGAGGCTGCTGGTGAGTGTGAGGAGGAGCGGGGGCGAGAGGGAGGCGACTGTGGGGGGTTGCAGGAGAGAGGTGAGGGCGGAGAGGGAGGCGAGGGACTGGGCTTTAAGCCACGGGTCGGAGTCTGGGTCAGGGAGATGTAACACTCCGTTCGCCATGTCCTTGCTCTCTGCTGCTGCTGCTGCTGCTGCTCCGACTTCCGTCCCGTCCCTTCCGTTGCTCCCGTTCAGCCCACTGCTGCCATTACCAGCAGCAGCAGAAGAGGCAGCAGCAGTTTTGCCGCCTGGTCGGCCGAGCAGCACGATCATCTCTACGAAGCCCACAGCGTGCACGCGAACGCTATCCGCGTACTGGCCTGGCAGCATGCCCCTTATCAGCGGCACCAGCGCTGATACCTGCTCCCATGCTTCTGACCATGCCTGGGGCTGTCCACCGGAAAGGGGGAGAAGGGGGAATGGAGAGATGCAAGTAGGGGAAAGAGAGAAGGAAGGGAGGGCAGGGGATCGTGTGTGGATCAATGCATGCAGCCTAATGCTGATGGCATATTGCCCATGTGCCTAATGTTGTGAATTGATTTATGATTTTTTTTTTTTCAGAATGCGCCTAACGACCTGGCAGCATGTTGCTCGTTAACACGGGGTGCTGGTGTTGATTCACCTCACCTCGCCCACAATGGGCGTGACAACAGCGAGGGCTCACCTCGCCTGTGACGGGAGTGACAGTAGCGAAGGCGCCCTTAACGAGGGCGGCAGCAGCGGAAATTGCGTGCTTGACTGCCTTGGTGCTCGCCACAGCAGCAGGGGACAGGCGCGTGGGCAGAGGCATTAGTGCCGCAGCCGCAGCAGGGGAAGGAGCGGAGGGAGAAGGCGGGAGGGGCATGGGCGGACAGGCGCGGATGATGGCGGCGAGCGCGGAGGCGATGAGCGCAGGGGCGTCGCGGTGCTTGATAGTGGAGCCAAGGCGGTAGAAGAGCCTGGGGGGAGGACGGGGCAAGGGGTGGGGAGGGCGGGTTGGGGGGAGGGATTTGGCGGAGAGGGGATTGAGATTAGGGAGGGTAGGTGGCATGGGCGCGTGCGAGGTACGAGGTGGCATGGCAGCCACGGCAGCACGACTTCCGGTCGCACGTCTGGTAGCACGTCTGGTAGCACGTCTGGTAGTCAGCAGCACATTAGGCGATCAGCAAGCATACTCACCGTTACGTAGAACACTCACTCGACCGAGTTTTTTCGGACGAGAAACGTCGAGTCCGCCTGAAGCTCCAGCAAGCGCGGCAGCGCGTCGGGCAGCACGGTCGCGCGCACGTCGGGCGGAAGGCCCGCCAGATACTCCACCGCCGCCTCCATCCGTTCCGCCTTCTCCTCCGCCCCGCTCCCCGCCTGCAGCTCCGCCAGCATCTCGTCCGCCTTCCGCTGCGCCTCCTCCATTGCGCGCGGAGGGGAAATGGGAGGGTCCGGGCAGGGGTGTGTGGGAGGGCGGGGGAGAACGGGAGGCGGAAAGCTCCGACCACGAGGAGGCAAGCAGGATAAAAGGAGGTCTGTTCGCACTGTAGACTGGATAGGCTCTTTTCGACTTGTTAGATGTAAACGGGGTAGTTGGTAAGTTGAATGCGGGTTGTTGTGACTACGGAATCGCAAATGCTCAATTAACTAAAGTACGTCCTTCAGCGAAGCTACCCTTCCGCGCGTTGCGCCCCTAGTGGCAGAACCTACTAACGACCCGCTATGAGCCTACGAACAGCACCTCGAGTGCTTTCGTTCCTTTCGCGAACCCACAAAAGCATTTCGTTGAAATCCGCGAAAGGTGTGCGAATGATCGATCCAGGAAACGGGAGTTGCGAGCTCACTAGCAGCCGATAGGCGTCCCTATCCGTAAAAACGTCGACGATCGTGCGGCTGCTGATTAGTGACTGCCTCCGGAATCAGAACCCAGAACGTTGGCTGTGTTTGTGACTGCCTGTGTTCAGACGGGCTACGCTGAGGGGAAGCATAGATTTTAGGGGAAGGTATTGCGTTCTGGAGCGGTGAAATAATTTGGTTTTAAGCGAACCCGTTGCCTCTGTAAGTAGAGCCTGACAGATCTTCGAAGTCGCTGTGTTACAAAATCATAATAGCGAAGATTTTTAAGCAGCATGTTGAGCAAGTTACTCTTTTAGTCACATCTCGAAATCTCGTCGCAGTTCGCAACACTCGCCAAAAGAACCCTAGATTCTGCACTGCACACCCTCTTCATAAATTCGACTCGTTCTTTCCTCTCCCTGTTCCTCTTCCTTGTTGCTTCTCTGGTTTCCGCGTCGCCATTTTCTCTGGTTTCAGGACTCGGGAATGTAGTGGAGGAATATCAGCTTTCGGTCATATCCTGCAACGAGTACCACGAGCGCCTGTGCAGCTCTCTACGTCTTGATTAATCTAGTTTCGCGACGTTGTGAGGATCCGAGTCTCTCAACCTTGCTTTCGCGCTATCTTGGCACATGCGAGCTTGCTAGACTTTCCTTCGCATAAGGTCATTCAGCATGCCAGGCGAGACGCTAGCGCTTCCGGCGCCGCCGCCGGGCGGCTTGAAAGACGCTACGCCGTCGGTCTTGACGGCCGAAGAACGGTCTGGGCAGCAGAAACCGGCAGAGAAGCCGAAACCGGTGGTGGTTGCGACGCAGACGAAGACGATCGGCATCATTCATCCTCCACCTGATATTCGCAGCATCGTCGACAAAACCGCCACCTTCGTCGCCCGAAACGGCCCGGATTTTGAAAAGAAGATTCTCGCCGCCAACAAGGGAAACGTCAAGTTTAATTTCCTAACACCCACCGATCCTTACCATGCGTACTACCGGCACAAGATTAACGAGCAGCTGGCGCAGCTTAATCTCCCCGCCCAGCCGGAACCTACAGCTGCCGAGGCAGCAGCAGGCTCGGCAGCCGGACCTCCGGCCGGGGCAGCTCCGGGAGGAGCCGGGGCTGCTGCTGCGGTTGTCAAGCCTGCAGGCCCGGCAGGGCCTTTTCCGGAGGCTGGCAAAGACGCAGCTGCTGCAGGGGCTTCGGCAGCAGCGGCGAAGCTTCCGGATTTGCCCGAACCGGAGCAATACACGGTTCGGATTCCCGAGGGCATGTCCGGGCAGGATTTGGACGTTATCAAGCTGACCGCTCAACTCGTGGCGCGAAACGGCAAGACGTTCCTAACGGGTTTAATTAGTCGCGAGCACATGAACCCGCAGTTCAATTTCCTCAAGCCCACGCACAGCCTATTCACCTTCTTCACCGCTCTCGCGGACGCATACTCCAAAGTACTGATGCCTCCTAAGGAGGTATTAGACAAGGTGAAACGCGACGCGGGGCCGGGCGGGCCGGCCGCGATCATGGCGCGGATTCAGACGCGGCTTGACTACGAGAAGAAGCAGGAGAAGGCGCGGAAGAAGGCGGAGGACGAGATCGAGCAGGAGCGATTACAGATGGCTTTAATCGACTGGCACGATTTCATAGTCGTAGAGACAATCGAATTCGCGGACGACGAGGAGGCGGAGCTGCCGGTTCCGATGACTATAGAGGAGGTGATTAGAAAGAGCAAGCAGCTGGGCGCGGACGAGGAGCTCGAGGCGGAGGACGCGGCGGCGGTCGCGGCGGCGGAGGCGGGCGCGAAGCCGGGGACGAAGGCGGCGGCGGCGGCGGCGGAGAAGGCCAAGGGGGAGAAGGAGGCGGCGCAGACGATGGACGCGGAGGAGATGAAGCTGGTGGAGGAGGGGATGCGCGCGGCGGGGATTGCGGGGGGGGAGGGGGAAAAGGGCGCGGAGAAAGGGGAAGGGGAGAAGGCGGAAGGGGAGAGGGGAGGGGAGGAGATGGAGATGGAGGAGGAGGGAGGTGCGCCTGCTGGTGTTCCGCCGCCACCGCCACCACCGCCACCACCGCCGCCGCCGCCTGCTGAAGGGGAGGAGGTGAGTGGGAGTGTGCGTGTGTGTGGGTTGGGATGGTGCCAAGGGAGAGGGGAGGAAGAGGGGATGGTTTGGACAGTGACAAGGGGCACCATCCGTCCTCGTTGGAGGAGGGGCAAGATGCTGCCAGAACGAGATGGAGGAAGCGCACTTTTGAGATGTCTCAAAAGTTGGACAGTGACATGGGGCACCATCCGTCCTCGTTGGAGGAGGGACAGGATGGCCACAACGAGATGGACGAGGTTTTTTCTGAGAACTTTCAGAAACAACCTGCAACTTCAAGGGAGGGGCAGGATGGCCAGAACGAGATGGATGAACGAAACGGCGATGCGCATGGTTCCGAACTGGAAACAGCCGGCCCACAATCCCCCTTCTTCACAAACCAACCCTTCTCCCCCACCCCCTCCCCCCCAACCCGCCGCCTACTTCATCTCATTATCTCACCAGGACGAGAGGAACATGTGGGAGGAGCCGGAGGAGGCAGCAACGCGCATCGTGCACAGCCGGAAGGAAGCCAAAGAACTTATATATATTAAAGAAGAGAGAAAATATAGTCATGGAAACCAAAGAAGCTCCTCACTTCCTTTCTTTCTTCCTTCCATCTCTTCCCCTCCCTGTTGTTCTCTTCCCCTCCCTGTTATTCTCTTCCCCTCCCTGTTGTTCTCTTCCTTTTCCCCCACCACCAGAACGAGATGGACATGGAAGAGGAGGAAGAAGAAGCACCAATGCGCATTGTCCGCAACTGGAAGCGGCCAGAGGAGCGAGCAGCGGCGGAACAAGACCCCACCAAGGTGGTGGTCTCTCCCATCACAGGCGAGCTCATCCCGATCGCTGACATGGCGGAGCACATGCGCATCTCGCTGATCGACCCCAAGTACAAGGAGCAGAAGGAGCGCATGCTCGCCAAGCTCCGCGAAAACACCCTCGCCAACGACGACGAGATCTCGCGCAACATTGTCGGGCTGGCGAAAACCCGCCCGGATATTTTTGGGACCACCGCGGAGGAGGTTTCGGAGGCGGTGCGGGCGGAGATGGAGAAGAAGAAGGACGAGGGCGCGCCGAGCCGGGTCATGTGGGACGGCCACACCGCCAGCATCGGCCGAACCGCCACCCAGGCCTTGCAGCAGAGCCTCGGTCAGCCGCCCGCCGCGGAGAAAAAGGACGAGCCGAGCCGCCCGGTTTCAGGCCCGCAGGCGCCGCCTCCGGCTCCTGCTCCTGCTCGGCCTGCGGCTCTCCCTCGACCTCCTGCTGGGGGTCCTCCTCCTGGTATGGCGCACATGCATCCCGCCGGCAACATGCCTCCTCCCATCGCCACCATGGCTGCTTATGGCATGCCCCGCATGCCCATGCCTGGGATGCCGGGTATGCCGGGTATGCCTGGCATGCCTGGGATGATCAACCCCATGCTGATGGCCCAGAACCAAGCTGCTGCTGCGGCGGCTGCTGCAGCAGGAGGGATGTTTGGCATGCGACCGCCCATGATGGCCCCAGGGCAGGCAGGGATGGTCCCGGGAGGGTTCCCGGGGTTCCCAGGAGGCATGCCCATGGGTGTGCCCATGGCCATGCCGGGAGGGGTGCAGATGGGTTTGGGGATGGTTCCGGGGGGTATGGTGCCTGGAGGTGCTGCGGCGGCGGCGGCAGGAGGGGTAGGGGGAGGGGAGGAGGAGCATGATGCGAAGAGGCAGAAGACGGAGGAGAATTTGATTCCGGAGAATGTCTTCCTCGCACAGCACCCGGTCAGTGCCCTCCTCATGTCGCCATGCGCTCACACGCTCTTTTCCCCTCCATGTTCTCTTCGTCTCGCTTTATGCATTCTGGAAGACAGCACCCGGGTGCTGTCTTCCGGAGAATGTCTTCCTCGCACAGCACCCGGTCAGTGCCCCCATGTGCCCGTCCCGTCCTTGCCTTCCCGTGTGTTCCGTGGTTAGTTTATGCATACCGGGTGTAGAAACAGCAGGAAGCGGTATTCAGCACAAACTTGCATGTTGCCAGCCCGCTTCTCACCTCAGCACACCTTCTATCACAAGTTATGTAACTGTTTCACCCCTGTTTTTCATATCCCTGTTTCCTCATTTTTGTCCTATTCAGGGCCCAGTGCGAGTGGTGGTTATGCTGCCCTCTGTGGAGGGAGAGCCAGCACTCAACGGGCAGAAGGTGGAGGTGCTGGTGTCGTCACTCAGCGAATCAACAGGCGCATTCAAAGAGCACATCGCGCAGGCTCTGGGTGGCAGTGTGCCAGCCAACAAGCAAAAGCTCAGTGGCAAGGCGGGCTTCTTCAAAGATTCGCTGTCGCTGGCGTATTATAATGTTGGGCCTGGAGAGGCGGTGGTTATGAGCTTGAAGGAGCGTGGAGGCAGGAAGAAGTAGGCTTTTTGACTGTTTTTGCAGCGAACGGCTGGTTATAGCACTGTCCTATGGTTTTTTCCTTCTGCAGGGCTAATGGACACTACTAATGGGCTTGGTGAAATACAGAATCTCAAGCTTTCACATGTGGTGAGTGGATTTAACTTTTCTCTTGTACACTTTTCACAAGTGTAACCAATGTAGTCGCGATTTTCGCTTATTCACGGACGAAATTTTCTTCCATGTCATATCTGGTTGTAAGGAGGCCACGCGCAGGTTTGGCCTGGGCAGATTCCAGCGTTGATCCCAAATCTGCGGTAACCACGTCAGCTGCTGTGGTCATACGCCGCCACGTCAACGTCTCTCCACCACTCCGGTGCTGGCCCGGTCACGCGCCTTTCACGCAAACCACTCCCCCAGATGCAGAACATATCCGTCAACACAGTGCAATCCGCTGTGAGTGGCTGGTAGGTGCTAGCGAACAAAAGCGAAAGCCACAAACGTTGGTAGCAAGTAGCCATGTTCGCCACGCTTTCCAACAAGCCTTTTCCAGAGTCAGTGCAGCCTCCTAAGTTCCAGACAGACTAGCTCCTCCAGAGTTGACTCGAATAGCAAGAGCGTATTGCAGTGCCACCAGATTCCGCCTCTGTTCTGCACGCGTCTGCAACCACGAGAAATTCGAGGTTGCTCTGTTTCTTCCTCCGCGTCCTGTTACACTACCGTTACCCGTATCAGACACTGCACAGCTATCGCTGATGCGAAACTGCTAATCAATATTGTCACGATTCTGTTCCTCCGACCGTGAAGCGATTCAGTCAATTAACTCTAAGATGGAGCTCGCCACAAATCAAACGGTGCTGACGTGCAGCATGATAGCGTCCCCGCAATACCGGTGTCCTATTAGAAACCAATCTGGCACCGTTCATTCTCGTCCACATTCAATGCACCCCGTCGCTTTTCCCTCTCAACCCCGAAACGCCTTACGTCTAGTTGACCGTTCCCAAACAAGGCGCTGTAGTACACTAATTGCTAGTGCAATCATTACTTGTTCCGGTGATACCGGTGCGGGTAATACCTCTAGTGGTCTTCAGCGGCGGAGAGACAGTTTCTTTACAGGACATACCCGTTTACGAGCTAATTCGTTACCAGCAGCTCCTTGCTTCATTGGCTCAGATTCACCACTGCGCGTACATGTCTCGGCTTCGGGAAGCAGGGAACATGTGAGTCATATGATGTGCTTTCTAGTTGTGTATTTTACTGGCAGAATTCGTATTGCTCCCAGACATGAACGGAGACATTGTCCTATTGAATGAGGAGTGTAGGTTCCGAGAAAGCTTAAAGGGGCTGTTCAGCATAAAATCAGGTGTGAAAATGGTACAGAAAGGTGTGTGAGACAACGGTACATATGTTACGTAGTTTCTCTTCATTTCCTACGCTCGCAGTTCTGTAATTCCATCTCTCAGCCTCACATTTTCCGTTTTTCTACTTTTAGCCTTCCTCGAGCTGGACTCACGTATTTCGTATGTTTTTTCTCTTTTGCTGTCGTCGTTATATTTCCTTCTCGCCGTCGCCGCTGTCAGCAACCTAAGGCGGTACCAGGAGCAGCAGAGGCGTCAGCGTTATCCGGTACCAGCAGTGGGAGCGAAAGTGACAACAGCTGGAGTGGCTCTACGGGGGGTGACAATGAGGGCGATGACAGCAGCAGCAGCAGCAGCGACGGCGAGTGGTTCATAGTGCGCAACCCGCTGGAAGCTCAACGGCCGAAATTGAAGCGGAAGAAGTCTTGGAACAAGCGGAAACACCTGTCGCCCTTCTACCTGGGAAGAACGGCCTCTCTTCGCAAGGGCAAGACCAGTCGCAGCAGCAACAGCAGCAGCAGCAGCAGCAGCAGCAGCAGCAGCAGCAGCAGCAGCAGCAGCAGCAGCAGCAGTATTGGCAAGGCTGTCACCACCACCACCACCAGCAGCTGCAGCAGCAGCACGGCCGAGCTATTGATAGACGCGCCTGGGTCCGAGGTCAGCTTTGTGCGAGAAGCCAGTAGCGAGTCCTTTGTAACGGGTATAGGGGAAGTGCTGACAGGGCGAGGACGGAGCGAGGTGGAGCCGGAGGATGATGAAAAAAGCGAGGAAGGTACTACTAGGTTCGTTACTACGGCGTTTGGTGCGGTGCTGTCTGAAACTGACAGGGGCGGGGATGCAGGAGAAGGCGTGGGAGGAAGAGCAGAGGGGAGAATGGAGTCAGGAGGGGGTGGTGCTGCCTGGGCTGCTGATGTTGCTGGGTCGACGGACGGGTGGGTGGATACGGGAAACGGAAGCAGCATGAGCATGAGCAGCACACTTTCCAGTGTATCTGGTAGCTTTACCTCCTTGGGAAGTGGTGGGGTGTATAGCGACACTGACAGTGACACCGAGGGTGACGATGCTGGCGGAATAGGTAGCTCTGCTGCTGCGGATTACACTGCAATTGCAAACACCCTCAGTGGCGAGGCTCCCAGCACCAGTAGTATCACCAGCAGCAGCAGCAGCAACAGTATGAGCAGCGTGGATGGCGACAGTGGCAGCAGCAGCAGCGACTCGGAAGAGGGCGAGTTTATCGGCGGGAACATGTGCGCATCGGCGACGGGCGTGGTGCGTGTGCAGTCGCGGAGGAAGGCAGAGATGTACCTGGTGCGCACGGACGGCATCAGCTGCACTCGCGAGAAGGTCACTGCCTCTACGCTCGCCTTCTCCCATCCCAGCACGCAGCAGCAGATGCTCATGTGGCGCACGCGCCCGCGGACTGTTCTCCTGTTGAAGAAGCTTGGGACAGAACTTATGAGTGAAGCCATGGAGGTGGGTGCCCGACAGGGAGGGTCTAAGAGGGAGAGGAGGGGGTGTGAGAAGGAGGGGGGCTGTGTGTGTAAGAGAGAGGGAGGGTGGGAATGAGAGAGGGGGATGGTGTGAGGGTTGGTGTGCAGGTGACCTTCTCCCACCCAGCACGCAGCAGCAGATGCTCATGTGGCGCACCCGCCCCCACACCTTGCTGCTGCTCAAGAAGCTTGGCACGGAACTCATGAGTGAAGCCATGGAGGTGAGCGTGTGGGGTGACTATGCGAATGGTGGTAGCGTGACGAAATCCCAAAGCTCCTCCTTCCTGCACCACGTCGAGAGCATGAACGAGAAGCGTTGTACTGCTCATAACCTCGCCTAAACTCCCTGTATCACACTCCATCCCCGTTATAATGGCACCAGGTGGCGCGGTTCCTGCAGCGCGAGGAGGGCATGAACGTGATGGTGGAGCCGGAGCTGCATGACACGCTCGCCCGCATGCCCGGCTTCGGCTTCCTGCAGACCTTCTACGCCCAGGACACCAGGTGGGACCACCTACGCCCAGGACACCAGGTGGGACCACCTACGCCCAGGACACCAGGTGGGACCACCTACGCCCAGGACACCAGGTGAGGGGTGCTACGCCCAAGACAACAGGTGTGGGTGCTACGCCCAGGACAACAGGTGGGGGTGCTACGCCCAGGACACCAGGTGGGGGTGCTACGCCCAGGACACCAGGTGTGGGTGCTACGCCCAGGACACCAGGTGTGGGTGCTACGCCCAGGACACCAGATGGGACCTTGTACGCCCAGGATACCAGGTGGGGGATATGAGGGTGCTACTCCCAGGACACCAGGTGGGACGGGGTGGGGAGGGAGGGGGGTGCTACTTCCAGGACACCAGATAGGAGTGAGACCAAGTGAGGGGAGGGGGTGCGATGCTACAGTCAGGACACCAGGTAAGGGGAAGTTAATCGGACAAGATCAAGGCCCCTCAACGCCCCCCCCCACCCTGAACACACGCTGCACCCCCACCAACAGCATCGTCCCCAACTGTGCCGGTTCCTCCCTCCGCCAGTGCTCTCAACCGGTCCACCTCCGCCTCCATGAGGTCCCTCTGCTCGAACATCTTCGCCAGTTCATCTTCACCAGCTCATCTTCCGCTACTACAATCATATCACCAGCTAGCCGCGCCACCTGCTGCTCCAGCTTTAGAAGCGTGATGCTCCACCACCTCGTGCTTCTCTTTTGCCTCCCGCAGCTGGTGTGCTTGCCTCACACCAGAATCGCTAACAAGTTTATGGCTCCTCCTTACCCTCACCACCCTTACGCCACCTCCCTCCCCGCCTCCCCCCCTTCCTACCTACCAGCAAGCTGCATGAGGAGGTGGACTTCGTGGTGTGTCTGGGGTGGGGGTGACGTTCAGTGGCTGTGAGCTGACGTTGTTATGTGCCCTATCCTGCCTCCTCCTGCTGCTTCCCCGAACCCCCACCCCACCAGCAAGCTGCACGAGAAGGTGGATTTCATGGTGTGTCTACAGACCGACAAATGGATGGGGATTGTAAGCTAACGTTGATTCCTTTGTTCCTGTTTTGACCGTCCCCACATCTCCACTACCTCCCTCCCCACCAGCAAGCTGCATGAGGAGGTGGACTTTGTGTTGTGGTGTGTCTGGGGTAGGAGAAGGGTCAGAGGCTGCGAGCTGACATCGTTCTCTCCTCTCTGCCGCCTCCGCCTATTCCTCCTCCCACCTCCCCATCCCCACCAGCAAGCTGCACGAGAAGGTGGACTTCGTGGTGTGTCTGGGGTAGGAGAAGGGTCAGAGGCTGCGAGCTGACATTGTTCTCTCCTCTCTGCTGCCTCCGCCTATTCCTCCTCCCACCTCCCCATCCCCACCAGCAAGCTGCACGAGAAGGTGGACTTCGTGGTGTGTCTGGGGTAGGAGAAGGGTCAGAGGCTGCGAGCTGACATTGTTCTCTCCTCTCTGCTGCCTCCGCCTATTCCTCCTCCCACCTCCCCATCCCCACCAGCAAGCTGCACGAGAAGGTGGACTTCGTGGTGTGTCTGGGGTAGGAGAAGGGTCAGAGGCTGCGAGCTGACATTGTTCTCTCCTCTCTGCTGCCTCCGCCTATTCCTCCTCCCACCTCCCCATCCCCACCAGCAAGCTGCACGAGAAGGTGGACTTCGTGGTGTGTCTGGGGGGCGACGGGGTCATCCTGCATGCGTCCAACATCTTCAGCTCCTCCGTGCCGCCCATCGTCTCCTTCAACCTCGGCTCCCTTGGCTTCCTCACTGCACACCCGGTACGCACGTGCGCTGAGGAGCAATTTGCTCTGTGTCTGTTCACAGCACACCCGTTCAGCTCCTCCGTGCCGCCCATCGTCTCCTTCAACCTCGGCTCCCTTGGCTTCCTCACTGCACACCCGGTACGCACGTGCGCTGAGGAACAACTTGCTATGCACTCATTCAAAGCACTCGCTAGGCGGTCATTCACGGGCAGGAGCAGACAGCCGGCGTGTACATAGTGCTGCGCATGTGCCTCAAGTGCGAGCTCTCGAGTGCGAGCTGCTCAAGAAGGACTACCCTGCGCCGGGCAAGGCGATCCTACAGGCGCCTCAGAAGCATTCCACGCTGTGCATCAGGAACTTGGGTTCCGCATCCCCCGCTCACTCACCCTTTCCCTCTGCCTTCTCTGTCCCCCGTGCCCCTCCTTGCTCACAGTACGAGCAGTTCAAGCAGGACCTGAGGGCGGTGATTCACGGGCAGGAGCAGACGGCAGGCGTGTACATAACGCTGCGCATGCGCCTCAAGTGCGAGCTCGTGAAGGGCGGCCAGCCAGTCCCAGGGAAGGTGTTTGATGTGCTCAACGAGGTGGTGGTGGACCGCGGCTCCAACCCCTATCTGTGCAAGATTGAGTGCTACGAGCGCAGCAAGCTCATCACCAAGGTTAGCAGGCATGCAGGGATGCTGTTCAGGGGAGTGTGCCGCGCTGAGCCCAGGTCTTCATGGGCGGGCAGCCGGTGCCGGGGAAGGTGTTTGGCGTGCTCAACGAGTTGGTGGTGGACAGCGGCTCCAACTCCTACCTTTGCGAGATTGAATGTTATGAGCGCAGCAAGCTCATCACCAAGGTAAGCGAGCATGCAGGGGCAGCGTTCAGTGGAGCGAAGCGGGAGCAGTATAAGGGGGTGGTAAGGAGAGCGAGCACAGCTGGAACACAGGTATTCATTCCTCGTGTATTGGAGAGCTCGTGAAGGGGGGGCCAGCCGGTGGCAGGGAGGGTGTTTGATGTGCCCAGCGAGGTGGTGGTGGACCGCGGCTCCAACCCCTACCTCTGCAAGATTGAATGCCACGAGCGCGGCAAGCTCATCATCGAGGTATGCAGGCACACAGGGGAGGGTGGAGCGGATTGAGCAGGCGAGCGTGCAGGCGAGCGTGCAGGGGAGCGTGCAGGGGAGCGTGCAGGGGAGCGTGCAGGGGAGCGTGCAGGGGAGCGTGCAGGGGAGCGTGCAGGGGAGCGTGCAGGGGAGCGTGCAACACTGAGTCAAGTCAACTTCCTCCCCGGCTGCACTTGCTGTGTAAGCCTGACATTTCCTTCCAGGTAATTCTCTCGCTCCTCTGCTGCAGGTGCAAGTCGACAGGGAGATAGTACTAGTAACGCTCACAGGCAGCACCCTCACCACCTCCCCGCCTCTCACTACTCTCTCCTGCCTCTCTTCTCCGGTCTCTCTCTCGCTGCAGATGCAAGCGGACAGGGTGACAGTGACAACACCCACGGACCACACTCTTAGTGAATCCCTCTCCTGCCTCCCCTCTCCTGCCTCCCCAACCCTGCTTCCCCGCTGCTGCCCCCCCTCTCCTCTTTCCTGCCTCTCGCCTCTTTGTGTGCAGGTGCAAGCGGATGGGGTGATAGTGGCAACACCCACGGGCAGCACCGCATACTCCACTGCTGCTGGCGGCTCCATGGTGCGTGGAGAATGGGTGTGGGGAGAGGGGTGTGGGGTGGACAGGGGTGTGGGGAGAGGGATGTGGGGTGGAGAGAGGTGTGGCATGGTTGTGGCAGAAAAGAGGTGCTGGTGGGGAGATGTGTGGGGAAGAGGTGTGCGTATCTGGGCAGTTTTGCATGCGTGTGTGAATATGTGTGTCTTCATGGACGTGTACAGGTCTTAATGTCAATCTCCTCCTCCATTCCTCGTCCGCCTCTCCCGTGGAGTCTCAATTTTCTCTCATCCCTCTTCCGCCGCTCCGTTCCCCTTACCTCCTTGTCTCACGTCACGTTCCTCTCTCAACTGTTTCTCTCTTCCCACCCTAGTTCTCCTAATCAGTCTTTGTCTTTTCACCCCTCTCACCCCTTACCACCGCTCCCAACCCACGCAGGTGCATCCCAACGTGCCGTGCATGCTCTTCACGCCCATCTGCCCGCACTCCCTCTCATTCCGCCCCATCATACTGCCCGACTCCGCCATCCTTGAACTTCGAGTAAGTCCCTCTGCACCCGCAGGGTCCCTCTGCACCCGCAGGGCCCCTCTGCAACCACAGGGCCTTTCCCTGGTGCCGCCGCAAGTGTCACTCCAACCACTTCCCATCTACTGGAACGAGTTGATTTTTGAGTCGACTCAAATTTTTGAGTCGACTCAAAAATCAACTCGCTACAATGTCACACGGTGTGTTTTCTACACGGAGAGCTATCGTCGCTTGGAAGTTGCCTAAAAGAGTTGGAAATTATTTAGTTTCTGCTAATAAGAGTTAGTGTAGTGTAGTGTTTGTTACAGCCCTACAGTACAGCTTCTCCCTGGCCCAGCGAAGGAATGCCTCGCGAGGAGCCCTCGGGAGTAGTATTTTAGCTCTAGTTTGCTTCTTTTTCGTCTTTGTGGTCTGAGGAAGGCTATAAGCCGAAACCGGTTACCGCCGAAATTTTTCTCCACAAGAGAAACAAGCAAACTTTTTACTAACAACATTTTTTACAAAGATTGAACCTAGTTGCTGCCACGTAAAGACTCTGGCTCCCATCTGGGGTTCCATTGGTGCCGCCGCAAGTGTCACTCCAACCACTTCCCATCTACTGGAACACCTGTTAGCTGCAAGAGTACATGCATGATGAAATCCATCTCCATGCTTGGCTCCTCGCATCTTCCTATGTTCAGCTTCCTTCGCATCGTTTTCTCCCCTTATGCCTCGTCCTATCGCCCATATTCTCTCGTGTTTTACCCCTCTCCCTTGATCCTCCATCTTTCTTCCCTTCTCAACCCCATTAGGTCCCTGCTGACGCACGCAGCAACTGCTGGGTGTCATTTGACGGGAAGAAGCGCCAGCAGCTGTCACGGGGAGACTCGGTGCGCATTTCCATGAGCGCGCACCCTGTTCCAACCGTCAACAAGCGCGACCAAACAGACGACTGGTTTGCCAGCCTTGTCCGGTGCCTCAACTGGAACGAGCGCATGGAGCAGAAGGGATTCAATAGTGTCTTTTAGAGGGATGTGTGTGTGTGTGTTCATGTTAAGTTGAGGGGCGTCGTCGGTTGGGGAAAGAAAGATCCTTCTCGCTAGCTGACTTTCCGGGTGAAATGCCCAATAAGCCGTAAGGTGGCAGCTGTGCTTGTTTTGTTGTGCTTTGGCACCTTTGTGTGATAGGTATGATGATTGCAAGGGCAAACTGTGTTGCGAAATGGCATTGCATGTGATGAAGCTCTGAATCCAGCATTTGATTTTCATATGGGGTTTTGTATGCATTTCTACTGCACCCCTCAAGTACGTGTGTATATTGCTCTGAAACCAGGCAGGAGCAAAGCAATTTGAGATGTACACGGACGAGATGCTACACCCTAGACTTATTTCACTCGCCGATCCGTAACAAAAAGGCTGAGTTCGACACATGCAAGGCACTTCGAACGAGGGAAATTGTGGTCCACGAAAGGGGATAATTTAGTTGCACGCGTGAGAAAAGCGGCTGCGAAGCACCGAGCCAGGCATACGATCTAGCGCAGGCAGTTCTCGCCTCAAAATTTCGATAATACGTAGATTTTTTGTTGTCTGACTATTTTGTGCCACAAACTTCACACAGATGTGCCCCGAATGCATTTTTTCGTTCTTCACTGTTGAACCGTTGGAGCTCAAGGAAGACAGGGCCAGGAATGAGCCAGGCTGTCGTGCGCTGTCGAATAGAATCTACGCAGGGATGCTCGTCACGTGATGGCAGCTTTGCTCTGCACATGGCCGCTTCGAGGAGCCTAGCGTCCCTCACCACCAGTGAAGCTCAGAGAGTATCCCACTGGAGCCGACGTGGAAAAGTGGGCAGCTGAAAGTGTTCTTGTGGATACGGTTTTGACTGAACCCTTTCAAGGCGCTCACAGCCACGAGTTTTTCCCAGAAGGACTCTCTCACCCCAAGTTCGCTGGGTGTTCCGCCAACGAGGTTGATCCCTCCCACAGCATGATTGATCTGCCCATTTTCCGTGTTCTGCGCGCAGACACGTCAGCTGTAGAAAAAAGCTCCGAAGCGCGTGACAAAAAGGACGCACCCAGCGCTTGCCTTTTTTCCGCTTTCCTCTGCCGCATCATCACCGCGCACAGACCTCCAGGGGGAGAGGGGAACCGTTTCGCGCCTCCATGTGCAATTCTCCACCACAAGTCTTCCTCGTTCTGCTCTCTCCCCTTCCGCGGAGGTCTTGTTTTCCTCTGCAGCAATGGTTCCACCTTCCGCAATCCGCACATCCGCAAGCAAGACTCCCCCATCGTCCACCTCGGGAGTGCCTCCCTGAAACCTGGGGATCGTCTCGTCTTGCCTCCCTCACCTCGAGAGTTGCGTGATCGGTAGACTCGAGGAATGCTCTCTTGCTATTAGCTGCTTTCTAGTACTGACGATTTCATGTTTCAAGTTTGTATGCAGATTATGAAATGCTCCATGACCAGCTGATGTAATAGCCCAGCCAAAACTCTCCATGATCGCTTGGAGTGAGACAGATCTGTTAATACAGATCGCTTATGTAGTTGTCGACGGTTCTTAATACCGTGTTTTTAAACGCGTCAGAACGCCAGAACCGAAATCAAACAGGCGTTCGTCAATTTTCAGGCAGATAAGTTTAAAAGGTGCCTTAGACCGAGCGAACAGATATTCTGTTGCTGCTCTTGACATATATTATCAAACAGCCGCAACGGCAATTCTCAAGTTCAATCTTCCTCACTTTCAGATGGAAAGCCCACCTTACATAGCCGCAGCTGTTGGAGGAAAGCGTAAGAGGGAGGACGAAGAAGAGGATTTCCATCCCGAACCCAATGGATCAATAAAGACCCCAGTTGTTGCATCCAGCTGTCCGTTTGACCAAACCACAACATCATCCTATCCAGTGCCCGCTTCTCCTCGCGAGAAAGACTTTTCTCGCGTCTCGCAGGATGTTCCCTGCGTAGATGGCGTTCCAACAAAAGCCGAGACGGTTTTTGAAGATCACGAGAACGCGTCGTTACCGTTATCGCCGTCCAGAAATGTCACCCAGATGGTCCCGCCGCCGGGAGTTGTGTCTCAAGAAATGGCCGCTCGAGTCGTGGCCGGGTCTCAGTTAAAAGAGGAAGCTGTTGCAGCTGCGGAAGCCGCAGCGGCTGCTGACGCCGCGGCTGCTGCTGCGGCGGAAGAGGCGACGGGATGCCCTATGGGAGAGAACAAGGCAGTAGAGTTGACGGCTGAACAGATTGACTCGATCTGCGAGGAAGCAGCAGCGGCTGTAGCGGCTACAGCTGCCGCAGCAGCCGGCGCGCTGGCGAGCGAGAAGTGGGAGGCGGAGGCCAGTAGCGAGGAGACGAACAAACGGAAAAGAAGACGGAGAGTCCACAAGAAGACAGCGGAGGGAAACTTTCCGTCAGCGTCGAACCAACCGGAGGATGGTGGGAGGTCAGACGGAGGAAGGGAGGAGGGAAGCGAGACGACGGAGAGCGACGGTTCTGAGGAAGAGAGAGGAGGGCTGGGATTGGAGACGAGAATTGGAGACGCAGCGGATGCGGCGGCACGAGAAGCGCCGCGGAAAGCGGCGGGAAACACGGAAGAGGTGGAGCTGGTTCTGCAGCAGGATGATGGGGACGACGCGGGCCTTTCGCTGTTCGACGGGGAGACGAACGACGGAATGATGGACGTCGATGGCGGCTCGGCGGCGGCGGATGCGGCGTATATTACGGAGAACGCTGATCGGAAGGGAGGCCAGGAAGGGATGACGGAGAAAGTAGAGGAAGCTTCCAGGTTGACGGCTGCGGATGAGGCGAGGATCGCCGCGGCGGTTGACGGAGATGACGCCGTTGATTACGGTGGAAATCCCGCGCACTCTCGGCGGCAAGATGCTTCCGCGGAGATGGCGCCGGAAGATGCGGAGAGCCAGCATGGCGCAAAAGGTCGCGCTGGAAAGAGCACTGCTACACACAGCGGGAAGGCGACGGGGAAGGAAGCGCGAGCGACGACGACGGCGACAGCGGCGCTGTCGCAGGTGCTGGTTCGCACGAGCCTGGAGTCGTGTCGCACAGTGGTTCTGCGAGTCCGGCCGAGCGACACCGTGGACGACGTGCTGTGGCAGATCCAGTGAGTGACGTACGATGATGTCAGCATCGGTTCGAGCAACAGCTTATTTTTCCCATAAAGAAACATTGTTTGAACTTCTTTTTTTTCCCGTTTCCCTCACAAACCCTCTCGTCCCCTCTCCCCCTCTCCCTTTCCCCTTTCCTCTCATCGATAGGCGGAAAACGGGCCTACCCGCGCACGAGCACCGCCTCATCTACGCGGGGAAGCAGCTCGACACCTCCGCGCGCCTGGAGGACGTGCCTGTGCCGCACGATGCCACGCTGCAGCTGATCGGACGGCTGAGATCGACACTCTTCCCCGACGTATGGCTGCTGGTGGCGGAGATGGAAGCGGGGCTGGCGCAGCTGCAGCGCCTGGAAGCCGTGGGCGCGGGCGTGGGGGAACCTCCGCCTGGCGCGGGGAAAGGCGAGGGGGGCGGAAGGGGTGGAGGCAAGGGGAGTGAGAGGGAGGGAAGAAGGGTGGACGGAAGGGGGGATGGGGATGAAGTCTCCATGCACGAGCAGCGCGCTGAAGTGGCGGATGGGGGGAGAGGAGGCGGAGGAGGAGATGCTTGCAATTGTGCAGTGGAGAGGGGCGGAAGGGGTAGAGGTGGTGGAAGAGGGCGGGGGAGAGGGAGAGGGAGAGGAGGCGGAGCAGCAGCAGAAGGTGGGAGTGGAGGTGCTGTGGAGGTTCAAGCAGCGGACAGAATCGACGCCATGGAGCAAGAACAACAACAACAACAACAACAACAACAAGAACAACAACAACCACACCACCAGGACCAGCAGAACCAGCAGAACGAGCAGCAGCAGGATGAGCAGGAAGCGCCTGGGAGCGGCGGGGGCGGAGGAGGCGCGGTGGTGCTGCAGTGGGAGGCGAAGGGGGATGGGAAGGGGCGGAGGCAGCGGCTGAGCAAGTACTACGAGGACAAGATCCACTGCGCCATGGCGCAGCTCTTCGTGCGCGCCGTTGACACCATCCGCTCCGGCCACGATGGCTGGACCATCAAGCTCGCCGAATACATCGAGGCTTTCAGGTACTTTCAACAGAGCCTTCAGGTAATTTCAACAGAGGGTGGTACTTGCAATTAAGCTGTTTCAGTTTACTTCAAGGTGTTTTGAGGCTCTCATTAGGCCCCTGTTCTCCTGGTTGTAGTGAGTCTCCAAACGTTCCCGAGAAGCAGTTGATTTCTCCTTTCCTTCTCCTCCTTCCCCTTGGCCTTCGTGGTTAAAATTGCATTTGCCTTTTGGCTTTCATCTCCATGCTACTGGCAGGCTGGCAGGCGGCGTGCGGGCAGCCGTGCAGCTGCTGCAGCTGAAGGAGCCCCACCACATGCGCTTTGCCGACCAGACAGTCGCCAGCTTCCTCGACGAGCGAGGTGAGATACGGGAAAATCAAACAAGGACAGGAGAGAAGGAAGAAGGGAGAAGTAGTTTGTTTTTACCAGAAAGGCGATAACTGAGAGGCTGGGAAAAGTTTATGCTGAAAGGGTAAACCACCCACACACTTTTGTTGAAAGGGTAAACTGCTCACAATACTCATCAACGCCGTACATTCTAACCGCTTGTGTCGTCCCTCGGTTTCTCTTACTTCCGCTCCACTTTCTCCCCCCCAGCCCTGATCACGTACATGCACGACTACGCCTGCCCGGGTAAATTCGCGCGGCCTTTACTGGACTACCTGGGCCCCGTGCTCATGGAGCTGCACGTGCTGCTCGACTCCTGCCGCCTGCGCCCTGCACTCACCATCAGGTGTTGGGACGCGCTAGTAAAGCTGTTTGGAAAGGTACAACTGGGCCGCTTCTGCCCGCAGCTCAACCGCTCCCCTGACTGGCTCGTGCGCAACCTCGCGCCCTTCCTAGAGAAGGCAGCCACGGATCTCTGCATAAGCCTGCACCAGCTCACCCTGCTCGCAGCAGCCAAGTCCGACACCCTCACCTCCCCCCTTACCTCCTCCACCTCCTCCGCTTTCAAAACGTTTGCCTCGGCTATTGTCCTCTCGCTGCCCTTCTGCCGCCCGGCCGTGCGCCAGTCCGCGTTCTGCCGCCCGGGGTGGCTGCTGACTGTGTTTGGCTCGGTGCTGAGACACGTGGACGCGTGCCTGGCTGAGTCAGCGCGTTTCGCCAGGCGGCTGCTGCTGCTCACGGAGGGCCCTGCTGTGCTGGCCAGCACTGCTGCTGCAACTGCGGCTGCTGCCGCCGGCGCCGCTGCTACTGCTGCAAGCTTTTCCAGTTTCACTGGTGCTGCTGCTGCTTTTGGCGCTGCTGCTGATCCTCTGATTCCGCCGCCAGCTGCTGCCTTTGGCTCGTTCGCTCCCACCTGGGCGAGTTTCACTGGCCTCCCTTCCTTCAACGCTCCTTCGCTTGCCTATTCGCCTGAAACAGCAGCTGCTGTGGCTACTGCTGCTGCTGCTGCCGCGCAATCAGCGCAGCTGTCCCAGTCTGCAGCATCGCTACACATGTACCAGTACCATTCAACAGCAGCAACACCACCAGGAACAATAACAACAGCAGCAACAACAGCAACTACAGCAGCAGCAGGGCATGCATTTCTAGACACAAGCCACCATGCTACCTCTGCCCTTCCCCTCCCACTCCCACCCCCCTGGCACGACCACCACCACCACCATCACCCCGCCACGCCCATGCACACCTCACCGTACCACACGCAACCCCACCAATCCCCCCAACACCCGGCCCCCTTCCCGCCCCCAGCCTCCTCTCCCTTCGCCCCGCCCTCCCACCCCGCCTCCCCACTCCCGCCACTCTCTCCCCCAGATTTAGTCGGCCGAATGGCCCTCTCTCTCCTCCCTGAACCCCTCAGGGAATGCATTCCCGCCGTCCTGCAAGGCCTATACCTCCTAGCAGCAGTAGCAGCAGGGGCGGGGAGGGGGGGCAGCGCGGAGCAGCTAGTGGGACTCTTAGTGAGGCACAGGGGGTGTGTGAACGCGGTGATTCAGAGCCAGCACCTGGCGCCGGGAGGGGACCTGGCGTGGGTGTGCGAGCACAGGGAGCTGATCGACATGGATGTGAAGAGAAGGTGGATGGGCGCGCTGCTTCCGGAGCCGGCTGAAGACCATGCCAACCGATGCACCGTCATTGTGAGTCCACGTGATGGCTGCATGGGTGAGTCGTTGTGAGTCCAGGTGATGGCTGCATGGGTGAGTCGTTGTGAGTCCAGGTGATAGCGGGCCGCATGGTAGAGCTATAGTGGGTCGAGGTGATAGCTGAGTGCTCCAAAAGTGGATTGTGCTTGTCAGCTGCAAGCTCGTGTCAACAGCCCCCCCTACTGCCGATATTCTTAAGAAGTCTGCTCTTCACTCTCGTTCTCTCTCAACCACTCTCTGCCCATCCCAACCCACCAGGTGCACCGAGGCCCCTCGTTACTACACGAATCCTTTGACCAGATCTTCTACGCACCCCCAGAGGCCCTCAAGTCCGGCCTGCTCGTGCAATTCGTAGACGAGGACGGCTCGGGCGCGGGAGTCCTGCGGGAGTGGTTCATGCTCGTGGGCTGCGAGCTCTTCTCTGGCACCAACGCGCTCTTCTCCGCCTGCCCGGACGACCACCAGCGCTTCTTCCCCTCGCCCTCCTCCGCCATCAACCCGGGCCACCTCTCCTACTTCCGCTTCTGCGGCCGAGTCGTCGCCCTCGCCCTCATGCATAACATCCACTTAGACGTCACCTTCGCCCTCGCCTTCTATAAGCTCCTAGCTGGGCGGGAAGTCACCTGGCGGGACTGTAAGGACATGGATCCGGAGCTGTTTGCGAGCTGCCGGGCGATCATGGCGCTGCCGGCGACGGATGTGGATGCGGACGTGCTGGGGCTGACGTTTGTGTGCAGCGTGGAGGAGGGCGTGGGGGAGAGCCGCGTGGTGGAGCTGTGTCCGGGCGGGGAGTTTATTAAGGTCACCAACAGCAACCGCCACGCCTTCATCGACCTGCTTGTCAAGCGACGCATTGTCGCGCCCATGCGACTGCAGGTGGGTGGAATCCTGGAGATTTGGGTAGAGGGTTTTGGGAAAGGGTTGCTTGAGTTGAGTGGGTGCAGGGTGGGTCTAGTTCCTATCTTGGGGCTCAATCCTATCACGTTAGGGCAGACGTCCTATCACGTCGAGGTGACCTTAACGTGGGTCTGGTTCCTATGTTGGGACTCAATCCGATCACGTTAGGGCAGACGTCTGTGCCGGGGCTGGGGAATGGCGAAACCTCCTTCCTTCTTAGCGTCTCTCCCCCGTCTCTTCCCCCCTGCCAACCCATACAGGCCCTTGCTCCTGCACTGTCGGGCCCTCCCCATCTCCCTGGTTGTGTTGACTTAAAAGTCATTCCTCCCTTCTTCCCTCTGTCTGCCCACCCCCCACAGGCCCTTGCCTTTGCTGCTGGATTCTCCGAGCTGCTGCACTGCCGGGACCTCCCCATCTCACTCGCCCTCCACACCTCCCCGCTCCATGCTTCCTCCCTGCACGCCTCCTCTCTGCACGCCTCCTCCCTCCGTCCTCCCCACTCTATCCCTGCTGGCGTCAGCATTCCTGCTGCTGGCGTCACTGTGGCTCCTACCGGCATCACTCTGGCTCCTGCTGGCGTCAGCATTCCGGCTGCTGGCTTCACCATGACTCCTCCCACGGGCGTGAGCACTAACCCTATCAACCACCAGCTGCCCATGGGCGCAGCAGACAATACGGGTTTTGAGGCGCCTCAAAACGTGAGCACTAACCCTATCAACCACCAACTGCCCATGGGCGCAGCAGGCAATGCGGACGCAGGAGGGCAGCAATGGGGCCGCGCTGCCCCGCCTGCTGCTGCAGCATCAGCACCATTGCCAGCAGCACCAGCACCGTTGCTAGCACCACCAACAGAACCAACCGCACCACAAGCACCGCCACAAGCAGCAGTACCAACAGCGCCAGCACAAGCTACAGCCCATCCCACACCAACCCCCATCACACACCCCACAGCAACTGCTACATCCGCCCTTGCCTCGCCCACTTCCATGCCAAATGCAGCAGCTACAGCAGCAGCTACAGCCGCAGCAACAGCAGCAGCTACAGCAGCCGCGGCGGCAGCTGTAGCAGCAACAGCCCTGTGGGCTGCTGCCTTGCAGGGAACGTCCGGGCCTACACCCGTGCCTGCATCCATGGACACCCTTCCAGCACTCATGGCTGCCCACGCTACACCCGCTACAGCTGCTACAGCCACTACAGCTGCTGCTACTGCTCCTGTTACCACAGTTGCCACACCTGCCACTGCTGCTGCTGCTCTGCATGGGGTCATGAGCACCCTGCCAACAGTAACCACCAGCCAGCCATCACTTATGGTACCGCTAGCTACAGCCGATACAGCCCCCATTGCTACCGCCGCGCTACCCAACATCCTGCCCACGGCTACATCTGTTGCTGCTACAGCCGGTGCAGGTGTGCCGACCGATCCAGCCTCTGCTGCATCGGTTGTAACGCCAATGATGTCCGAATCCCCCATGGCGGCTGTAGCGCCAGGTGCGCCGGTGGTGGTGCCGATGGTGAGTCCGGCTGTAGCGGTGGTGGAGAGCGGGTGGGTGATGCAGCAGGCGCTGCGGCCACTGGATGCAGGGGACTTTGAGGCGCTGCTGTATGGTGAGGAGAGGGACATCGACGTGGCGGACTGGCGTGCACACACGGATTACCATGGCTACCGGGCCACTGACCCTGAGGTGCGTGAAATCATGGAACATGCTGTACTATACATGTGATTCACCAACACTTTATCTGACTTTTGATGGTTAAAGGGGATTTGGTGCGCCTTTTTTTACTTGCTTCTGCTTCTTGCTTCTCCTCCTGGTACCAATGCTTGCAGATTGAGTGGTTCTGGGAGGTGGTGGAGGAAATGACAAAGGACCAGCGCAGGCGTCTCCTCTACTTCACCACCGCCATTACACGCCTCCCTGCTTCCGGCTTTGCTGGCCTGCAATCTAGGTACGGATCAAAGCTTCAGAAGCTTCCGACACCTTGGGCTCGCTTTTCTGTCCTTTTGTACGCTGCCATGACATTTGTGCTTGCGCTTTCGAAGATCCTCGTTGTCTATCTGTTGTGTATCTGGTGAAGAAGATGCTTACTTGCATGCAATGCCATCACTCCATTGCAGGTTCCACATTCATCTTGCATTGACTGACACCACGCATCTGCCAACCGCACACACGTGTTTCCACCAACTTGTGTTGCCGCCGTACTCGTCCAAGGCGATGATGAGGCAAAGACTTCACACTGTCATCGCCGATCACCTTGTACAAGGATTCGGTTTTGCATAGAAATGCTCGAGTAGCAATTGAAATGTTGTTCCTCCTAGGCCCATCTAATCTTATCATAACAAGGATTTCATGTAAATGGTAGGTAGGTGCGTTGTTAGATGGCAAACGCCATCACAAATTTTGTATAGCACTGTCGTGCAAATGAATTGCTGGTTTTGTGGCTTAATTGGAATAGGATCCCCACTGAGCTCATCATAGCATTGTTTCGTTGGATCTGGTATACGGAGATCTAAAACTATTTCGGAGTACACATTGTAACAAGTGTTTTCAGTTTCGCATATGTGGTTTGCTTGACCACCTCACGCGCTTCTTGAATCCAGACGGCTGCTTCGTTATTGGTGCAGGCAGGGTGTACTTCGAAGTGGTCTGGAGTGGTAGGTGCTCTTCCCCTTCCCTCTCGTCCCTTTGCTGCACCGCCGTACAGTACCGTACCGTAATGCTGTACACCCACTGTCTGACCTTCAGTGCTTCTCTGGTTGTTGGTGACTGGTCAGGAGGACTCGGCACGTTCTTCTGGCCCACGCCTGTTCAACTTCCTCCTTTTGCCGTCGTTGGCATCCGAATTTCTTTCATGTCGCTGCGCCGTTCATGTCTCTTGTAAACATTCGTTCGATTCTCAATATTAGCGTTGTAGTGGTGCGATCTTAGTGCGTCCGTCGCGCGTCTTTGCCTTATGCTGATGAACCAGCGCCGATACTTCTTCTATTGAACTGATTGAACTGGTCTTCAGGGCTAATCGACTTACCTTATTGGGGTTGCTTGAAAATCGTTAGTTCATTATAGGTCAGAAAATAGAGAATGGGAATTTCAAGCTCGTTCATGCAAGACGACGCTTCGCTATAACGTCGAGATTCGCCATAGCGAGTCATCAGGAAACAGGACTCGTTAATCCTCGTTCACCACACCCGAGATCGCGCCATTCCTTTCCTAGTCGTCAATCAGAAGAGGAGCGCGACTCGCAGCCATGGAGTTTCTGAAGAAGCTTCGTCAGCTGGACGCGTATCCCAAGGTCAACGAGGATTTCTACAGTCGCACCATGTCAGGCGGCATCCTCACGCTTATTTCCTCCGTCGTCATGGCCGTGCTCTTCATCACCGAACTCCGTAGGAAAATCTTTTCCCTCGCGCATCTCAGCTGTGCTTCTCACGATAATTTACCCCTAATAAGAATTCTCGCGCTGTGCTTTTCCTGTGTTGACATTCTCGCGCTTGACTTTTTTTTTTTCCCCGAACGACATGGCTGTACCCTTCACCACGAATTACCTCGTAATTGTAACTGATGCCGATGATATATGCATTCGTTTTCTCGTTCTTCCATCATTTTGTTCCGAACGCATAGCTGCTTCTTCCTCCGCCCTTAACCTACGCCTCAGGCACATACATACTCCGCCGTGCTCTTACTCTCTCCCCTCTGCTTCCGCTCCCTCGCTCCTCTCCGTCCATTCCGGCTCCTCTCCGTCCATTCCGGCCCCCCTCCGTCCATTCCGGCTCCTCTCCGTCCATTCCGGCTCCTCTCCGTCCATTCCGGCTCCGATCAGGCCTTTTCCTCCAGCCGAAGATCGTCAACGAGCTCTCTGTGGACCTGTCGCGCGGAGAAACCCTCAAGATCAATGTGAGCGCACAGATTTTTCGCCCGAGTCATGGTTGATGCGATTTCTCTCAACCACCTCCTAATCCTTCCTCTCAAACCCCGTTCCCCTCCCCCGGCTAACCCCCTTTCTCAAGATCCGTTCATCCCCTCCCGTTCCGCCACCGTCACCCCTCACCCGACTCAATTCAGCTGGACGTGACGTTTCCGCGCCTGTCATGCGCGGTGCTGTCGCTGGACGCCATGGACATCAGCGGCGAGCAGCACCTCGACGTGGTAAGCACACACGCTGCTTGCACATGCCCTGCACGCACATGCACCCGCACACACACTTAACACACGCACGGTCGGTGCTGTCGCTATGCGCCATGGACATCAGTGGCGAGCAGCACCTCGACGTGGTACGCACACATGCCATGCCAGGCGCATGCCATGCCATGCCATGCCCGCCAAACCATGCCATGCCATGCCCGCCAAACCATGCCATGCCATGCCCGCCAAACCACGCCATGCCATGCCATGTCATGGTAGTTTGTTGTGACTTGGTTGGACCCACCATGCTCCCTTCTGGCTACAGACCTCCCGCCGCCCAACTCCAAACCCTCCCATCATCTACCTCATCCTCCTCCCTATACCCCCCTCAGCTCCATGTTACTCCTCTTCCCCCATGTACCCCACATCACCAGCATCACGAACATCCCCCACGTCCCCCACGTCCCCCACGTCCCCCACGTCCCCCACGTCCCCCGTGTGCCCCTTGCCCTCCCGGTCGCCCCTTTCCCCCGTTTCCCCACCCTTTCCCCTCAGCCCCCATGTCCTCTCGCTTCCCTTCTTGTCCACCCCGTCCCCCCTACCCTCTCAGGTGCACAACGTATACAAGCGGCGCCTGACGCCCTTAGGGCTGCCGGTACAGGGCACAGACTCCCACCCCCCACCCTCGTCTCCTTCCCCCCATCCCCGCTCCCATCCCTTATCCCCCCCCTCTTTCCCGCCACCAGCCCTCCCTGTCCCCCATCAAGTGCACGCTTGACGGCCATAGGACTGCCGGTGAAGGGTATAGACATCCATCCACCCACCCTTCGAAACACCCCCTCTACTACCCCCACGCACCCCGTTTGTCCCCCAGGTGCATAATATCTACAAGCGGCGGCTGACGCCCATAGGGCTGCCGGTGGAGGGGATAGACTCGAAGCACGAGATAGGGGCGAAGCAGCACGACGTGCTCAAGAAGCGCGACAAGTACGGCAATGTCGTGCCTGACGACCAGGACTTCTGTGGCAGCTGCTACGGCGCTGCTGAGGTGCGTTCGTGTTGCTGGGGTACATGTGCGCCTCGTGTGCTGCAGAGGTGCGTCTATGTGCTGTGTCCGCTCTACATTGAGGGGCACAATGTGTGCTGCTGTTGTTAGAAGCGCCTCAGGCAACGTGGTGCCTGACGACCAGGACTTCATTGGCAGCTTCTACGGCGCAGGTGCGTTCCTGCTGCTAAATCCCCGCTCCTGCATTTCCTCGCGCTTCCTTCCTTCCTTCGCTCTCTGATCACCTGCTGCTTCCCCTGCTCATCATCATTTCCGCTGCACCATCTCCCCCCCATTTCCCCCTCCTTCTCTGCTCCTCTTCCCCCGTCCTCCCCTTTGTACCCACGCCAGACGGACGACCAGTGCTGCAACAACTGTGAGGAGGTGCGCGAGGCGTACAACAAGCGCGGGTGGGCCTTCAACAACGCTGACGCCATCGAACAGGTTCCTCTCTCTCTCTCCTCTCCGACTCAATGATTCATAAACTTCGTGTGCCTCATCATCATGCCCTTATGGCTGCATCTCTCCCTCTCATCCCATCACGTTCCTCTCGTTCCCCCGTTCCTCCCGCTGTCATCCTTTCCTTGCCGCCTCCCTTTCCTGGTGGAACCATCTTTGCATCTTTGCATCCTTGCATCTTTGCATCCTTGCATCCTTGCATCTTTGCATCCTTGCATCTTTGCATCCTTGCATCCTTGCATCTTTGCATCCTTGCATCTTTGCATCTTTGCATCCTTGCATCTTTGCATCTTTGCATCCTTGCATCTTTGCATCTTTGCATCCTTGCATCCTGCCATTTCCCTTGGTCCGTCCATCCCTGTACATTCATCAGCCTCTTGCTTCTCCCCATGGCCCTTCATCTTGCTTCTCCCCATGGCCCTTCATCTTGCTTCTCCCCATGGCCCTTCATCTTGCTTCTCCCCATGGCCCTTCATCTTGCTTCTCCCCATGGCCCTTCATCTTGCTTCTCCCCATGGCCCTTCATCTTGCTTCTCCCCATGGCCCTTCATCTTGCTTCTCCCCATGGCCCTTCATCTTGCTTCTCCCCATGGCCCTTCATCTTGCTTCTCCCCATGGCCCTTCATCTTGCTTCTCCCCATGGCCCTTCATCTTGCTTCTCCCCATGGCCCTTCATCTTGCTTCTCCCCATGGCCCTTCATCTTGCTTCTCCCCATGGCCCTTCATCTTGCTTCTCCCCATGGCCCTTCATCTTGCTTCTCCCCATGGCCCTTCATCTTGCTTCTCCCCATGGCCCTTCATCTTGCTTCTCCCCATGGCCCTTCATCTTGCTTCTCCCCATGGCCCTTCATCTTGCTTCTCCCCATGGCCCTTCATCTTGCTTCTCCCCATGGCCCTTCATCTTGCTTCTCCCCATGGCCCTTCATCTTGCTTCTCCCCATGGCCCTTCATCTTGCTTCTCCCCATGGCCCTTCATCTTGCTTCTCCCCATGGCCCTTCATCTTGCTTCTCCCCATGGCCCTTCATCTTGCTTCTCCCCATGGCCCTTCATCTTGCTTCTCCCCATGGCCCTTCATCTTGCTTCTCCCCATGGCCCTTCATCTTGCTTCTCCCCATGGCCCTTCATCTTGCTTCTCCCCATGGCCCTTCATCTTGCTTCTCCCCATGGCCCTTCATCTTGCTTCTCCCCATGGCCCTTCATCTTGCTTCTCCCCATGGCCCTTCATCTTGCTTCTCCCCATGGCCCTTCATCTTGCTTCTCCCCATGGCCCTTCATCTTGCTTCTCCCCATGGCCCTTCATCTTGCTTCTCCCCATGGCCCTTCATCTTGCTTCTCCCCATGGCCCTTCATCTTGCTTCTCCCCATGGCCCTTCATCTTGCTTCTCCCCATGGCCCTTCATCTTGCTTCTCCCCATGGCCCTTCATCTTGCTTCTCCCCATGGCCCTTCATCTTGCTTCTCCCCATGGCCCTTCATCTTGCTTCTCCCCATGGCCCTTCATCTTGCTTCTCCCCATGGCCCTTCATCTTGCTTCTCCCCATGGCCCTTCATCTTGCTTCTCCCCATGGCCCTTCATCTTGCTTCTCCCCATGGCCCTTCATCTTGCTTCTCCCCATGGCCCTTCATCTTGCTTCTCCCCATGGCCCTTCATCTTGCTTCTCCCCATGGCCCTTCATCTTGCTTCTCCCCATGGCCCTTCATCTTGCTTCTCCCCATGGCCCTTCATCTTGCTTCTCCCCATGGCCCTTCATCTTGCTTCTCCCCATGGCCCTTCATCTTGCTTCTCCCCATGGCCCTTCATCTTGCTTCTCCCCATGGCCCTTCATCTTGCTTCTCCCCATGGCCCTTCATCTTGCTTCTCCCCATGGCCCTTCATCTTGCTTCTCCCCATGGCCCTTCATCTTGCTTCTCCCCATGGCCCTTCATCTTGCTTCTCCCCATGGCCCTTCATCTTGCTTCTCCCCATGGCCCTTCATCTTGCTTCTCCCCATGGCCCTTCATCTTGCTTCTCCCCATGGCCCTTCATCTTGCTTCTCCCCATGGCCCTTCATCTTGCTTCTCCCCATGGCCCTTCATCTTGCTTCTCCCCATGGCCCTTCATCTTGCTTCTCCCCATGGCCCTTCATCTTGCTTCTCCCCATGGCCCTTCATCTTGCTTCTCCCCATGGCCCTTCATCTTGCTTCTCCCCATGGCCCTTCATCTTGCTTCTCCCCATGGCCCTTCATCTTGCTTCTCCCCATGGCCCTTCATCTTGCTTCTCCCCATGGCCCTTCATCTTGCTTCTCCCCATGGCCCTTCATCTTGCTTCTCCCCATGGCCCTTCATCTTGCTTCTCCCCATGGCCCTTCATCTTGCTTCTCCCCATGGCCCTTCATCTTGCTTCTCCCCATGGCCCTTCATCTTGCTTCTCCCCATGGCCCTTCATCTTGCTTCTCCCCATGGCCCTTCATCTTGCTTCTCCCCATGGCCCTTCATCTTGCTTCTCCCCATGGCCCTTCATCTTGCTTCTCCCCATGGCCCTTCATCTTGCTTCTCCCCATGGCCCTTCATCTTGCTTCTCCCCATGGCCCTTCATCTTGCTTCTCCCCATGGCCCTTCATCTTGCTTCTCCCCATGGCCCTTCATCTTGCTTCTCCCCATGGCCCTTCATCTTGCTTCTCCCCATGGCCCTTCATCTTGCTTCTCCCCATGGCCCTTCATCTTGCTTCTCCCCATGGCCCTTCATCTTGCTTCTCCCCATGGCCCTTCATCTTGCTTCTCCCCATGGCCCTTCATCTTGCTTCTCCCCATGGCCCTTCATCTTGCTTCTCCCCATGGCCCTTCATCTTGCTTCTCCCCATGGCCCTTCATCTTGCTTCTCCCCATGGCCCTTCATCTTGCTTCTCCCCATGGCCCTTCATCTTGCTTCTCCCCATGGCCCTTCATCTTGCTTCTCCCCATGGCCCTTCATCTTGCTTCTCCCCATGGCCCTTCATCTTGCTTCTCCCCATGGCCCTTCATCTTGCTTCTCCCCATGGCCCTTCATCTTGCTTCTCCCCATGGCCCTTCATCTTGCTTCTCCCCATGGCCCTTCATCTTGCTTCTCCCCATGGCCCTTCATCTTGCTTCTCCCCATGGCCCTTCATCTTGCTTCTCCCCATGGCCCTTCATCTTGCTTCTCCCCATGGCCCTTCATCTTGCTTCTCCCCATGGCCCTTCATCTTGCTTCTCCCCATGGCCCTTCATCTTGCTTCTCCCCATGGCCCTTCATCTTGCTTCTCCCCATGGCCCTTCATCTTGCTTCTCCCCATGGCCCTTCATCTTGCTTCTCCCCATGGCCCTTCATCTTGCTTCTCCCCATGGCCCTTCATCTTGCTTCTCCCCATGGCCCTTCATCTTGCTTCTCCCCATGGCCCTTCATCTTGCTTCTCCCCATGGCCCTTCATCTTGCTTCTCCCCATGGCCCTTCATCTTGCTTCTCCCCATGGCCCTTCATCTTGCTTCTCCCCATGGCCCTTCATCTTGCTTCTCCCCATGGCCCTTCATCTTGCTTCTCCCCATGGCCCTTCATCTTGCTTCTCCCCATGGCCCTTCATCTTGCTTCTCCCCATGGCCCTTCATCTTGCTTCTCCCCATGGCCCTTCATCTTGCTTCTCCCCATGGCCCTTCATCTTGCTTCTCCCCATGGCCCTTCATCTTGCTTCTCCCCATGGCCCTTCATCTTGCTTCTCCCCATGGCCCTTCATCTTGCTTCTCCCCATGGCCCTTCATCTTGCTTCTCCCCATGGCCCTTCATCTTGCTTCTCCCCATGGCCCTTCATCTTGCTTCTCCCCATGGCCCTTCATCTTGCTTCTCCCCATGGCCCTTCATCTTGCTTCTCCCCATGGCCCTTCATCTTGCTTCTCCCCATGGCCCTTCATCTTGCTTCTCCCCATGGCCCTTCATCTTGCTTCTCCCCATGGCCCTTCATCTTGCTTCTCCCCATGGCCCTTCATCTTGCTTCTCCCCATGGCCCTTCATCTTGCTTCTCCCCATGGCCCTTCATCTTGCTTCTCCCCATGGCCCTTCATCTTGCTTCTCCCCATGGCCCTTCATCTTGCTTCTCCCCATGGCCCTTCATCTTGCTTCTCCCCATGGCCCTTCATCTTGCTTCTCCCCATGGCCCTTCATCTTGCTTCTCCCCATGGCCCTTCATCTTGCTTCTCCCCATGGCCCTTCATCTTGCTTCTCCCCATGGCCCTTCATCTTGCTTCTCCCCATGGCCCTTCATCTTGCTTCTCCCCATGGCCCTTCATCTTGCTTCTCCCCATGGCCCTTCATCTTGCTTCTCCCCATGGCCCTTCATCTTGCTTCTCCCCATGGCCCTTCATCTTGCTTCTCCCCATGGCCCTTCATCTTGCTTCTCCCCATGGCCCTTCATCTTGCTTCTCCCCATGGCCCTTCATCTTGCTTCTCCCCATGGCCCTTCATCTTGCTTCTCCCCATGGCCCTTCATCTTGCTTCTCCCCATGGCCCTTCATCTTGCTTCTCCCCATGGCCCTTCATCTTGCTTCTCCCCATGGCCCTTCATCTTGCTTCTCCCCATGGCCCTTCATCTTGCTTCTCCCCATGGCCCTTCATCTTGCTTCTCCCCATGGCCCTTCATCTTGCTTCTCCCCATGGCCCTTCATCTTGCTTCTCCCCATGGCCCTTCATCTTGCTTCTCCCCATGGCCCTTCATCTTGCTTCTCCCCATGGCCCTTCATCTTGCTTCTCCCCATGGCCCTTCATCTTGCTTCTCCCCATGGCCCTTCATCTTGCTTCTCCCCATGGCCCTTCATCTTGCTTCTCCCCATGGCCCTTCATCTTGCTTCTCCCCATGGCCCTTCATCTTGCTTCTCCCCATGGCCCTTCATCTTGCTTCTCCCCATGGCCCTTCATCTTGCTTCTCCCCATGGCCCTTCATCTTGCTTCTCCCCATGGCCCTTCATCTTGCTTCTCCCCATGGCCCTTCATCTTGCTTCTCCCCATGGCCCTTCATCTTGCTTCTCCCCATGG